AATACAATAATTAAAATGAAGAACAATTTTAACAAATATAAACTTATTAGTATTTGAATGGGAAGTGTGGGCCTGCTTTTGGCTGATGAGATAGGATTGTTGTTGTTGTTGTTGTTGTGTGCTTTCAAGTCATTTCAGACTTAGGTTGACCCTGAGCGAGGGCCGGGTAAATGACTTTGGAGGGCCGTATCCGGCCCCCAGGCCTTAGTTTGAGGACCCCTAATGTAGATGCACTCTTAGGTGGATGGAAGGGCACCATTTTATCTTCTAGCTTAGGCCGGAAAGGGCCCATCTACACTGCAGAATGAATTTGGTGTAACACCCCTTTTAGTGCTATGGCTCAATTCTATGGAAATATGGGTGCTGTAGTTTTACAAGGCCTTTAGCTTCTTGGTCCACCAATGCCAAACTACAACTCCCAGGATTCCATGTCACTGATCCATGGAAGTAAAATGGGATCAAACTACATTCATTCTACAGTGCAGATTGAGTGATTTCAGCTACTGCAAGAACCATGATTTCAGGGCTCGGTGTGTCACCTCCCAAAGGACTGAATGAGACACAGATGAGTTGAAGGCAAAATCAGAGGTGTTGTGCCGTCGCGCTTGTGGGCTATTTTTCTTAATGAAGGAGGGATGGACGTGGCATCTTTCCCCCAAGGGATTGCTTCTTGCCCTCCTATAGGAAACTGGAACTCCCAAAATCCCAAAACGCTGTAAATAACTCAAAATAAGTTTTATTGATCACAAAGAGTTATTTCTTTAAAGCAATGAGCTGGAAACTTCAGAGGGGTGAAGGAAAATATACGTTACAGTCTCAATTAGTCCTGGGTCCAAGGTGTTTGAAGCTGAGAAGCCTCACCAAGTTTTCTCTTTCCTCAATGGCTGTGAATGCTGGAGCAAACCCAGTCCAGATGGCCTATGTTTTGAAGACTCAGTATCTTCCTTTGGTGCCAAAAGAACCGGTTTGAAGGCGCTTGGGTCTCCTCAGTGTTGTCCAGGACAATCTGGACATAAAGCAGGAGTCCCAAAGGTAAAAAACCTCAGAATTGGTTCTAAGAGGTAACTTAAATCAGGGTCTTTTAGAGTCAAGTCTCTTACTCACATCCATATGGTAGGAACTCTGATGGCAGAATGAAAAAGAAAGGAAGCACTCCCCTCCTGCAGGAAGAGGTGGAGCCAAACAGTACAGGTTGACAGCTAGAAGTAACCAATCAATCTAACTATACATAAGCAGGGTAAAAGGGGTAGGATTAAGCATGATACAACAGTTTAAATCTTGCAAGTAACAGTTCTATACATAGGTGGCGTCACTCACGCTATCACAGGTGTTTATTTCCCCTTGGCCAAAGCGAACGTTGGAAGAGTCTGCGCTCCAAAGACTGACATACCGCAATCAAACATACAGAAATAATTATTAGGCCTTGACAGTTTGAAACAAAGGACTTCCACAACTCTGAGTGTTGATTGGTGGTTGCCTGGGATGTGCTGTCTGTTGTAGTTGCCGATTGGTCTTCGAGTTTGGAGGCAAATTTAATAAACTGTCATTGGTATATTTGAAGACTTGTGTCTGTTTATTATTTCGCCCAAGAGAAAGGTGCAATGGGGCAAGAGATAATGGGTTGAAATGGGTTTTGATGTCTCTGTTTTGGTCTATGCCAGTGGTTCTGAACCAGGGCTCACCAGATGTTTTTGGCCTTCAACTCCCAGAAATCCTAACAGCTGGTAAACTGGCTGGGATTTCTGAGAGCTATAGGCCAAAAACATCTGAGGACCCCAGGTTCAAAACCACTGGTCTATACAATGGGTGCCAACCAGGGAAACAAAAGGGTGCTCAGGGTGTTAGTAAATTCAATGAAGAACCCAGAGAGGGGATCTGACCTAGCAATAATGATGAGCAAACATTCCCAGCAATGGAACTAATTAGTGTCAGGAAAAACTCTGTGGCTCTTCCTAAGCCTGTGTTCTGGTTGTCTTCTCAGGTCATTGTGAAAGAATTATGTTTGGACATTCCCTGAAGGGTGGGGTGTGTGTACTGCTTATGCAACATTCTAGATAGATTCAATGAAGGGAAGCTTGAAACTGGGGAAAAAGATGATCACAGGTTCTCAATGGTTTCCTATAAAGGTGCAGATTCTGGGGTTCACTCTGTGGGGTCCGGTTTTTGACAACACGCCTGAACATCCCTGATTATTAGATGTGCATTCAGCGACATTCAGACTCTGCAAATCCCAGCCATTCAGACATTGGCTGTCAAAATAAGCTCAGTGCGATATATCTATGTATGTTTCTGTACATTTCTGTTTGGCCGTCTCTTTTAGGGCACTGCCTCTTTCCTTGCTGGCTGTGTTAGCCTTTCCCTGACTCTAGAGACAACTTTCAATTTGCGCTCCCTCCTTTTCCAGAGAGTCCGGAGAGCTCTGGTTTCCTTGCTGCTGGAGCAGGTTTTCCATCTGTGTGGCTCAATGCCACACACACACACATACACATAAGCTCTCCAACCAAGGGATATAAGGAAAGGCCCCCGCAGTTTGGGAACGTTCAGAAGGAGTGCCTTTTGGACAAGGATTTGGGGAACAGCGCAAAGAAGAGAAGAGTTAGGTAAGTCTCCACTTCCATTACTTTCCGCATTCCCAACTTTCCTGATCATTACCAAATGCGACAAAATCCGAGCTTCACCATCCTTAACTTATGTTTAAATGCATTGGGCATGAGATGGTTGTTATATGTAAATACCCTTAATATCTGCGGCATAAAGATCAAGAAAGTAGGAAGGAAGCACCTGAAGCTCCATTGGTTTCAGTTCAATGGTTTGACTGCAACACCCATCAGCCTTCATTGGCAAAGACAATAGTGGAAGAAGTTGTGATTTTACAATACGGAATATTTAAATTAAAGGATATGGCAGGTATAAAGTTTTATATCCTTTTACGGTGGTGCCTCACCATAGCAGTTGGCCATAGTTAAAGTGATGTCAAACTGCATTAATTCTACACTGTAGATCTTGTGATCATACCTTTGAGAATGTTACATTGCATTGATTTCAAGGAGATGCATTCCAATGAAATAGATAAACAAAGTTGGGGAAAATGAACCAAGAAAAAAAAAGAAATGGTTACCTTTCTATCTGTCTGGTCAGCTTTTCTGTAGTGTATCTCCTCTTCCATTTTGAAAATGTGTGCATAATTTAGTTTCTTTAGTATGTAACTTCTTGAGAACTTAGAATTTAGCTTCTCGGGAACTTTTAAAATTGAAAGTTTCTAGATCCTGTGGATATAAATATAAACATGAGGTCCTGTGCCTCTAACCTAAGTCAAAGTCCTGCTGTATGCATGGATGTGTGTTTACGTACTGCTATTTTTTAGAAGTAGTTATTGTTTAGCTCCATCATCGGTTGCCTTCACAGTGCTCTCTGGATGTGGGTGAATTACAATTCCCATCATCCCAGGTCAATTCTCAGTAAACTGCACCAGCCGTTGAAGTTCATCATGGTGGGTTTGTATGGCATGTTTGGTCCAGATCCAACAAGCCATCTAGGAACCATCCCTATACAAACAAACAAACAAACAAACAAACAAACAAACATATTTTCCTATCTATCTATCTATCTATCGATCGATCGATCGATCTATCTATCTATCTATCTATCTATCTATCTATCTATCTATCTATCTATCTATCTATCTATCTATCTATCTATCTAATGTTTAAGTCAGTGTATCACAACCTTCCTAATGCCGTGACCCCTTAATACAGTTTCTCATGTTGTGGTGACCCCCAACTATACATTTATTTTTGTTGCTACTTCATAACTTTAATTTTGCTACTATTATCAATCATAAGGTAAATATCTGATATGCAGAATGTATTTTTATTAATAGGACCAGATTTGGCACAAATACCCAATATGCCCAAATTTGAATACCGGTGGGCTTTGGGAGCAGGGATTGATTTTGTCATTTGGGAGTTGTAGTTGCTGGGATTTACAGTTCACCTACCATCAAAGAACATTCTGAACTTCAACAACAATGGAATTGAACTAAACTTGACACACAGAACTCCCCTGACCAACAGAAAATACGGGAAGGGTTTGGTGGGCATTGACCTTGAGTTTTGGAGTTGTAGTTRACCTACATCCAGAYAGTACTGTGGATTRKAACAATGATGGATCTGGACCAAACTTGGCACYAATCCTCAATATGRTGAAATGTGAACACTGGTGGAGTTTGGAGAAAATAGACCCAGGCATTTGGGAGTTGTAGTTGCTGGGATTTATAGTTCAGTTACAATCAAAGAGCATTCTGAACCCTACCAACAATAGAATTGGCCAAACTTCCAATACAGAACTCCCATGACCAACAGAAGACACTGTGTTTTCTGATGGTCTTTGGTGACCCGTCTGATACCGCCTCACAACCCCCCCAGGGGTCCTAACCCCCAGGTTGAGAAATGCTGGCTTAAGTACTCAGTGATGCCTGGGTTAGGTTTTGATAAAATTGCACTCCCCTACAAGCTACATTTCTGTCTGATTGCGAAAACCATTGCCTATGGCAAGAATTCTGTATTTGCCTCACTTTCTCAGCATCTGTTCCAGAAAATGTCCAGTTTTGCTGAGTAGGAACAGATTAAGTTACAGGATGGTCAAGCCGAAGCCTTCTTGGCCTTATTGGTCCCTCCCGGCTCAATCCGGAGGCGTTTAATGCTTCTCTGAAGGGGCCTCCAGGACCGTCATCTGCAGAATAGATTGAGGGGCGATGGTTAAGCGGATCAGCAGACGGGCTCGAGGATGCAGCCTCCGCTCAGTGCGTCTTCCCCATGGATGTTTGATGAATGGAGCCACGCCAAGAGTTTGGAGAAAAACAGCCACCCAGTTTCCCCGTAAAACAGAACAGGGATAGGCAGCCAGGTTGCAAATCCTCTTGTCTGCTTCTTCCTTGGCCAAAAAGCCTTTTAGGGCAGACCCTCCTTGCAATGTCAGACTGCCCCGGTTCATATACTAACCAAGAGAAGAGAAAAATCAAGGGTGTGTTTTTTGTTGTTGTTTTCCATTGGGAATCCAGACCAGATTGATGGAAACATATCCCTCCCCCTTTCTTTTCCATTTCCAGGCTGTTTGTGGAAGAGACTGCAAGGAAAAAAGATAAAGGCCTGGATGCATTTCATCTAACTAGGATCCATCCTGACTGGGAGAAAAGAATGGGTCTGAGACAGCCATGGTGTCTCACCATTTTGCTTCTTCTCAAAATGTCCTGCATCTTTGGTGAGCATCTTTAATAATGATGATATATTTGAAAAGGTGAAAGATTTAGAGAAACCAGAGCATGATGATATTTATTTTATTTATTTCTTTACCGTATTTATATACTGCCTTTCTCAGCCTGAAGGCTACTCAAGGTGGTTTACATTCAGCATAATTCGATGCCCCCCAACATATAAAATACAATTAAAAACATTAGCATATAAAATATAGGTTCATAAAAAGTCAATAAAAACATAAATCCTTAGCATCTCCTTACTGAAATCACGATTCAGTTGCATTGTCAGTCGTTCCGTGGTATATTATTGCCTGTTACATTGCATTTGCAAATGCCTGCTCAAAAAGCCAGGTTTAACCTTTTTGCGAAATGGAGGGGGCCGATCTAATATCCCTAGGAAGGGCGTTCCATAGCCAAGGGACCACCACTGAGAAGGCCCTGTCTCTCGTTCCCGCCAAACACATCTAAGACGGAGGTGGGACCGAGAGCAGGGCCTTCCCAGATGATCTTAATGTCCTAAATGGTTCATAAGGGGATATTCACTCTGACAGGTAAGCTGGGCCAGAGCCATTTAGGGCTTTATAGGCTAAAGCCAGCACTTTGAATTGTGCCCGGTAGTGGGGTCAAACTGAACCAATTCTATAGTGTAGAGCTAGACTTGTATTGGAGACCTGAATGACACTATCCAAGGTATTGAACCTCAGATCAGTCCAGTACCTTGGAGAGCTCTGTTTCCACCCTCAGCTTAAGCAGCTGAGTGGGAAAAGGAAAGCGCCTGAGGACAGGAATTGTGGGAGTTGAAGCCCAAAACACCTGGAGGGCCAGAGTTTGCCCATGCCTGGTATAGATGCACACACCACTTTTCTTAGTTTGTGACTGCAAAAATAGTTACTAGGAGTTTCCTGACTGGATGATGATTTCTTTTTTTTGCGCTAAGCGTATTTCAGTCAAGTCCAATGCAGAAGATACAATAACATTGCACCCAGGCAAGAGGAAAAAAACAGAAAAACTTTATTCTTATCAGCAGAATTAAAACATAAACTTACAATATTACAAACAGTGCAACAAACTTACATAGTCTTTGTAAGCAATACAGAATAAGGCTTCTTCATCTTCATCCAAACAAGAGAGCAGTAGAAATGGTTGAGCAAAATGACTGAGCAAAGGCTCCTCAGAGCAAAAGCTGAATGTATTCTAAAAACCATACAGTTATAAACCCACCGGGTGTGGTCCAAACTTACCAGCTGACCTACACTAGTAGCTCTACATAATAATTAACAGCATAAGGTTTTCTTTAACACACACATACTTGATCCTGTTACGACTTACTGTAACAGATTTTGCTTATGATTAGAATGAAACAAACATTTCAAGCCTTCGGATTCATTTTGCACTTAGCTTTGTGTAAAATGGGGTTTAATCCAGCAATTAATGAAAAAAACAAAAGGTGAAGCTTTCCAGTGAGTGCTAAACATGCACAGAAAAGTGTAAATATCACGTTTGGACTTAGCTGGTCCATAAAGGCTCGTTCTAAGAGCTGTGGTGGTGCAATGGGTTAAACCCTTGTGCTGGCTCTACTGCTGACCTGAAGGGTGGGTTGATAACCTGAAGGTTGCTGGTTTGAATATGTGAGATGGGGTGAACTCCTGTCTGTCAGCTCTAGCTTGGGGAGACATGAGAGTAGCCTCCCACAGGATGGTAACACATTTGGTTGTCCCCTGGGCAACATCTCACAATTCTATTTCACCAGAAGCGACTTGCAGTATGTTCTCAAGTTGCATCTGATATGATAAAAAGGTTTGTTCTAGAGTGAATTGTTATGTCTTTAGCAAATAAGTTTCCAAAAGAGATTAGAAGCATTTAGTAGAGGCAAAAACAGAAACACAACTCAAACAGGACAAACAGAAACATAAAACGGATGCAAGCAAAATGAGAATATTCCCGAACAAACTAATCCCATAGTTGTAGTAAGACCAGCAGGAGGGTTGCCAAGATCGTGGTTCAGCAGTTTGCCTTAGGCGGCTTAAAATTTTCCATTGCTTTGATTTCAAAGGCTAAAAATAAAAATATATACTTCGAATAGTGCAGGGGATCAGCACCAAGAGCCCTGTGGCCCAGAAACTTGAGGATTGGCCAAAGCAGTGCAGTAAATGCCAAATAGCGGCTGTATCGACTTATTTTACTTGCCTACCTTTTAGATTCCCCCACGCACATTTTCCTTTCTTTCAAAGGCTGCCTGCCTTTGAAGTTTGATATTAAAATGACATCATGTCTTGTCTTCGCGCAAAAGGATGTGAGAGGCGCAATAAAGTCTTGCTGTTCACCAGATTGTAGCACGCATCCAACTCTCCTTTGCATCAGCAGATGTCCCATGTTAGAGAATGGGAGCCAACTTGGGATGGCATAAGTCATGACGATAACAACAACAACAACAACAACAACATCAACAAGGCTCTGTTGCCATAGGACATGATTATGAGGTTGGCCCATAATTCAAATAAAGCTTTGGCCAAGACAGTTGCAAAAGAGCTCATGTCTAGGAATGACCAAACTGATGGAAATGCAACAACACTTAGCACTGAAGAGTAGAAAGGAATAACAGATAGCTTGACTTGAAATGACCTCTCTCCGTGCTTCCTGAGCCTTCTGATCTTCTTAGAGATGTTTTCTCCACTTCTTCTACTTTCCATTACTCCTATCTCAACCTTCTAAGATGTAGTTAAGATAGATCATCACCCTGAGTAACTTTCCTCGCTTAGAATGGAGTTCCCACAATAAAGCGGTGTGCCTTTCTCCAAGCCATTGGTGTGTTTGCTAGTATAAAATCCTAGAGTTGGCAGAGATCCTCAAAGGCCATCCAGCCCAACCCTCTTCTGCCATGTATGAACACCCAATCAAAGCAGCAGTCACCAGCCAATCCCTCTCCAATGCCAGAAATACAGCTTAATGGTGTAACATTAGAAAATGGTGATTATTTCTGCTACCTTGGCAGTCACCTCTCCACAAAAGTCAACATTGACACTGAAACACAACACCGCCCGAGCTCTGCGAGTGCAGCTTTTTTCTGAATGAAACAGAGAATGTTTGAAGACTGGGATATCCATAGGGATACCAAGGTGCTATTTAAAAAGTTTTAAGCCTGCGAGACGTGGACTGTCTACAGACGTCACATGCAACTCCTGGAATGATTCCATCAGCGCTGCCTTCAGAAAATCCTGCAAATCTCTTGGGAAGACAAGCGGACAAATGTCAGTGTGCTGGAAGAAGCAAAGACCACCAGCATTGAAGCAATGCTCCTCCACCATAAACGCCACTGGACTGGCCACGTTGTCCGGATGCCAACCACCGTCTGCCAAAGCAGTTACTCTACTCTGAACTCAAGAATGGAAAATGGAATGTTGGAGGACAGGAAAAGAGATTTAAAGATGGGCTCAAAGCCAACCTTAAAAACTCTGGCATAGACACGGAGAACTGGGAAGCCCTGGCCCTTGAGCGCTCCAGCTGGAGGTCAGCTGTGACCAGCACTGCTATAGAATTTGAAGAGGCACGAATAGAGGGCAAAAGAGAGAAACGTGCCAAGAGGAAGGTGAGTCAAGCCAACCCTGATTGGGACTGCCTTCCACCTGGAAACCAATGCCCTCACTGCAGGAGAAGATGCAGGTCAAGGACAGGGCTCCACAGTCACCTACTGACCCACCAACACACTGATCCTGGAAGACTATCCTACTCAGACAACAAGGGATTGCCTAAGTAAGCAAGTAAGGTAGATGGCCACCCAGCCTTTGTTTAAAACCTCCAGAGGAGACTCCACTGGACTCCAAGGCAGCAGATTCCACTGCTGAACGTTCTTCCTAACTGCATTACTTCTACAGTATAGATACATCCTTCAATTTTGTCTGTGAAATGCCAAAGGGTATGTTGTTGTGGGAAATAGATGACGCTATCATTATCACTGGGATATATTTTTTTCCAGCTAATTTAACTTTGTTTTTTCCTCCCAAAGGTGAGCCAATTTTAAAGCAATCGGTCCGCAGGATCCAGCCTGGAGAGAGACCTTACAGCCTTTCTGCCAAACGTGGTTCAGACAGTAAGTCATGTCCCATCTTGGGCAGTTTGTTTTAAGAAAGGAGGATGTATTGCACTCCGCTGTTCCCTTAAAAGAAACAAATATACATAAATGACTTAATTTAAAACAGATCCAACCATGGCCTTCTTCCCTAATGGAAAACATGTTTAGACTTGCTGCTGCCCAACGCAGATGCTGGCTGTGGCCAAAAGAAATGCAGCTTCACTGTTTTGGCTGGAAAACTGGAAAGAGAGCATGGAAGTGCAGTTTGTGCCTCTATCTAGAACACTGCACAGAGCTGGGAGACAGGGAAACATTCCATAGATAAAAACCCATATTTGTGGACCTGAACCATACCATGCGTTCAAAAGGCAACAATGATGTCGAGCACGAATTTAGGAGGCCCTACCGAGACAGAGGCCGGCCAGACCCAAAAAGAGGATCCGGACACCTGGCGAGACAATAAGCACCCAGAAAGAATGTTCCCCTATTTTCCCAAATAAATCTCACCAAGTTAAAGGAAAGCCACCGACTTGTTTATTTCATTCCAGCTGGAACAGATGACGACCACAATCATTTGCCCAGAAGGAGGTATATTATCCTTCCCAGTTGGTTCTTTGCTGATTAGGTTTAAAAATGATTCATTGTTGTTTTCTACAAATCTACAAAAGGCTAAATTGTGTTAAATTGATGTAATGTTTGATTCTTAAGTTTTGATTCTTAAGTTTTTGGCGCAGGCCATGTCGGATATCGAATCGTAAGTAAGAATTCAACAAATCGGATATGACTTACGACAACTAACGAAAAAATTGCACACCCCTAACAACTACATCAATGAATCCATAGCATTGAGTCAAGGCACTAAGGCAGTTAAAGTGGTGTCAAACTGCATTCATTTCACAGTGCAAATGCACCCTATTTGAGCCTCTCCAGGCACTGAGGTTCTAAGGAGAGGACCTTCATTAACATGGTTTGTAGGAACCCAAGTCATGGCCTTCTTGGTGGTTTTCCCTTTTTATGTCAGGCAGAATACCCCCTTTTTGCAGTCTTGCAACTGTAAATAAAGTTCTTCATCACTGATACAAAGGGTACCCAACATTTGGGAGAGACTAGGTTCTTGTGCGTTTTTTCGGGCTATAGGGCCATATTCTAGAGGCATTTCTCCTGACGTTTCGCCTCTGAGGATGCTTGCCATAGATGCAGGCGAAACATCAGGAGAAATGCCTCTAGAACATGGCCCTATAGCCCGAAAAAAACCCACAAGAACCTAGTGATTCCAGCCATGAAAGCCTTCGACAATACATTTGGGAGAGATGTCAGTACTCCTTCTTTGTTGCTCAGACCATGGAACATGGACCACGTGGTTCAACATTGACCACCCCGGAGGCAGTGGGGACTATGAGCGCCTGGATGCCATCCGTTTCTACTACCGGGAGAGGCTCTGCCCAAATCCCCTCCGCATTGAAGTCCGGACAACTGACTGGATCCCTGCAGACAACACAGGCCAAGTGGTCCACTTCAGTACCCAGGAGGGGTTCTGGTGCCTAAACAAGGAGCAGCCGGAAGGGCAGACCTGCTTGAATTATGCGGTGCGCTTCCTGTGTCCAGCAGGTAAGGATTTCCATTTGCTGATAGGACCTTCCAACAGCACTTTCTGTCCAAAGAAGAGAGAAGAGAGTGTAGTGGGTTGTTGTAGGTTTCTTCGGGCTATATGGCCATGTTCTAGAGGCATTTCTCCTGACGTTTCGCCTGCATCTATGGCAAGCATCCTCAGAGGTAGTGAGGTCTGAGGATGCTTGCCATAGATGCAGGTGAAACATCAGGAGAAATGCCTCTAGAACATGGCCATATAGCCCGAAAAAACTTACAACAACCCAGTGATTCCGGCCATGAAAGCCTTCGACAATACAGAGAGTGTAGTGTTCTTTTATGAAGGTTGATGGTGGGGGAACAGATGACAACAGAACATTTCACATTCCTGGCATCTGCCCTGATGGGAAAACCATTTTGGAGATTAAAACCCAGCCAATTTTAATCACTCACGTCTTGTGTTCACTATATTTTAATCTTTGTTCTGTGTGTTTTAACATATGTAGAAATAAGTTTTAATATGTGTATTTTATATAATGATTATGTGCTTTAGCTATGTTGTAGCATGCCCCGAGCCATGAGAAATAAAGGGCATTGCTTCCGATATTGGAGAAGAGCCCGTTCTAAAAATTATTGGAAAGAGAGAGAAAATGACGCAAGGTTCCTGTTGATTTGGTAATACCTGCAGATAATTGCTGTTTCCAGATTCCTTACCTCAGGATTCAAAAACCCTGTGGTCTTCATGGTCAAAGTGGAGTGAGTGCTCTGCAAAGTGTGATCAAACTGGCATCCAGACCCGGACCAGGACTTGCTTAGCTGAAAGCCTTTTGGACCCACGCTGTGAAGAAGTGAGCGAAGAAGGGAGGCGCTGCCTGGGATCACCTTGCTCAGGTGCCTTATCCCTAACTTCAACTCTAACCCTATCTAACTCTAACTCTATCCAACTCTTCCTCTAAGCCTATCTAACCCTAACTCTATCCAACTCTAACCCTAACTCTTATCCTAACTATCTAAATCTAATTGTATCTAACTCTAACCCTATCTAACTCTAACTCTTACCTTATCTAACTCTAATTGTATCTAACACTAACCCTATCTAACTCTTATTCTAACTCTAACTGTATCTATCTAACTCTAACCCTAACTCTTACCCTAACCCTATATAACCCTAATTGTATCTAACTCTAACCCTATCTAACTCTAATCCTTACCCTATCTAACTCTAATTGTATCTCACACTAAACCTATCTAACTCTAACTCTAACTGTATCTAACTCTAACCCTATCTAACTCTTACCCTAACCCTTACCCTATCTAACTCTAATTCTAACCCTATCTAACTCTTACCCTAACCCTATCTAACTCTAATTGTCTCTAATCCTATCTTACTCTAACCCCATCTAACTCTAATTGTATCTAACTCTAACCCTATCTAACTCTAACCCTTACCCTATCTAACTCTGATTGTATCTCTCACTAAACCTATCTAACTGTATCTAACTCTAACCCTATCTCTTACCCTAACCCCATATAACCCTAATAGTATCTAACTCTAACCCTTACTCTATCTAACTCTAATTCTAACCCTATCTAACTCTTACCGTAACCCTATCTAACTCTAATTGTCTCCAATTCTATCTTACCCTAACCCTATATAACCCTAATTGTATCTAACCCTAACTATCCCTAACTGTATCTAACTCTAACCCCAACTCTTACCCTAACTCTACCTAATTTCAATTCTAACCCTGTCTAATGCTAATCCTATGTAATGCTAACTCTAACACTAATTGTATCTAATAGGCCTGTGCGGTTTCGTTCGTTAATTCATTAATTCGTTATTAATTCGTTATTTCTGGCATTTTTGAAGCGATATCAAAACACATTTCCAAACCCGGAAGGGTTTTAAAATATCGAACCGGCAGCCCCCATAGATTTAACGAGCTTCCGCTCGTTTCGTTAATGGGGTGGAGGCTGCTGGAGTGCTGGTGCCTGGGAGCCAATCCGGCGCTCCCAAGCAGTGCACCATGGGTCCGTGGCTGTTTGTTTTTGATTGGCCGGCGAGCCCTTTCAAAGCGGCTCCGCGCGGCCCGTAGCTCATTGCTGCAGAGGGCGAGGGAGTTTGCATTGGGTTGGCTTGGCTTGGCTAGCAACTGGATTGGATTCATTCCTTGCTGCTGTGAGTGCTGCTTGCTTCATTTGCTGTCTCCTGCCTGTGTTTGGTCCACATTTGGGCCATTTTTTGGTTAATTTTCCATTTTAAAATATTTTTAATATTATTTTTAATATTATTTTTATTATTTTTTAATATTATTTTAATATTATTCTAAAAAAGAAAAGACTCTTCTGTTGGTGTGCTCTCATTTGCTGTCTCCTGCCTGTGTTTGGTCCACATTTGGGCCATTTTTTGGTTAATTTTACATTTTAAAATATTTAATATTATTTTAATATTATTTTTTAATATTATTTTAATATTATTTTAAAAAATATTCTAAAAAAGAAAAGACTCTTCTGTTGGTGTGTGCTCTCATTTGCTGTCTCCTGCCTGTGTTTGGTCCACATTTGGGCCATTTTTTGGTTAATTTTCCATTTTAAAATATTTTTTATATTATTTTAATATTTTTTTTTAATATTATTTTAATATTATTCTTAAAAAATATTCTAAAAAAGAAAAGACTCTTCTGTTGGTGTGTGCTCTCATTTGCTGTCTCCTGCCTGTGTTTGGTCCACATTTGGGCCATTTTTTGGTTAATTTTCTATTTTAAAATATGTTTTAATATTATTTTAATATTATTTTTTAATATTATTTTAATATTATTCTTAAAAAATATTCTAAAAAAGAAAAGACTCTTCTGTTGGTGTGTGCTCTCATTTGCTGTCTCCTGCCTGTGTTTGGTCCACATTTGGGCCATTTTTTGGTTAATTTTCCATTTTAAAATATTTTTTAATATTATTTTAATATTATTTTTTAATATTATTTTTAATATAAATATTCTAAAAAAGAAAAGACTCTTCTGTTGGTGTGTGCTCTCATTTGCTGTATCCTGCCTGTGTTTGGTCCACATTTGGGCCATTTTTTGGTTAATTTTCCATTTTAAAATATTTTTTTAATATTATTTTAATATTATTCTTAAGAAATACCAAAAATATTCTAAAAATTCGTTAATATTTACAAAATTTCTTAAATACCAAAACTTTTTTGGGGCAAAGTTTTGTAATTATTTTAAATATCGAAACAAAAAAACACCCCAATTACAAATCGATTTTAGAAACAAATTTTTTCTTGATCAAACAGGCCTAGTATCTAACTCTAATTCTATCTCTTACCCTAACTCTAACCTAACTGTATCTAACCACAACTCTTACCCTAAACCTATCTAATTTTAACCCTAATCCTATCTAACTCTAATCCTAATTCTAACCCTATCTAATGCTAGCCCTATCTAACTTTAATCTATAGCAACTTTAAGGACCTGTTGCCTTAATGTCCTTTTCTGTGCATTTCCAATTGTGCACAAAATGTGACTGCTTCTATATGCTCAAAGCGGGCTCTGTGGCTAGAACGCTGGAATATCCATGTCATTTTGGGGTGTGTGGGGAGAACAATGTTTTCCAGTTAGCAAGACAGCCAAAAATATGGAGGATCTCACTCTCATATTTCTTTTTCTTGATTAGACTTTTCTTGACTAGGCTGAAATGTTGTAATACTTGTTTGGCTGTAGCCGCAAAACATCTGGAAGGCACTTGCTTGTGAATGAATGCTCTGAACATTGCAACCACAATTTTATGAGTTTATTTTCTTGGCTTTAATTGATTGGTTTTGAAATGGTATTTTAATTAAGGCTTCATTTTGTAAATTGTAGTGTTAAACCAAGTGAGTGACACTTTTGGCAGATAGGCTAGATCTAAATTAGGTGGGTAGGTAGATAATAGTTGCATAAATAGATGGACAGATAATAGATGGATAGATAACACTATGCAACAAAATTTGAAAAAAAATTCAGATAGATAGATAATAGATGCATAGGTAGATAGCAGTTTAATAAACCTTTTCCATATTTTTATGATAGAACCAATTACAAAATGACATTTATAACCCAGGTACAAATATCGTTTTATATAGTATAATAGATTCAAAGATAGATAGATAGATAGATAGATAGATAGATAGATAGATATGGATAGATATGGATAGATAGATAGATAGATAGATAGATAGATAGATAGATAGATAGATCCTATTAAAACAGCTTCATTGGCTGCCAATAAGTTGCTGAGCCAAATTCAAGGTGCAGGTCATGACCTGTAAAGCCCTAAATGGTTCTGGTCCTACCTACCTATCTCCGTGATCGCATCTCCTTCTATGAACTTCTAAGATCTTCTGGGGAGGCCCTCCTTTTGCTCCCACCACCGTCACAAGTATGGTTGGTGGAGACGAGAGAGAGGGCCTTCTCAGTGGTGGCTCCCCACCTCTGGAACACCCTTCCAAGGGAAATAAGACAGGCCCCATCCCTCCCCTCCTTTTGTAAGAGCCTGAAGACCTGGTGGTTTCAACAAGCCTTTGAGAATAACCAGTTCTAGCCCATCCCCAAACATTATTGAATATGGCCTTGCACTTCTTACCTATAACCCCGGTCATCCCTCCAATAGGCCCTGGAAATGAGCAGCCACAGACCCGTACCTGCTATTGCCCTTAGCCTGTTATAGCACTGTACTTAATTCCTGGCCCCCTCATATTTTGAGTTTGCACTAGCCTTGGCCCGGCTTTTTAATTGCTCTGAATAGGCAGGATTATTTTTAATATACATGTGTTATGGTGATAATTTTATGCTTATGTTGTTTTGTTAATTTTATGTTATGCTGTTTACTTTGTAAGTTTCGGTGACGTTACTTGGAAACCGCTCTGAGTCCCCCTCGGGGAGATAGAGCGGTATATAAGTAAAGCTTTATTTATTACTAGCCATCCCCTGCCACGCGTTGCTGTGGCCCACATGGTGGTTCTGTGTGGGAGGCTTGGCCTAATTCTATCATTGGTGGGCTTCAGAATGCTCTGTGATTGTAGGTGAACTATAAATCCCAGCAACTACAACTCCCAAATGTCAAGATTCGATTTCCCCCAAACTCCACCAGTGTTCACATTTGGGCACATTGAGTATTCGTGTAGAGTTTGGTCTAGATCCATCATTGTTTGAGTCCACAGTGATCTCTGGATGTAGGTGAACTACAACACCCAAACTCAAGGTCAATGTCCACCAAACCCTTCCAGTATTTTCTGTTGGTCATGGGAGAACTGTGTGCCAAGTTTGGTTCAATTCCATCACTGGTGGAGTTCAGAATGCTCTTTGATTGTAGGTGAACTATAAATCCCAGCAACTACAACTCCCAAATGACAAAATCAATTTTTTTTAATGAAGGACATACATTGGGTTGTTAGGTGTATCATGTCCAAATTTGGTGCCAATTGCCCCAGTGGTTTTTGAGTTCTGTGAATACCACAAACGAACATTACATTTTTATTTATATAGATTATTAATATTATTATTATTTTATATTTTTATTATTATTTCATTATTATTATTATTATTATTATTATTGATAGAGGGAGCAAGGGAGGAGAGGAAGAGGTTGAAAGAGAGGTATTTAAATATTATCATTTAAACTTAGAGTAGAAATCACCCAATCTTTGAGGTGTTTGGGACTTCAGTTCTCAACAGTCCAGCAACATTGGAGGGTCACCTTCTTCTAACACCAATACTTGAATGTAACATCAACTCTCATGCAAGTCCTATTGATTCCATAAATCGTAGTGGTTCCAGAGGAAAAACATAATAATGTGTATTCAAATGCTTTAGGCCGGGACATGGTACCGAGACAGCCTTGGTCGCCTTGGATGATCTGCACCGGGAGCTCGACAGGGGGAGTGTGTCCCTGTTGGTGCTGCTGGACCTCTCAGCGGCCTTCGATACCATCAACCACAATATCCTTCTGGGACGCCTTGCGGGGATGGGTCTTGGAGGTACTGTTCTGCAGTGGCTCCGGTCATTCCTGGAGGCTCGTACCCAGAAGGTGTTACTGGGAGACACCTGTTCAACCCCACACCTTTGTCTTGTGGGGTTCCTCAGGGCTCAATATTGTCTCCCATGTTGTTTAACATCTACATGAAGCCGCTGGGAGATCATCCGGAGTTTCGGGGTACGGTGTCATCTGTACGCGGATGATGTCCAACTCTGTCACTCCTTTCCACCTGCTACTAAGGAGGCTGTCCAGGTCCTGAACCGGTGCTTGGCCGCTGTGACGGTCTGGATAAGGGCGAACAAATTGAAATTGAATCCAGACAAGACAGAGGTACTCCTGGTCAGTCGCAAGGCCGAACAGGGCATAGGGTTACAGCCTGTGTTGGATGGGTTGCACTCCCCCTGAAGGCGCAGGTTCGCAGCTTGGGTGTGATCCTGGACTCATCGCTGAGCCTGGGGCCCCAGGTTTCGGTGGTGACCTGGGGAGCATTTGCACAGCTAAAGCTTGTGCGCCAGCTGCGCCCGTACCTTGGGAAGTCTGACTTGGCCACGGTAGTCCACGCTCTGGTTACATCCCGTTTAGACTACTGCAACGCTCTCTACGTGGGGATGCCTTTGAAGACGGCTCGGAAGCTCCAATTAGTCCAACCCTCGGCAGCCATGATCCTAACAGGAGCGGAGCGCAGGGAGCATACAACCCCCCTGTTGCGCCAACTCCACTGGCTACCGTTCTGCTACCAGGCTCAATTCAAAGTGCTGGCGTTGGCCTTTAAAGCCCTAAACGGTTCCGGCCCAAGCTACCTATCCGCCCGCATCTCTGCCTATGAACCCGCCAGGACTTTGAGATCTTCCGGGGAGGCCCTGCTCTCGATCCCGCCTGCTTCCCAAGCACGGCTGGCGGGGACGAGTGATAGGGCCTTTTTGGTGGTGGCTCCTCGGCTGTGGAACACCCTTCCTACAGACATTAGACTAGCACCATCTCTAATGGTATTCCATAAAAAACTGAAGACCTGGCTATTTGAGCAGGCATTCGAATAATTAGTGCAATGATTGGTTAACGAACACTGGAATGAACAATGGATGACGAATCGGGATCATGTTTTTGATGATGAGACGACAGTGAATGGCTATTGTAGTAATTGTTTACTAATTGTGTAATGTGTAGGTTGTTAATTGCTTTTATACTGTAGCATTGAATTCTTGCTCTTTTTTATTTGTTGTGAACTGCTGTGAGTCGCCTTCGGGCTGAGAACAGCGGTATATAAGTAAGGTAAATAAATAAAATAAATAAATTTTTCTTCTCCCTGTCGAAGTGTGCAACCTGACTTGCTCCATGGGCCGCGTGAATGCAGAGTGCGATGCTTGCATGTGCGAGGAGAATTTGCTGCGAGGAAAGGTCTCCCTTCCGGACGGGGCCCCTGCGGTCGCTGCCTCCATCTACTTACAGGCCAAAGCAACCAAGTTGCTAACCATAACGGATGACAATGGAGCATTTCACATTCCTGGCATCTGTCCTGATGGGAAAACAACCTTGGAGATTAAAAAGCCAAGATACAGAACCGCTTTGGTCACGGTGCCAGCAAATCCTGGACGTTCCTCTTTGGTCCAGGTTCACTTGAAAAGATCAGGTAAAGAGGAATTCGGATATCTTCAGCCTCAGAGAGGGATGCGATCTGTTACCTCATACCTAAAACACTCTCATAAGATCCTTTCCTTGAATGGGAAAATGAGAACACAGCTTGTTTTGGCCGGTGGTCCTTCTTCTCTAGTCCTCAGGGGAAGAATGTCCGGGCGAGAGCACTGTCTTGAAAGATGGGCATACAGTCATAAAGTTGGAAGAGACCACATGAGCCATCCCCATACTGCTATGCAGGAAGACACTATCAAAGTATATATATTAAGGGTGTGCAAAAATTGAATTAGAATCATAGAATCAAAGAATTGGAAGAGACCTCATGGGCCATCCCGTCCAACCCCCTGCCAAGAAGCAGGAACATTGTATTCAAATCACCCTTGACAGATGGCCATCCAGCCTCTGTTTAAAAGCTTCCAAAGAAGGAGCCTCCACCACACTCCGGGGCAGAGAGTTCCACTGCTGAACGGCTCTCACAGTCAGGAAGTTCTTCCTCGTGTTCAGGAGGAATCTCCTCTCTTGTAGTTTGAAGCCATTGTTCCGCGTCCTAGTCTCCAAGGAAGCAGAAAACAAGCTTGCTCCCTCCTCCCTGTGGCTTCCTCTCACATATTTATACATGGCTATCATATCTCCTCTCAGCCTTCTCTTCTTCAGGCTAAACATGCCCAGCTCCTTAAGCCGCTCGTCATAGGGCTTGTTCTCCAGACCCTTGATCATTTTAGTCGCCCTCCTCTAGACACATTCCAGCTTGTCAATATCTCTCTTGAATTGTGGTGCCCAGAATTGGACATAATATTCCAGGTGTTGTCTAACCAAAGCGTAATAGAGGGGTAGCATTACTTCCCTAGATCTAGACACTATTGTCTATAAATAAGATGCATCAAATTTATGCATACAAATTGATATTAGAAACATGCAGGAAAGGGGGAAATTTTAGAATCGAAACACTCACCAATCATTTTCGTTAAGATTCTGTAACATTTGGATGCCTCCCAAAGTCTGTTGAATTTTCAATATAAGAATTAAGCAACTTTGGCCAAAAGGCCATTGCTAGTGTTTAAATTAAGACCTTTCTGCTGGTTGCCATAAGGAAGGTCAGCTAGAGCAGGAGACTGAGAACACAATATTCTGGGAAATGTAGTTTGGGAAGGTGAGGCCCCCTGTGGCAGAGAATGTAAAAGGCCCTGCCCTAAACTACATTTCCCAGAATGCAGTGCTCAGCATCAGAAAGCCCAACGAGGGCTGCAGCAGCCAACCGTTTAGAGCAGTGATGGAGAACCTTTTGAGCTTGGTGTGTCAAAATTTGCCAAAACCCTGAGCATAACTTGGGTGGAGTGTCACTTTGAGGAAAACCCCCCATAAATTTGCAATATTTATAGTTTAAATAAGAAAAATGTATAATCCATGCTGAGTTATGAACAATGCTCAAACATGCAGATGTTAAATTTGTAGAGCCTTTTACATATTTAAGGATGAAATTAGATTGCCTCTTATAAGGTGTATTTCTTTGTATGTGGCTGCATGTGTCTGCGTGTCATCAAAAATAGCCATGCGTGTCAGTGCTGACACGCGTGTCATAGGTTCACCATCACGGGTTTAGAGACAGTCTAATAATAATAAATAAAATTATTGAATCTGCAAAGAGGACTAAGGCAAGTAAGTAATAGTATAAATCTATGCTAAGTTGAAGTTATGTGGGTGATTGTGTGTCATATAGACAAACAGGCATTCAAGGAGATTGCTGTTGTGACTTTTTGGGTGGGTGGGGGAAAACAAAAATTGGAATGACTTTTTGAAACATGTTTTTTTATCAACCACACATATATTTCCCCCATTTATTAGACACAATGTTTTCCATTTGAATGGCAAACTCTACAACTGTAGATGATGGCTCATATATCATGTCGAACCTTGTGACATTACCAAGGTCTACCTGCCATATGACATTACACGGAGTCAAAGATGTTTTCCTTGAGACCTATCCTTTGCAACCCTTGAAATTGAACACAGGAGACAATAAATTAATATTGAAGTTCTCTTTCCTTCAACTTTAGAAAAACCATATATGGTGACCCATCCAGAAAGCAAAGCGAGAAGAGAGGGGCAAAGTGTTTCGTTCTGCTGCAATGCCGTTGGAGACCCAGTTCCCAGTCGATATTTTTGGTAAGATATTAACAGAAGGTCATAAAAGACATATGCTGGTTTTGCCTCTTAGACTGAATAAAGGCAAACTCTAATACTGACAATGCTGAAAAATAAATGACAAAATATTGCCATTACATTGGTGGCAAAGCAGCAATTATAGCTGTATTAAACATTGATTACAGTTGGCCTTCCATATCCGCAGATTCTGCACCCATGAATTCAACCACCCATGTTTCAAAACAACAACAACAACAATTAGAAGGGTCAGAAAAATCTTGAAATCAAAGCTCAATGGAAGAAAAACAATAAAGACAATCAATATGTTGGCTGTACCTGTAGTACACATCACGGAAAGCATAACTAACTGGGTACAAGCCAAACTGGACATCCTGGATAAAATAACAAAATATGATTACCATAAACCAAGCGCTGTACCTATGAACTGACAAGAGCAGAGTTGGGTAGCATCTGCACACAGATGATACTGAACTCCAAAACTCTCTCCCAGTGGTTTCATGTAGATGTTAAATAACATTGGAGAAAGTGATGAGCCCTGTGGGACCCACAGTCTAATTGCCATGGGTTTGAGCAGGACTTCCCCAACACCAGTTTTTGGCTGCAATCTGAGAGAAAGGACTGGAACCACTGCAAAACAGCACCTCTCAGCCCCATACCTGTTAGTCACTCCAGAAGGATGCCATGGCTAATGGTATTGAAAGCCACTGAAAGGTCCGGGAGATCCAAACAGGTCACATTCCCCTTATCTAGTTCTCCAAGTAGATCATCCAGCAAGGTGACCAAAGCCGTTTCTGTTCCATGACCCGGCCTGAAGCCAGATTGAAATGGGTCAGGAAAATCCGCTTCATCCAAGGACTCCTGGCATTGTTGGCCACCACCCATTCCAGAATTTTACTAATAAATAGCAAAAATGACACCAGTCTATAGTTTTTGAGCATGGTCAGATTAAGGGATGAGTTTTTACTAAGCTAAAACCAGAGACAGGAGACCAGGAAAACACAAAATGGTGAGGAAGTGTTCCAAAGAAACAAGATTGCTGTGACACTGAGCCTTGATGATTTTCTGTCCTGAAATGTGTATAGGTTCCACAACGAAACCCTTCTGGACCCGATGCTGTACAAATACAAGAACAACCTGCTGCTCAAGAACTTGAAGGCGGACCATTCTGGGCAATATTTGTGCAAGACCAGCAATGAGGCAGGTTCTGTGAAGTCACAAGTGGCCACTCTTTCCATTATAGGTAAGGATTTTTTGGGGAAAGGTCAATTTATACACAATGGTAGGTGTTTTGTAACCCACCTTGAAGAGAGGCGGATAAGAAATAATAATAATAATAATAATAATAATAATAATAATAATAATAACAATAACAATAATCATAATAATATTTTTGTCGTGTCAGGAGCAACTTGAGAAATTGCAAGTCGCTTCTGATGTGAGAGAATTGGCCGTCTGCAAGGACGTTGCCCAGGGGATGCCCGGATGATTTGATGTTTTTATCATCCTTGTGGGAAGCTTCTCTCATGTCCCCCCATGAGGAGCTGGAGCTGATAGAGGGAGCTCATCCACCTCTCCCCGGATTCGAACCTGTGACCTGTCGGTCTTCAGTCCTGCCGGCATAGGGGTTTATCCCACTGTGCCACTGGGGGCTCCAATAATAATAATGATAATGATAATGATAATGATAATAATAATAATAATAATAATAATCACATTGAACCATTGAACCATTAGAAATGAAAGATGTCACTATATCTCAGCCACCCATGAAAGTATTTGGGAATTCTGGATAAGGAATGCTCAACCTGCACTAACCTAGCTTGTCTAGCTATATAATAGCCCCTTCTTTGGAGTCTTTTAAACATAGGCTGGATGGCCATCTGTCGAGGGTGCTTTGAATGCTATTTTCTTGCTTCTTGGCAAGGGGTTGGACTGGATGGCCCATGAGGTCTCCTCCAACTCTATGATTCTATTAATCTTTCTTCTTATGCCCCTAAATGAATCATTGTTCACCAAACCAATGTCAAAAATCTTTCTCAATAGGAAAGAATGAAGCTCCCTGCAACCCAAAGCCTGAGGGTCATTTTATTCAGCTTCCCCATGACTGCTTCCAGAACTCAACCAACTCCTTCTCCTATGACGTTGGGAATTGTCCACCCAAGACATGTGCTGGAGCATTAGACAAAAGCCTCCGCTGCAAGGACGGCGTCACCAACTGCTGTGGGGCCACCAAAATGGAGATGCGAGAGCTGTCGTGTGCCGGATACACCCTTCCCATCAAAGTGACGGTGGAGTGCGGTTGTCAGAAATGCACTGAGGCCAAAGTCGTGGTTCGAGGGAGAGCTGTGGCTTCGGACACAGATGAGCCCATGAGGTTTGGCCACATTTTCATGGGGAACAACCGGGTCGGCATGACAGGTTACAAGGGGACCTTCTCAGTTCAAGTGCCACCGAACACCGAGAGACTAGTGCTCACGTTTGTGGATCGCTTGCACAAATTTGTGAACACCACCAAAGTGTTGCCTTTCAACAAGAATGGTGGATCCGTCTTTCATGAGGTCAAGATGTTACGGAAGAAGCCGCCCATCACTTTAGACTCCAATGAGACTAGTATGATCTCCTTGGGGGACATGGAGGGAGATGATCCCATGGGAAAACTGGAAATCCCTCCCAATACATTTTACAGACAGAATGGAGACCCCTACACAGGGAAAGTCAAAGCCAGTGTGACTTTCCTGGATCCAAGGAACGTCTCCAATGCAGCCATGGCACAAAGTGACTTGAATTTTGTGGACGATGAAGGCGACATGCTCCCACTGCGGACTTACGGCATGTTTTCCATGGATTTCACTGACGAAGCGGCCACAGAGTCTCTCAATGCAGGAAAAGTCAAAGTCCACCTGGATTCCTCCCAAGTCCGGATGCCAGAACACCTGGAAGGCATGAAGCTTTGGTCTCTCAACCCACAGACAGGCTTATGGGAGGAAGAAGGGGACTTCCAGCTTGACCGGAGCCAGCGCAGCAAACGGGAGGAACGGACATTTCTGGTCGGCAACATGGAGATCAGGGAAAGGCGGCTTTTCAACCTGGATGTGCCAGAGAGCCGGCGGTGTTATATCAAGGTGCGTACTTACAGGAGCGAGAGGTACCTGCCCAGCGAGCAAGTGACGGGAGTGGTGGTTTCAGTCATCAATTTGGAACCCACACCGGGATATTCTACTAACCCTAGAGCGTGGGGCCGCTTTGACAGTGGGGTGACCAGCTCCAATGGAGTGTGCGTGCCGGCCTTCTGCGATGACCAAAACCCGGATGCCTATAGTGCCTACATCATGGCAAGTCTTGGGGGAGAGGAACTTGAGGCTGTCCCTTCCTCGCCAAGGCTTAATCCATTTGCCATCGGAGTCCCACAGCCCTACCTCAGCAAGCTCAGGTATCAGCGGACGGATCACTTCGATCGCAATGTGAAGAAGACTGCTTTCAGGATCAGCGTGGCCAAGCCCTCCCCTAATGCTGCCGAAGAGAGCAACGGGCCCATTTACCCCTATGAAAAGCTGCAAGAATGTGAAGCAGCTCCTTACACGGCTGCTCATTTCAGGTTTTACAGGGTAGAGGGGGACCGCTACGACTATAACACGGTTCCATTCAACGAAGATGACCCCGTCAATTGGATAGAGGACTATCTGGCTTGGTGGCCCCGGCCAGTGGAGTTTAGAGCATGTTACATTAAGGTGAAAATCAACGGGCCTCTGGAGGTCAACATACGGTCTCGCAACATGGGCGGCACTCACCCCCGGACTGTTGGAAGGCTCTATGGCATCAGAGACGTGCGGAGCATCCGAGACTTGGACTACCCCAACCTTTCGGCTGCATGCCTCGAATTCAAGTGCAGCGGCATGTTATATGACCAGGAACGTATCGATCGGACCCTCGTGAAAATCATCCCACAGGGAAGCTGCTACAGAGAGAGCGTCAACAGCATGTTGCACGAATACCTAGTCAACCACCTTCCTGTTGCCGTTAATAATGACTCCAGCCAATATACCATGTTGGCTCCTCTTGACCCGCTGGGCCACAACTATGGTATCTACACCGTTACAGATCAGGACCCGAGGACGGCCAAGGAAATAGCTTTGGGCAGATGTTTCGATGGCACCTCGGACAGCTCCTCAAGGATCATGAAGAGCAACCTCGGTGTCGCGCTCACTTTTAACTGCCAAGAAAGAGATGCGCAACAGCAAAATTTGTTCCAGGCTCTGCGGAACGTGCCCAGCCAGTATCCAGCAAGACCTCTTCGAGAGAGGATCGGCGTACGAAGGCCGAGCCAAAGCCGCAGAGCTCTGATCCGAGGGAAGGGCATGCCCTTGGTTAGAATTCCTCAAAAAGCCCAATAAGCTCCCAGCTGCCATCTCCGACTCTCTACTAGCAGCTCTATGAAGATGCCAGAGTATTTGGAAATGCATGCATCAGTGGTGGCAACAGTCCCTTCCAGCATGAGTCATGAGTCCACTCCGGATTTTCTTCTGAACTGTAAAGGAGCAAACAGAGAGGGGTCCTTTAAAGCTCTGCCCAACCAATCAAGGGAATCTCAGATAACCCCTTTAAAGTTCAGACTAAAACCTGGAAGGGATTTGTGGTCCCACTGACAAGGGAGCCACCAACTGTCACCATATGATGATGCAAAGCCTCTTTTCCCAAACTGAAATGCTTGAAGATGGCCTTATACTGACATTCAGATCTTGTTCTAGGAATGCCACACAAGAGTTGCTGGCAGACAGAATTCATTCAGGCTGCATTTCATCTTGTCCTAAGTTGGGTATTTTGGACTACAAACCCCACCAGCTCCGGATGGTCACTGGTTGGACTAATGAGAGTTGCGTCTGTTCAGATCTGCAAGGCAGCAAGATGGAACAGAAGCGAGGACGAAAACAGGCATCCGGCAGCTGCTTTAGAATGCAACCGTTCTTAACACCCACATGTTGCTCTTTTCCAAAGGATGTCTTATTTAACAAAATCAGTTTAGAAAAACTCAAGAATCAAATGCCTATCTACATTATTAGCTTGCACTTCTGCAAATGCTGAGAAAAATTAGCATAAAGAACAGTAGGCGGGATATGCAATGTAAAGGAATGTACATAAAATATTTTTTTAGTGGTACGACTGGCTTTGCCAGCCCCATTAGCAAATATTATTATTAACCAATAAAGAAAAAGAAGTGATTTCTTAAGACTGGATTTAACTGTAAGATGTCCACCTGAATTGTGAACAATGGTATTTATTTTCCATATTTGTTGAATGGCTCTTTGTGTGCATTCCTTCCTGAAATACTTGGTGGATTCACTTATTAATGAGCTGAAGGCAGAACATGTGAAAAGGATCTAGAGGTCTTAGTAGACCAATAGGTAAAGACTGAATCAACCATGTTGATGCAGCAGCTAAAAAAGCCAATGTAATTCTTGGCCTCATCAACAGGACCATGGTGTGTCCAGATCAAAATAAAAAGTACCAGCATTCCTCTATACTACTTTGGTCAAATCCCACCTGGAAAAATATGTCCGGTCATCACAATTCAAGAAGGATACTAGCAAATTGGGATGTATCCATAAACTGACGAAATGTCTTGCAAAACCTTCTTATAGTACTGAGGCTTATTAAATATGGTTTTCTGTGGGTGAGCAGATGGTGACTACTGGATGGCACATGTTCTGTATCGGAAACTAGAGCTGATGTGGTCTATCCAATGCAATTTTCTGAATCAGCACCCCAAATAACCAAATTAAACCTAAAGTTGACCAAAAACTGATTCGTAACTCTTTTGGTACTTATGTTGGAGAGTGGTCCCTGGTCAGGCGGTTCCTGGTTAAAAAAAAGGTTGGGATCCATTGATATATACAGACACAGGCAAACATTCAGTGCCTTGATGCAATGAAACACAAATACACAAAGGCAAAAGCTTCCCCTTTCATCTCCAGCTCTGAAGATGGTACTCATCTCCAGCTCTGAGTATGTGCTCATCTCCATTTCCAAGCCGAGGAGCTGGTGTTGTCTGTAGACACCTCCTGGTCATGTGGCCGGCATGACTGCTTGGAGCACCTGTTTGCCTTCCCGCAGAGATGGTACCTATTGATCTACTCACATTTACATGTTTTCGAACTGCTAGGTTGGCAGGCGCTGGGGCTAACAGCAGGAGCTCACCCTGTCCCACAGATTCAAACTGCCAACCTTAAGGTCAGCAAGTTCAGCAGCTCAACAGTTTAACCTGTTGTGTCACTGCAGCCTCAGTTGAAAGACACCACTGAATGTAAGATGCACACTAATTTCATTATCACCAAGAATACATAAGATACACCTGCAATTCTAAGACACACCTCATTCTTAGAGATGTTTATATAAGGGGAAAGGTGCACCTTTCTCTAGTTCAGGGGTCCCCAAACCAAGGCTTCCAACTTGAATTTTAGACTTAGGGTCACTTTAAGTCTGAAACGACTTGAAGGCACACACAACAACAATCTTAATTCACTTGACTCTCTCATCAGCCAAAAGCAGTCCATGTTTCAATCTATGGTGAGCATGGGCAAACTTTGACCCTCCAGGTGTTTTGGACTGCAACTCCCACAATTCCTAACAGCCTATCGGCTATTAGGAATTGTGGGAGTTGAAGTCCAAAACACCTGGAGGGCCCAAGTTTGCTCATGCCTGATCTACGGTGTGGCAGAATAGACGTTGTTATTTGGGAGACACAAACTTATGAAAATAATTTAATGCCCAGTTTACTGGATCACAAACTGGTAATTTAAATGCAAAACCAAAACTATAATGCGCTTTATACACAGAATTGGGATACAGAGGCTAGGAAAGCGCCTTTGCTGGGCTGGAAATGTATTCCAAGTTCCAACCACTTGACTTGGATACAGGATTCAAGGTGAGCAGATACCCTCAAGTCCTTTTGCAGGTGCAGACAAGGAGCAAAGCTCAAATGATATCACTTCTGCTCTTTCCAACCTTTGAACTGCGCCAGGGATATGCTTTGCTTCTGGAGCAGAACTGATATATTATTACCAGTCTCCAGCTTATAGAAGCCACTGGTTCTTTTGGACTTGGATGCAGGAGGTTGTGACTACGACTATGTGTTGTGAGCCTGCAACACTGTTCCTTTTGGGCTCCTTTTGGTTGTGACCAGCTTGAGAGTCTGAAACCTGCATCTCTCAGGAGGCATTTTAGCATTCTGCTGAAACCACGGATGCAAGTAGCCATTGTAGAAATCGGCAGCGGTCAGCTTCTTCTTCAGGACGACCCCTTTCGCTCCGACCCAGCCTTCCTAGAAAGAGCATCAGCAATTACGTTTTAAAAAGGCTCAGCAAGTCTGCAACCACATCACACAGAAATGAAATGTAACACAAGTCGTTAGAAAGAACTTCCTGATGGTGAGAGCTGTTCAACAGTGGAACTTACTGCCTCTTTGGAGGCTTTTAAACAGAGGCTGGATGACCATCATTCAAGAGGGATTTGAGTGTGCTTTTCCTGCATGGCAGAAGGGTATTGGACTAGATGGCGTTTAGGGGTCTCTGCCATCTCAATGATTCTATGATTTGGGGTTTTGAAACATAGAATCATAGTATCATAGAATCATAGAGTTGGAAGAGACCTCGTGGGCCATCCAGTCCAACCCCCTGCCAAGAAGCAGGAATATTTATTTATTTAGGTTGTTGTAGGTTTTTCCGGGCTATATCGCCATGTTCTAGAGGCATTTTTTTCCCTGACGTTTCGCCTGCATCTATGGCAAGCATCCTCAGAGGTAGTGAGGTCTGTTGGAAGTAGGAAAATGGGTTTATATATCTGTGGAATGACCAGGGTGGGACAAAGGACTTTTGTCTGCTGGAGCTAGGTGTGAATGTTTCAACTGACCACCTTGATTAGCATTTAATGGTTTGGAAGTGCCTGGGGGAATCTTTTGTTGAGAGGTGATTTGATGTGCCTGATTGTTTACTCTCTGTTGTTTTGCGGTTGTAATTTTTTAATACTGGTAGCCAGATTTTGTTCATTTTCATGTTTTCCTCCTTTCTGTTGAAATTGTCCACATGCTTGTGGATTTCAATGGCTTCTCTGTGTAGTCTGACATGGTGGTTGTGAGAGTGGTCCAGCATTTCTGTGTTCTCAACTACCATGTCAGACTACACAGAGAAGCTATTGAAATCCACAAGCATGTGGACAATTTCAACAGAAAGGAAGAAACCATGAAAATGAACAAAATCTGGCTACCAGTATTAAAAAACTCAAAAATTACAACAGAAAAACAAGAGAGAGTAAACAATCAGGCACATCAAATCACCTCTCAAAAAGATTCCCCCAGGCACTTCCAAGCCATTATATGCTAATCAAGGTGGTCAGTTGAAACATTCACACCTAGCTCCAGCAGACAAGAGTCCTTTGTCCCACCCTGGTCAAGCCACAGATATATAAACCCATTTTCCTAGTTCCAACAGACCTCACTACCTCTGAGGATGCTTGCCATAGATGCAGGCGAAACGTCAGGAAAAAAAATGCCTCTAGAACATGGCCATATAGCCCGGAAAAACCTACAACAACCCAGTGATTCCGGCCATGAAAGCCTTCGACAGTACATTTATTTATTTATTTATTTGCATTATTTCTATCCTGCCTGCCCATATCAGCCTGAAATAAAATATGGCATTTTTTTTTATAAAAAGCAAAAAAGAAACATTACAGAACATAAAAACAATAAATTAAAAAATTAAAACTATGCATTCATAGCACCCCCAACAGATAGCCATCCAGCCTTTTTAAAAGCTTCCAAAGAAAGAGCCTCTACCACACTCCGAGGCACATAGTTCCTCTGCTGAACGGCTCTCAGAGTCAGGAAGCTCTTCCTAATGTTCAACTGGAATCTCCTTTTTTGTAGTTTGAAGCCATTGTTCCATTACGTCCTAGTCTCCAGGGCAGCAGAAAACAAGCTTGCTCCCTCCTCCCTATGACTTCCTCTCACATATTTATACATGGCTATCATGTCTCCTCTCGGCCTTCTCTTCTTCAGGCTAAACATGCCCTGCTCTTTAAGCCGCTCCTCATAGGGCTTGTTCTTCAGACCCTTGATCATTTTAGTCGCCCTCCTCTGGACACATTCCATTTTGTAAAACCATGACTTGCATCCTGTTAGTCAGGGATGTCGTTAAACTCAAGGCATTACATTCTCATTTGCAATCGTGGCACTATTGCTACATATACAAAAGATCCTGAAACCTGCTTTAAAAGCTTGGTAGCCATTTGGACCAATGGAAATCAGTGCTAAAGGATGATGTGACCTGCCTTCTCCCACAGAGGTTGCAATGCCTGCTCCTTGAAAGCATTATACGCTGGAGGGAGAAGGCTAGATCCATCACGCTGCAGCACTCTGCTCCTTCGCAGCAGGGCTTGACTATCAAAATAGGTTTTCAATGGCTAGCTGGTGAAATAAGCGGCATTCATGACAAGACCTCAGTCTAGGCTTCCAGAATATAGATAGCAAATAGAATCTTATGTGGGACCCAAAAAGACAGGGATTTCAGAAAGGTTTCATCACTCTACACATGTTGCATCTCCAAGCCACAGAGAAGGACAATGCAAGCCAGAATAAACTTAATCTGGAAGCAATGCATTCAATGGGAGCTGCATCAATGCAGCAGCTTGAGGAGACTCTGGTTACACTTACTGGCATTTATTGATATAGATATATACACACACACATACAGTGGGAGGGGGGGAAGCATTTAGTCAGATACCAATTGTACAAGTTCTCCCACTTAAAAAGACGAGAGAGGCCTGTAATTGACATCATAGGTAGACTTCAACTATGAGAGACAACATGAGAAAACACATCCAGAAAATCACATTGTTTGATTTTTAAGTAATTTATTTGCAAATTATGATGGAAAATAAGTACCATATTTTCCAGCATATAAGATGACTGGGCATATAAGATGACCCCCCAATTTTTCCAGTTAAAATACAGAATTTGGGATATATTCAAGACGACCCCTCTTCCAATGCACATCAAATAAAAATTTAAAAAGCATCAGATTTGATTTCAATATGGTAATTTTCCTATTACTATACCTCCTTCTCTGCCTCTCAGATCTCGCAAATGTGCACCTTCACTGCAGCCTTCAGGAGCGAGAGCTGAGAGGCAGAGGAGGAGGTATGGTAATAGGATACAAGGGCGGGCCAGACAGGTAAAAGAGGTGTGTTTTTCTGGGCCCAGAGCCACTCTATCTCTTTTTTCCATACTCCAGGTGCCCCGGACACCTGCAGCTTGCTCCGCCCTTCACTTACACCTTTCCGGTGAGACGCCCCTTCACCTCACCACCAGGACCACATGAAGTCCACAAATCCTGATGAATGGATTTTCTTTTACCGTACTTGTACAGCGTTGCCCTTAATGCTTTCATACAGTCACTGCATGTGGCAGGGACGTGGCCATTGCCATTTTTGAGCTCCCCCCACCATATGCAGCAACCACAGATTCTCCAATCCGGATTGGAAGTTTCAGCACCCACTCTATATGACAACTCCCTGAGTATAAGATGACTCCCGGCGTATAAGACGACCCTTGGCTTTTGAGAAGATTTTCTTGGGTTAAAAAGTAGTCTTATATGCCAGAAAGTATGGCATTTGGTCACCTACAAACTAGCAAGATTTCTGGTCTCACAGACCTGTAACTTCATTTTGAAGAGGCTCCTCTGTCCTCCACTCATTACCTGTAGTAATGGCACCTATTTGAACTTGTTATCAGTATAAAAGCACCTTCCACAACCTCAAGCAGTCACACTTCAAACTCCTCTCTGGTGAAGGCCAAAGAGCTGTCGAAGGACACCAGAAACAAATTTGTCACCCTGCACCAGACTAGGAAGACTGAATCTGCAATAGGCAAGCAGCTTGGTGTGAAGAAATCAACTGTGGGAGAAATAATTAGAAGATGGAAGAGATACAAGACCACTGACAATCTCTCTCAGTCTGGGGCTCCATGCAAGATCTCACATCGCCAAGGGAAAGAAAGAGTGGCTGCTCCGTAAGAAGCATTTCAAGGTCCTGGAGTGGTCTAGCCAGTCTCCAGATCTCAACTCTATAGAAAATCTTTGGAGGGAGTTGAAAGTCCGTGTTGCGCAGAGACAGCCCCAAAACATCACTGCTCTTCAGGAGATCTGCATGGAGGAATGGGCCAACATACCAGCAACAGTGTGTGCCAACCTTATAAGGACTTACAGAAAACGTTTGATCTCTGTCATTGCCAATCTATATAAATAAAAATGTAATGTTCGTTTGTGAGATTAACCTAACTCAAAAACCACTGGACCAATTGACACGAAATTTGGAAACAACACACCTAACAGTCCAGTAAGTATCCATCACCCCTAAAACACACACAAATACACCCACACCCACACCCAAAATCCCAGCGGAACAGACTTAAAACCCCAAAAAATACACCATATATACATATACAAATACACTCATATACATATACACATGCACACATTCATACACACATGTATATATATATATATATATATGCACAAACATACACAAATATACACATATACACACACATATATACATATACACATGCACACACAAATATTCACACAAATATTCATATAGACAAGCACACACATATACACAATATGCATGTATACATGAACAACACAAATACACACACACACATATATATGCATGCATGCATGCATGCAAACACACATATATATATACACAAATATTTACACACACATAAACACATATACACAGACTGGGCCACAGCAACGTGTGGCAGGGGATGGCTAGTAAACGATATATAACAAAGTACTGAGATGAACTTATAAATAACATCTGATCTCCAGCTTTGAAAGCTCTTGGCAACTGTGACGTGAATTGACTAACAATGGACCAACAGACACTGCCTCTTGCATGAGTATACCATCTGCTCATCTGCTTGTGATTAGTGCCACCACCCATTGGCTGGTCGGGAAGAGGCGGGAGCCTGGCCAAGGGGATGCCAGCTTGTCCTTCACGGATCCTCAGAAACCGGTCTCCTAATTCTGAACTGACTACCCTTGATTGAGAAGTGGCCTAGTCCAAGAAGGCAAAGAACTTTTTTCGAACTGGTTCTACTACTATGTCACTTTAGCCTAGAGCATTTTAGATCTTTCGGTGGTTGTCCGGTATCCACCACCCCCGGAAGACTGAGTCGGCCACCTGTGACCAAATTACCGCCACCTTTGCATCCCGCTGATCCAATCTTGGACAAATTGTGTGATCTTTCATGGTCCAGCAGTGCCTGCTGATTGTGTTGACTGTGTTGAACTGCTGATTGTTACTGTGTAGACCTCTTGTGTAGACCGTTTGTGTAGACCTCTTATGCTGGCCTCTTTGTATGAAGAGATATCATCGTAGTTCAACTGTGCTGACCGCCGCTGTGTTGACATCGCCGGATGACCCATCCGCTTTTAGACCAACCGTCTAGGGATTACATCTGAATCATAACAATTTTAATAACCTTATCCAATTACTATTACCATCATCCTTGTGAGAGTGTGATTACATATCACTACCTCAGTTACCCCTTGGTTGTCGTTTGCTGCTAATTTGATCAAGAACGCAATAGCACTTTAAGGCGCCTGCCACTGCTGCTAAATTATACCAGCACTACGCCCCCATCCTTTTCCTCTATGCCGCACTTTAGTTAATTGAGAGAACCAGTTTGGGTATCTATTGCACTTAGATCTTTCACTTTATGTACTGCACCTTAGATCTTGCACTTTATGTATGTGCCCAACGGTACGCAGTATGTTGTTGATTGAGTGATATTACTGACTGGGTGGCATTTAAGTCTCTTGCACTTTACGAACTGTTTAACTGGTGTGGCTGAACGCCTAGCCCCACCTGAATCTATTGTTATCCATGTGGCTCCCCATCCCCCTATTTGTTCTGTCCCTGTTACTGCTGACTAGTGGAGGGGGCAGGGGAGGAGGAGGGCTGGAGCCTGTGAACAAGGATGGGGCAGGGAGGGGGGAGGAGGGGAGGCAAGGGAGATGGCAAAGGCCAACAATCCAAACTTCGAGCGATATTGGAAATAAGACCTTGGTGCTGGACTGCGGCATGGAGGAGGGGAGGTGTTCCACTAGCCGAGGGGCCCCCATAGAGGTCGTGGTGGGGAGGAGGAGATGCGGTAAAAGGAGACCTCAAATTCGGCTTAATTCGGACCGCTTACCAACATTAACAACCCTAAACCGGTCTCCTAAGGTATATTGGTGTAACCAGGTGAGCGGGCCCTCCGGATTGAAGGTGGTGCTGCTGAACGCCAGGTCTGTCAACGGAAAAACGACCTGGATCCAGGACTTAATCCTGGATGAGCGGGCAGATCTGGCGTGCATTACGGAGACCTGGCTGGATGAAGCTGGGGGCATAAATCTTACCCAGCTTTGTCCTCCAGGCTTCTCCGTACAGCACCAACCGAGATCCGGAGGACGGGGAGGCGGGGTCGCAGTGGTCTATAGAGATTCCATCCATCTGACCAGGAGTCCCATCCCGCAGACCACAAATTTTGAATGCGTCCACCTGAGGGTGGGTGACCGGGACAGAATAGGGATTCTGTTAGTGTACCGTCCACCTCGCTGCACTACAGTCTCCCTACCTGAGCTAGCGGGGGTGGTCTCGAGCCTGGCGTTGGAGTCTCAACGGCTTCTTGTGCTGGGGGACTTCAACATCCATGCCGAGGCGACCCTCACAGGAGCAGCTCAGGACTTCATGTCCGCCATGGCAACCATGGGGCTGTCCCAACGAATAACTGGCCCTACCCACTGTGCTGGACATACATTGGACTTGGTTTTCTGCCAGGGATGGGAGCAGGGTGGCAGTGTGGAGGAGTTGTCCATCTCTCCGTTGCCATGGACCGACCACTTCCTGATCAGATTTAGGCTCACTGCGCCCCCTAACCTCTGCAAGGGTGGAGGACCCACTAAGATGGTCCGCCCCAGGAGGCTTTATGGATCCGAATGGATTCCTGACGGCTCTTGGGGATTTTCCTGCAACCTCGGTAGGTGACCATGTCGAGGCCTTGGTCGCTCTCTGGAATGGGGAGATGACTAGGGCAATAGACACGATCGCTCCAGAACGTCCCCTCTCAAGTAGCCGAGCTAAACCAGCTCCTTGGTTTACCGAGGAGCTGGCAGTGATGAAGCGAAAGAAGAGGGAACTAGAGAGCGTGTGGCGTTCGGATCCAAGCGAGTCAAACCGAGCACGGTTTGTGTCCTTTCTTAGGGCATATGCCGCGGCAATAAAGGCCGCAAAGAAAGTTTTCTTTGCGGCCACTATTGCGTCTGCAAAGAACCGTCCGGCGGAGTTGTTTCGGATTGTTAGAGGTCTTTTAACTCCCGCCACCTCTGGCGGGAGCCCTGACAATTCGGTCACGCGCTGTGAAGCATTTGCTCGGTTCTTTGCAGACAAAGTCGCCTTGATCCGTTCTGGGCTGGACGCCGCGTTAAATGCAGTCTCAGAGGATGTAACAAGAGCACCTGCTTGTCCTATTTTGATGGATTCTTTTCAGTTTGTGAAACCCGAGGATGTGGACAAGATACTTGGAGGAATGAGGCCCACCACGTCCATCCTAGACCCCTGCCCATCCTGGCTTCTGAAGGAGGCCAGAGGGGGATTGGCTGAGTGGGTAACGGTGGTGGTTAATGCCTCCCTTCGGGAAGGCAAGATTCCAGCGTGCTTAAAACAAGCAATTATAAAACCGCTGTTGAAGAAACCATCACTGGACCCCACTAAATTCGACACTTTCGGCCTGTTTCCAATCTCCCCTTTTTGGGCAAAGTCATGGAAAGCGTGGTGGCCTCACAACTCCAGGTATTCTTGAGAGACACGGATATTCTGGATCCGGCACAGTCTGGCTTCAGACCGGGACATGGTACCGAGACGGTCTTGGTCGCCTTAGTGGATGATCTGCGTCGGGAGCTAGACAGGGGGAGTGTGTCCCTGTTGGTGCTCCTGGACCTCTCAGCGGCCTTCGATACTGTCGACCACAGTATCCTTCTGGGGCGCCTTGCGGAAATGGGCCTTGGGGGCACTGCTTTGCAGTGGCTCCACTCATTCCTGGAGGGCCGCACCCAGAAGGTGTTATTGGGGGACTCCTGTTCTACGCCACAACCTTTGACTTGTGGGGTTCCACAGGGTTCCATACTGTCCCCCATGCTGTTTAATATCTACATGAAGCCGCTGGGTGAGATCATCCGGATTTTCGGGGTGCGGTGTCATCTGTACGCAGATGATGTCCAACTCTGTCACTCCTTTCCACCTGCTACTAAGGAGGCTGTCGAGGTCCTGAACCGGTGCCTGGCCGCTGTGACGGTCTGGATGAGGGCGAACAAACTGAAATTAAATCCAGACAAGACAGAGGTACTCCTGGTCAGTCGCAAGGCCGAACAGGGTATAGGGTTACAGCCTGTGCTGGATGGGGTCGCACTCCCCTTGAAGGCGCAGGTTCGCAGCTTGGGTGTGATCCTGGATTCATCGTTGAGCCTGGATCCCCAGGTTTCAGCGGTGACCAGGGGAGCATTTGCACAGCTTCGGCTCGTGCGCCAGCTGCGCCCGTACCTCGGGATGTCTGACTTGGCCACGGTGGTACACCGCTCTGATCACATCCCGACTTGACTACTGCAACGCTCTCTACGTGGGGCTGCCCTTGAAGACGGCCCGGAAGCTTCAGCTGGTTCAGCGTGCGGCAGCCATGTTACTAACTGGAGCGGGATACAGGGAGCACACAACACCCTTGTTGTCCCAGCTCCACTGGCTGCCGATTTGCTACCGGGCCCAATTTAAGGTGCTGGTGTTGGCCTACAAAGCCCTGAACGGCTCCGGCCCAAAATACCTTTCAGACCGCATCTTGGCCTATGAGCCCACGAGGACCTTGAGATCGTCTGGGGAGGCCCTTCTCTCGATCCCGCCTGCCTCACAGGCACGCCTGGCGGGGACGAGAGAGAGGGCCTTCTCAGTGGTGGCCCCCCGGTTGTGGAACACTCTCCCTACAGACATCAGGCAGGCGCCCTCTCTTTTGTCCTTCCGAAAAAGCCTCAAGACGTGGCTGTTCGAGAGGGCATTTAATTAAGTGCTATAGTAATGTGGTAAAGACGACTGGAATGGTACAAGGAATACGAGATTGGTCACGATTCTATTACGAGACGAAGCGGATTAGTTAGTGTAATTTTAACTGTTGTATTGTTGTATGGTTAATATGCTGTTGTACTTGTCTTTGTGTGAATTGCCTTTTGTACTGTACACCGCCGTGAGTCGCCCGAGTGGGCTGAGAATGGCGGTTAATAAATGCTCCAAATAAATAAATAAATAAACTTTTGTTATGGACCAAATAATTATTTTCCACCATAATTTGCAAATAAATTTGTTAAAAATCAGACAATGTGATTTTCTGGATGTGTTTTCTACTGTCGTCTCTCATAGTTGAGGTCTACCTATGATGTCAATTACAGGCCTCTCTCATCTTTTTAAGTGGGAGAACTTATACAATTGGTATCTGACTAAATACTTCCCCCCCCCACTGTATATAAATACACACATATATACATTGAAACAAATATATATATGGACACATACCTTGCAATTGATTACCAGTGTCTCTGACTGCTTATGGTAGAACACTGATCCTGGGATGGCTCCCTTTTCTGCTGTTATCCTATCTGAACACAAAGCATATATTCTACATTTTGCTTCTCTGTAAGAGTCAACTGCCAACTTATTGCTATGATGCCCTGACGTGACCTCTGGCACTTACAAAGCCAAACCAAACAGAAAGACCCTGCAATGCTTTCAAGTGTTTCCTGGAACTCTGGTTTTCCAAGAGGAGACTGTATGACTCAGAAAAGTGGCCAATGAAAACAACCATGATTCCACATAGTTGACGTTTGCTACGGAGGTCAATGCAAATAGGTTACTCATTGCTAATCTTCCTTGTCCTGATGGGACACAGCCCTGTCAGCGCTCTCCGAGTTGGGTCATTTATTCCTTGTGTCTAAAAAAGTTGGTAGATGAAAAGCACCGCAGGCCAACAAGCTTCGTAAGGCTGCACAGCAGTAATATCTTGCAGCAAAAAACAAGTCATGGAAATTAGGGTGCTAAATTCTTGTTTGCAGAAACCTTGAAGATTATTATTTATTTATTTATTTATTTATTTATTTATTTATTTACTTATATACCGCTGTTCTCAGCCCGAAGGCGACTCACGGCGGTTCACAACCAATAAAGCAGCAAAAATTCAATGCAACAGTATAAAAACACTAAACAACTTAACACATTACATAAATTAGACAAATACTACAATTACTATTTATGCCAATACCTTGGATGTCAGGTAACGTCTCAACTTCAAGTAAATCCAACAGTTTGACAGCAGTCCCCATCCAGAGTGTTTGCAGGGGCATCTGGAAAGGTGCAGCACAATGAAGCACACAAAAGTCACATCCAGGGCAGAGGTAGATTTCTTATTATGGTTATTGATCATTGATCATATTATGGTCATTAATCTATTTATTTGTACCCTGCTTTTCCTCAGGACTAAGATTCACAATCTTAAAACCATACAATTTTTTGTGTATGTGTTTATGTGTGTATATATATTTGTGTATATATGTGTGTTTGCATATATATATATATATATGTGGGTGTATATATTTGTGTATTTGTGTGTTTATATGTGTACATGCATATTGTGTATATGTGTATGCTTGTCTATATGAATATTTGTGTGAATATTTGTGTGTATGTGCACGTGTAAGTCGCTTCTGGTGTGAGAGTATTGGCCGCCTGCAAGGACGTTGCCCAGGGGACACCCGGATGTTTTGATGTTTTTTACCATCCTTGTGGGAGGCTTCTCTCATGTCCCCACATGAGGAGCTGGAGCTGATAGAGGGATTCGAACCTGCAACCTGTCGGTCTTCAGTCCTGCCGGCACAGGGGTTTAACCCACTGCGCTACCAGCGGCTCCTTAAACCATACAATACAAAACACACAAAAGACAAATACTCTACATTGCATTGTTTTTAGCACTGTTCACCATTCTGAGTCCCTGTTAAGAGGAAAGCAGCATACAAATAAATATAATAACAATAATGGAATTGCATCTTAGAATTGTAGGTGTATCTTATCTATTTTCATGGGTAGTGATGGTACTTACAATCAATGACGTTTTATAATTGACGAAATACTAATAAATAATAAATATCAAAATAGAGTTAAACCTTACAATTGTTGAAACCATTTGGTTAAAATATTATTAAAAGACTAAGTAAAAAAGAAATAAGGCAGGCATTTGAGCCAAAATAATTTGCTTCTCAATTTAACTACATTTTGAGTGGGGCCAAGCAATGGAAAGACCCCACTGTGTAAATCTGGCAGTATTTTAGTGTGTATTTCAGATTCTTTTGCCACAGCATCAAAATAAATAGCTAGATTTTTGCACTTGTTTAGACAAAAAGCATTCTGCCATTCCAACTGCAGGATGGAGTCCCCGCTAGCGCATTGGGTTGAAAAAAAAGGAATAGCTGTTTCTGTTAAATTGGGAAAAATACAGATCGCTCTTATCCAAGGAGTTGAACATAAATGCGCTTGGTGGGGACGAGGGACAGGGCCTTCTCGGCGGTGGCCCCCTGCCTATGGAACTCGCTCCCCAGCGAAATTAGGTCAATGGCTTCCCTCCTTTCCTTCAGGAAAAAGTTGAAGCCATGGCTATAGGACCAGGCATTCGGATAGCAGGCTGACAATAGAAATGACTATAATGCTATGGAAAAAGGACTATGGACAGGCTTCTGATTAAGTTGTTGATCATAGAACGTGGACTTGACATACTAATTCAATTTGTACTATTTAAAATGGTTTTAAATCTAATTTTAACGTTTTAACTTATTATGTAACTGTTGCTTATTTGTTGTATATGTGGGGCATTGAATTGTTGCCGGCTGTAATCCGCCCTGAGTCCCCCTTCAGGGGTAGAGAAGGGCGGGGTAGAAAATTTCAAAATAAATAAATAAATAGGTTAAACCCTCATGCTTGCTCAATTGCTGACCTGAAGGTCAGCAGTTTAAATCCAGGGAGCAGGGTGAGCTCCCGTCTGTTAGCTCCAGCTTCCCATGTGGGCACATGAGAGAAGTTTCCCACAAGATGGTAAAACATCCAGGCATCCCCAGGCAACGTACTTGTAGAAGGCCAATTCTCTCGCAGCAAAAGCGACTTGCAGTGTCTCAAGTCGCTCCTCACACACACACACACACACACACACACACACACACACACACACAAACCCTGCAGGATTGGGGCATTAACCAGTTTAATTCCTGAAGGGACATTGGGGTGTCCATGCCACTGTATATCCCCAACAATGAGTTACTTTTATAGGCTTATTTGCCAACCAGCCTCACCATGGAGCCCAAGGCACGATGCATCCTCAGGATCTGCTCCGCTGTTTGCTCTTCCCACCGGATGCAACTCATTGCAGCAGTGAGTTTGGGTGCTTTCAAGTCAAATAAAAGCACAAAGAGCAGTTAGAAATGCTTCCTTCCCTAAATAGCTCAATATTTTTTCAAAACTAAGCCTTAGAGGTCAAAGTGTTCCCAACTAGTACCCATTTCCTGCAGTATAGGATGGCTTCCTTATCCAACCTGTCATAGCAATTAGTTGATACAGATATGGATTTACAATGATGTAGTCCACGCAGGTTGCAAACATGCCCATTCTTATGGGATCGGAAAATACCCTAAAACTCACTGGAAGAGATATTTTTCATCCAGATAATGAAATGAAACAATAACAAATCCCAGAGTAATGATCAAGTCTTTTGCACCCCAAGCCTCGAAACACCTATGACCACTGCGCTACACAAGAGTCCAGGAATATAAGCAAACAGTTTATTGTAAAAACATATAAAAAGCATTTAAAATCAGGAATAAAAAAGAAGATATATATTCCAAAAAGTTTTAGCAACAGTTGATAACCAGACAATAATTCAAATGTCTCGTAAAGTTCTAGAAGCAACAAAGTCCAGGAAAAGCCAGAAATCACAGATACAGCGTAAGTCCACAATCCAGAAGGTATAACTAATAAAACTTGGACAGGATATAATTAGTAAAACCGGGATAGGAGCACATAAAAAGGAACATAGAAAACTTCCAGGATATATTAAATCCAAAATCAAGGCATGACTTGAACCAGGAACAAGAGAACTCAGACTTAGCTTCACATTCTAACACAGAGTTGCCTGAACTGACCTTAAAGTAAACAACTTTTTGTTAATAGACACTCATGAAATCATTCTGTTTCCTGTGAATTTTCTTCACAACTTTCTAACATAATCTCTCTGCATAGTGCAACCTATTTTCTGCCCTGATTTTTAAACAAAGAATTTTTTTGATCTCTGAAGTTCCAGGTGGGTTCTCCTGGGAATCCTCCTTATCACTCAGCTCTTCACTCGATTCCTTATCTACTGTTGCTACTTCTGACTCCCCCGAATGCCCTTGAGGCCTTGCACTTTCTAAGCAAGTTTTCTCACAGAAAGAACCATCATTCCCATGCTTGAATTTCCTAGACTTGAGAACCCATCACTTTGTGCCACAGAAAAGCTCACAATCCTCTCTAAACCATCAGTTAAAGCATCAGCCTCTGGTTGATCTACAACAAAGTCCATTAATCGATACCTAGATGGTGCATGAAACAGCCACTGCTTACCAAACGTGACTCCTTCCTTGGGTTGCTCTCTCATGTTCTGTAAACTTTCAGGTAAGTTTTGGAGAACAGCAATGAGCTGAGAAAGCAAAATCCAAAAGCACAAGATTACATGAAATGAAACAGTTTATTCACATTCCTAATCAGGTTTCAGGTTGTCTAGAGTTAAGCATTCATAACGGATTCCTCTTCTGGAACCTTACATATTCATTGGCATAGAAAATATAGAGACTGTTGCAACAGCTTTGAATCCCCCTCGGGGTGAGAAAAGTGGTATACAAATACTGTAAATAAATAATAACAGTCAAATTCAGGCCCCTTATCCCAATTTCAATATTTAAAAATCCCCAGGAAAAAGGAATGATAATTTACCAGTTTTGCACCTAGACTGGACAATATTGACTCCAACTCTTTGGCTGAGCAGTGGGCTGGGACAGCGATCGACTCCTGCTTAATAATGGGACCTACATCAAACCTAGGAACATAACACAGAACATTAAGTTCTCTCTTTTAATATTTCGTTTGTGTACAATTTGTAAACAGAAAGCAAAGTCTAACAGATACTTTATAAATAAATGGTGGGAGAGAAAGAAGATAATAGAGGTAAAAACAAAGACTTTACACTAAGGGACACAAAGCAATGGCAAACTTCCTCTGAATAGATCTGGATTAAGAAAACCAGCAACCGTTCATCAGAAACTGGAGTTGACTCAAAGTGACCACTAGAAAAAAGTGTCTACCAGAAAAATCACCATAATTTAAGTTCCTTTTAAAAAGATGGTTATACTGAATGAAATTGCAATTATACCTTTTAGGTCTGATCTGCATAATTGTTGCCCCAGTCGTTTGATCTCCATGGAGAACGGTGTGGATGATGGGTGCTGGCCCTCGCCACCGAGGAAGGTAGCTGGGATGGACATTCAGAACACCACTGAATCAAAACATTGGGGAGTTAGAACTGGGTCAGTCATTCTGTAACATACATAAGTATACTTAGCCTTCAGTAGAATTTTCCAAAGTTGAAAATATGTATAAAGAGAAAGGCTATACTGGTCTTTTAAGGATAATTTGGATAAAGGTTTTCCCCTGACATTAAGTCCAGTCATGTCCAACTCTAGAGGTTGGTGCTCATCTCCATTTCTAAGCTGAAGAGCCGGTGTTGTCCATAGACACCTCCAAGGCCATGTGGCCGGCAGGAATGCATGGAGTGCCGTTACCTTCCCAAAAATTGTTTTGGAATAACCCAAGCACTAAATGTGGAGAAAACAACGCAACAGCAACAAACAAAGAGTAACAATCATGCATAACCCGATGATCTGGTAAAAATAATGGCAGGCTACTAATCCCCACTGCAGTATTTCTCAGCCTTACTATGGGAACTTAAGGATGAGCTCCTCGCTGAGCAGGCGCCCAAAGGATGCCACAACGCCGACGTCAAAGTGTTCGCAGGGACCAATGTCGGGCCACAAGTGGATGGGGAGCTGGAGCTGCTCTGCGGTGTTCTCGACCGGGAGCCCCTTTGGCATTTTGGATGGCAGGGTCACCACTTCCAGGTGGTCCACTAGTTGGCATGGAGTTGGCTCTCTGAAACAAATACAGGCAGTAGTCAAGTTATAAACATCTGACGTACAAACGACTTCTAGTTAAGAACAGGGGTAAGACAAATGCCAGTGAGTGTTTTCATTTTATCTGATGTTTTTAATCTGTTGTGTTTTACTTGTAATTTTGGGCTTGTCCCTTGTAAGCCACCCCGAGTCCCCTAAGGGAGATGGTTGGCAGGGTATAAAAATAAGGTTGTTGTTGTTGTTGTTGTTACTTAATTGTGCTCAGCTCCACTGGCTAGTGTCAGCCAGTGGAGCTGACACAACATGGGAGTTGTGTGCTCTCTGTATGCCGCTCCAGTTATTAACCTGGCTCCTTCTCGCTGGATTATCTGAATCTTCTGAACAGTCTTCAAAGGCAGCCCCACATAGAGAGCGTTGTAGTGGTCTATCCTGGAGTGTGGACCACCCTGGCCAAGTTTGACTTTCTAAGACACATATTCCAAAATCCAATTCTTACAGGGAAACAGGCAGCAAAACAAATACCACAGGGATGTTAATCCTTCCATACACTATACAAGGTAAAGGTAAATGTTTCCCCTGTCATGTCCTGTTAAGTCCAGTCATGTTAAGTCCAGTCATGTCCGACTCTGGGGTGTGGTGCTCATCTCCATTTCTAAGCCGAAGAGCTGGCATTGTCCATAGATACTTGCAAGGTCATGTGGCTGGCGTGACTGCATGGAGCACTGTTATCTTCCCGCTGGAGCAGTACGTATTGATCTACTCACATTTGTATGTTTTCAAACTGCTAGGTTGGCAGAAGCTGAGGCTGACAGCGGAAGCTCACGCTGCTCCCCGAATTCAAACCTGTGACCTTTCGGTCAACAAGCTCAGCACTTTAACCCACTGTGCCACCAGGGGCTCCTATTCATAGCTATCTATATTTGTGTGTGTGTGTGTGTATGGAATTGCACTTAAAAATGTACCTATTCCAATTTACCAACAGGTTCAACTTCAGAACAAAGCTACAAAACCTATCTTGTTCACAACTTAGGGACTGCCTGTACAAGATATTGATATTGACAAGCTGGAATGTGTCCAGAGGAGGGCGAGTAAAATGATCAAGGGTCTGGAGAACAAGCCCTATGAGGAGCTGCTTAAAGAGCTGGGCATGTTTAGCCTGAAGAAGAGAAGGCTGAGAGGAGACATGATAGCCATGTATAAATACGTGAGAGGAAGTCATAGAGGGAGGAGGGAGCAAACTTCTTTTCTGCTGCCTTGGAGACTAGGACACAATGGCTTCAAACTATAAGAGAGGACATGAGGAAGAACTTCCTGACTGTGAGATCTGTTCAGCAGTGGAACTCTCTGCCATGGAGTGTGGTAGAGGCTCCTTCTTTGGAAGTTTTTAAACAGAGGCTGGATGGCCATCTGTCGGGGGTGCTTTGAAAGCAATTTTCCTGCTTCTTGGCAGAATGGGGTTGGGCTGGATGGCCCATGAGGTCTCTTCCATGAGGTCTCTTCCAATGGGACGGCTAGTTTATACTATAAATACTTTATATTATAGTATTTATTTACAAATATCCTTATTTATACTGTGTATATTACATTTATAATATAAATTTAAATATATATTTTTATGTAATTTATTCATATTCATCTTAAAAATCATTATTTTGATTTAAGTTCAATATCAATATTTATCTCTAAACTGAATATAAATATTTCAATTGAACCTGAATATAAATAGAATTTTATGGATATTTCACTGAAATCTATTTCAATTTTAAGTTAAATATAAATATTTCTGTCTAAATGAAACATCACTATTTCTATCTATATTAAATACTTCTCTCTAAATGAAATACAAATATTCCTCTTTAACTTAAATGTAAATAGAATTTTGTTGATATTTCATTGAAATCTAATGATTTCTCTGTAAATTCAATATAAATATTTATCTCTAAAAGAAATATAAGTATCTCCACATGAAATATAATGATTTATCTCCCAACCAAATGTCAATTTTCCTCCTGAACTTAAGGACTTCCTATCCAACACCAAACTGCACACTGAGGTTTTTGTCTCCCACTTCCGGTTGTCCTTCGACCCCCCCCCAACATTTCCGGCCCCCCTTCTCCGACCCACCGGGCCCGCCATAGTGCGCGCAAGGCCTGTCCGGCGAAGGCGTCTGTGCCGAAGAAGAGCACCCGCCAGGGCGGCCCGCCTCGCATGCCCACGCCGCTTCCGGGTCCTCGGCCACGCCCCTCACGTCGCGTCATGGCGTCACGCGGAGGGGCGCCAATCCGGGCCCGCCTCGCCTTTGTGGGCGGGGCCCCAGAGCTCCAGTGGGCGGGGCCCTCAGGGTGGGACCCACCAAGACCTCCCCAGGCCCTCTTTGGCATGCATGTGTGCCTGACTATGTGTATATATACATAATTATCTATATGTATAGGTGTGTATATACAAATGCATATATGTATGTGTGCATTTATGTACATCTGTGTACATGTGTATATATTTACATTTATATTTACATATTTATATTTATATATACATATTTATATGTATTGTGTACATATGTGTACATGTGTGTAGACACGTACATATGTGTGTACATGTGTTTATATACATGTATGTGTGCATGTGCATATATGTATACACATATGTACATTTGTATGTATATGTGTGCATGTGTACATACATATGTGTGCATGTATACATGTGTGTATATTTATATACGTGTATATTTGCATGTGCATATATGTGTACATATATGTACATTTGTATGTATATGTGTGTATGTGTACATACATGTGTGTGCATGTATAATGCATGTGTATATACACATGTATGTTGCATGTGTATATGTGTACATATATGTACATGTGTATGTGTATATGTGTGCATATATACATATATACATATGTGAATACACATATATTTGCATGCGTATATATGTGTGTACATATATGTACATGTGTATGTGTGTGTTTATATATGTGTGTGCATTTATACATGTGTGTACACATGCATATGTGTATGTATACAGGTGTGTATACACATTTGTATGTGTACATATATGTACATGTGTGTACATGTGTGTATATGTATACACATACATGTGTATGCATGCATACAAGTGTGTATATACATGTACACGTGTGTATTCCACACTGCCATATGGAAACGCAGTCCATTTAAATCCAATATGCCTGTCCTGTGATTTGTAGTTTGGTGAGGCACTATTACAAGGCTAGAGACCTTGTAAAACTACAATATATGTGTATATATGTATGTACATGTGTATATATATTTGTGTATATATGCACACATAAAACCAACAGCTATTAAACGCACAATACGAAACATCAATAAAATATAACATAAACATAAATAAACATTTAAGAATCATATATATTTGTGTGTGTGTGTATTTGTGTGTGTGCACACTTCCACATATACGTATAAAGAGTGAATAATAATAATAATAATAATAATAATAATAATAATAATAATAATAAGGGCATTGATACCCTGGCCCCTTCCTCTATGTGCTCAAGGAGAGAACACCAAAAGCCATGCTATGAGAACCTTGGATCGCTCCATTAAATGATGGACTACAACCCGGAGCGGACATGGTGGCCTTTGATGATTGATTCTTTGTCACGGTGCTCCAGCTATGGCTTACCAGCATCATGTTTGTATCTGTGGGTTCATCTACACAGTGTAATGAGTGCAGTTTAACCTCGTTTGAACTGGGGATCATGTGCTTTGAACTGGATTATTTAGCAGTGTAGATCCAGTTCGGTGCAATTGAATCCTTGGGGGTTGAGATTTTATGATGCAACAGCTTCCCATTGCAATGAATCCTGACAGTTCAGGCGGGGACAGGCTACATTCTGTGCACTCTTCTGAAATGTTGCCCTTTGTGATACTTTCGACGGGAAGTTTTGAATGAAGATAGCACATGACCAAACCAATATACGGGTTTCTTTTTCACTGTGTTCAAATCTTTCCAATCTCCAAAAAAGGCACAGAGAGCTAAACAAATGCCACAAGGGTGCCCACCCTTTCCTATGCTCTCCAAGGCTAGAAAATAGATTTGGCTGAAATTACCTGTTCAGACTTACAAAGAAATGCAACTTGAGAACAAAGCTACAGAACCAATCTTGTTCGTAACTTGGGGGGAGCTTGTACTTAGTTTCTTTGGGGCGTATTCCTCTCCCAAATGAGCCTCGCACCGGATGATAGCCCTGGTTATTCTGTAACCAAGCAGTCCTGGGTCAAAGACACCGAATATGAAAGATAAAGAGTCCCAAGGGCAGAGAAACAAGAACAAACACACCAAATCTAGCTCGCTATTCCTTCTGAAAAATGTCACGAATGAAAACAGAGCAGGGAGTATCATTTGTGAGACTGGTATCCATTCCCTGGTGTTTATAGTTGTTGTAATGTGTTTTGCATTTGACATTACAAAATATCAGATTTGGTTTGATCTGGGAAGCTAAGCAGGGCCTGTTCCGGTTAGCATTTGGATGGGAGACCGCCAACCCATCCCAGGGCTTCTTAGGCTCTATTTCAGAGGAAGAAACTTACCAAACTGCCTCTGAGCTTTTCTTCCTTTGGCTTTGGCATAAATCAACAGGCAAGTTGGGTCTTGGAAGAACGGTCTGTATAGGATCCGTTTTGGAAATAGTCATTTCTCAATTGTAGATTGTGTTGCTGGAGGAGAGTTCTGAGAGTGCCTTGGACAGCGAGAAGATCCAACCAGTCCATACTTCAAGAAATAAAGCCCGACTGCTCATTGGAGGGAAGAATAGTAGAGGCAAAGATGAAGTCCTTTGGCCACATCATGCGAAGAAAGGAAAGCTTAGAGAAGACAATGATACTGGTGAAAATGGAAGGAAAAAGGAAGAGGGGCCGACCAAGGGCAAGATGGATGGATGGCATCCTTGAAGTGACTGGATTGACCATGAAGGAGCTGGGGGTGGTGACGGCCGACGGAGCTCTGGCATGGGCTGCTCCATGAAGTCACAAAGAGTCGGAAACGACTGAATGAATGAACAACAACAACCAGACCTTTGATCCTTTCAGTCTCCCTCTCCCTCTGGACACCTTCCAACATAGAATCATAGAATGAAAGAGTTGGAAGAGACCTCATGGGCCATCCAGTCCAACCCCCTGTCAAGAAGCAGGAATATTGCATTCAAATTACCGCTGACAGCTAGCCATCCAGCCTCTGTTTAAAAGCTTCCAAAGAAGGAGCCTCCACCACACTCCAGGGCAGAGAGTTCCACTGCTGAACGGCTCTCACAGTCAGGAAGTTCTTCCTCATGTTCAGATGGAATCTCCTCTCTTGTAGTTTGAAGCCATTGTTTATCTCTAATAGTAAAAGCACAACAGTGATACTTGCTGGGGAAACGCAGACCATTTAAACCCAATCTGCCTGTGCTGTGATTTGTAGTTTGGTGAGGCATTGTTACAAGGCTAGAGACCTTATAAAACTACAATTCCCATTGAGCCATGGCCATTCAAGTGACGTGATAATGCTTGCATCGATGTTGTGGAATTAATGGAGTTTGACATCCCTTTGACTGTCATGACTCAGTGCCACGGAATCCTGAGAGTTGTAGTTCAGTGAGTCATTGGAACTCTTTGGAAGAGAGAAGGCTTTGCCAAGCTACAACTCCCAGTACTCTGTTGCCTTCAGCTACAGAGGTTCAAGTGGTGAGAACCGTTCAGCAGTGGAACTCTCTGCCCCGGAGTGTGGTGGAGGCTCCTTCTTTGGAAGCTTTTAAACAGAGGCTGGATGGCCATCTGTCAGGGGTGATTTGAATGATTTGAATGTTAATATTCCTTCTTCTTGGGAGGGGGTTGGACTAGATGGCCCATGAGGTCTCTTCCAACTCTTTGATTCTATGATTCTATGATTCTATGATTCTATGAATGCAATATTCCTGCTTCTTGGCAGGGGGTTGGACTGGATGGTCCATGAGGTCTCTTCCAACTCTTTGATTCTATGATTATATGGTGTCAAGCTACATTAAGTCTACACTTTGGATTCCACTCACACTGCCATTTACTGCAGTTTGATCAGCGTAGACCCATGTAATACAGTTCAAATTGCATTATTTGGCAGTGTGGATCCACCCATAGTAGGTTTCCAAAGACGAAAGAGATTGGAATCTCAGGTCTTTCCCAGAGTCATAGTCCAACGCTCAAATCACTATGCTGCATTGGCTCTCTTTGTTTATTGCGAATTGCACCGTCCATAAAACAAAATTGCTTTATACATCAGTAGCACTATTCTTCCCAGATATACAACAATGTGCCTGTCTTAAGGAGTTGCAATTATATGTGGTTTCATTTCACAGCAGATGATGGGGCTTTATCTGCGGAGCAACTCTGCAATCCTCGAGTCAATAAAAAGCTGAGAAAGAGTTCACTCACCTTTGGCAAAGAGAGCGGGGGAGTCAAGAATGGGGAGGAGAATGCATGTTTGCTGGGGAAGGACAACCATCCAAAGGGAGGGAATGAGCAATGTTTCATTGCGGGCAGATGCATGAATTAGAGGACACAACTTTGAAGCATTCTCCTTTCTGGTAAGTGCAGATATTGAATAGTAAAAAAGGGGGAAATAATTAATATGTACCTGGGATGTAATAGGACCCTACTTGGTTCACTAGAATTCAGTGACATAGTGGTCCCCATTGTGGATTTGTGTGAGATAACCACAATTGGTAATTTAAAATTCATGGTTCCAAGTTGAATAGGTCGGCCTGCCAGAAAAGTTCCATTATTTATTTATTTACAACATTTATGTGCCGCCCTTCTCACCCCGAAGGGGGCTTAGAGCGGCTACCGGGCTCAATTCAAGGTGCTGGCGTTGGCCTATAAAACCTTAAACGGTTCCGGCCCAAGATGCCTATCTGACCACATCTCTGCCTATGAACCCACCAGGACTTTGAGATCTTCCGGGGAGACCCTGCTCTCGATCCCGCCTGCTTCTCAAGCACGGCTGGCGGGGACGAGAGATAGGGCCTTCTCGGTGGTGGCTCCTCGGCTGTGGAACACCCTTCCCACGGTCATTAGGCTGGCACCATCTCTAATGTTGTTCCGCAAGAAACTGAAGACCTGGTTATTTGTGCAGGCGTTCGAATAACTAGTACAATTGACTGGCAATGAACATAGGAATGGAACAATGGATGATGAATTTTGGATTATGTTTTTAGATGATGAGACGATAGTGATTGGTTAATGTAGTAATTCTATTGTTTGGATTATATGTTAATTGTTAATTGTTGTTACATTATTTCATTGAATTATTGCTGTTTTTACTGGTTGTGAACCGCTGTGAGTCGCCCTCAGGCTGAAAACAGCGGTATATAAGTAAAGTAATTAAATAAAAAATAAATAATATATATTATATTATATTATATTATATTATATTATATTATATTATATTATATTATATTATATTATTAGCATAGTACAATATCTGTATTAAATATTACTATATTGTATTGTGCCATTATATTGTAATATTATTAGTAATATTACATGTAATATAAATATATAATTATAATACATTACATGTATTATAATATATAATTATGCATTCTCATTGAGTACTATGATTCCACCTTTATTGCCAAGGCAACTTGCAACAAGATTCTAAGTCAGTGTTTCTCAACCTGGGTGCCGGGACCCCTGGCAAGCGACGAGAGGGTGTCAAAGGGGTCACCAAAGACCATCAGGAAGCACAGTATTATCAGTTGGTCGTGGGGATTCTAGGTGGGAAGTTTGGCCCAATTCTGTCGTTGGTGGGGTTCAGAATGCTCTTTGATTGTAGGTGAACTATAAATCCCAGCAACTACAACTCCCAAATGACAAGGTCTATTTTTCTCCAAACTCCACCAGTGTTCACGTTTGGGCATATTGAGTATTCATGCTAAGTTTGGTCCAGATCCATCATTGTGTGAGTCCACAGTTCTCTCTGGATGTAGGTGAACTACAACTCCAAAACTCAAGGACAATGCCCACGAAACCCTTCCAGTATTTTCTGTTGGCCATGGGAGTTCTGTGTGCCAAGTTTGGTTCAATTCCATTGTTGGTGGTGTTCAGAATGCTCTTTGTTTGTAGGTGAACTATAAATCCCAGCAACTACAACTCCCAAATGATAGAATCAACCTCCCCTCCCCAGTATTCAAATTTGGGCATATTGGGTATTTGTGCCAAATTTGGTCCAGTGAATGAGAATACATCCTGCATATCAGATATTTACATTACGATTCATAACAGTAGCAAAATTACAGTTACGACATAGCAACGAAAATAGTTTTATGGTTGGGGGTCACCACAGCATGTGGGCCTGCATTAAGGGGTTGCGGCAATAGGAAGGTTGAGAACCATTGTTCTAAGTGCTCTCGCAAATCGCTGGATCTGATAGAATGGAACTACCTCAAGCTATGGTTATGTAATGGGGAAATGTATCCAAATTGGAGGCAAAGGTAAAACCTCATCCATCACCATGGATGTTTAAGTTGCTTGTCTTTACCCCACTGAAACCTTGACGGGGACCTTTTTGCCTTCTTCCAGAAATACGCTTTTAAGAGAGACACACAGTGCATGGGAAAGAGAAAGCTGGGTGTCCCTGCAGCCGTTGCCTTCAGTGCAAATGCCCGGAGAATCCCCTTTGGCCTTGGAATGCGAACTTTGAATTGTTCAGAGATTAAATCCAGGGGAATATAGCAGGAGGGGGAGTCACCCAGGAGGTTAGTCACCCGGATAGCTGATGTTTGAAGCTACAATCAGCAACTGCTTTCAATGAAGATGACTCACAGCTTACAAGGCTGGTGACTCTGTTACGGTTGGAGGGGTATAGCTCAAGGTATGAAGAGCACAACCAGTGCTGAAAACTAGGGATTCAAATAGGTAATTACTATCCATGTTTGGAAGAAAGACTATGTTCTCATTTTATGTCTACACTGTAGAATGAATGCAGTTCGACACCCCTTTAACAGCCTTGGCTCAGTGCTATGAGATCCTGGGAATCAAAGCACTAGCATTCCTTGTCAGAAAAGGCCACCGACCTTGTAAAATGACAGTTCCCAGAGTTTCATAGCATTGAGCCAAGCAGTGCCAAACTTCATTCATTCTCCAATGTCGATGCAGCCTAGGGGTCTAGTCAAGGATTTCTCCAAGGTACTGAACCTTGGTTTGAGTTCAGTATGGTAGTTGACTTCATTATTGTTTGGATGAAAACCCAGCCATGGCCTGTGAATTCAATTGTGGAGGTCTTCTCTTTTTCCAATTTTCAGATTCGGTGTGTGTTTCCTTCTTTCGTCTTCATCTGAAAGTCTCTTGGAAGACGTCGATCAGCCATCATGAAGACATTTTGGACCATCCTCTGTTTCATGTTGTATGGTGAGCTCTTTGTACTCCCAAATGGTAGAGGGGAGGTGGGATGAGCTTAAAGTAAGGGTCACCAAATGGCATTTTGTGGTCCCACAGAATGCCTCCATTCCACCCGTCCTCCAAAAATGTGAATCCTTAACTTACCTTCTAGGCAAGTGGACCTGGAGTCCACATTTTATTAATCACTGTGCCAAAAATTGTAAATTATTCAGTCTCTCAATATAACTATAATTTACAAAATAACTAATTGTAAATTATTCAGTCTCTCAATATTTCCAATGTGTTCTTTTGTGGTCCAACAGTGAACACTGACATCGGTGGACCCTCTGTCCTGGTCCTGGCTGGCTCCCATCACCCAGACAATGAACAAGGTAGTCCGCCAGACTCCATGAAAGATGGGATGCCTCCAGAAGTGATGCAAGAGCTGCTGTGGTTTTTCCGGAGGGAAGACCGTAAGTTCTTCTCCTTATTTTAGACCAAGCTTGGGGTGTGATGGCCATCATTGTAGAGCATGGGATCCTTGAGATGAGAATGGTGCTGGGATTTTAAGAAACTCAGTGTTGATAGAAGTTGATCATAGGATTGCCTTAGAGGACCTAAAAATATCTAGACTAGTGTTCTCTCTAGGAATCTCTAAGTCCTGCTGTGTGATTCCATGACCAACTTCTGACAGATGTTGACCATAGAATCATGATGGAAGTTCTCCAGAGGAAGGTGACCATGGAATCATGCTGGAGGACTTACAAATGCTTAGAGAAATGTTTGCTCTTCCTGCAGACATTGACCATGGGATCATGCTGGAGGGCCTATAAACGTCTAGAGAAATGCTCACTCTCAGAGGAAGTAGACCATGGAATCATGTTGGCGTACCTCCAAATGCCTAAAGAAGGGCTTGCTCTTCCAGATGAAGTTGACCATGAAATACCTAGAGAGATACCTAGAGAGAACACTACTCTGGGTATGTGTAGATCCTCTTGTAGGTCAACTTCTCTCTGTCAGAAGTGGCTCATAAAGTCACACTGGATGATTTAGAGATTCTTAGAAAGAACACTAGGCATTTGTAGGCCCTCCAGCGTGATTCTATTGGCAACTTCCATCAGAAGATGGCCATAAAGTCACACTGGAGAACTTAAGAGATTCTTAGAACAATTATCAAGGCTTTGGTAGAGCAAACACTTCTCTAGTCCCCCAGCGTGATTCTGTGGTCAACGTCTGCCAGAAGTTGGCCATAGAAGCACGCAGCAGAATCTAGAGCAGCGGTTCTCAACCTGTGAGTCCCCAGGCAGTTTTGCCTACAACTCCCACAAATCCCAGCCAGTTTACCAGCTGTTAGGATTTCTGGGAGTTGAAAGCCAAAACAGCTGGGGACCCACAGGCTGAGAACCACTGATCTAGAGATTCTCAGGGAGAATACTTCTCCATGGATTTGGAGGTCCTCTAACATATCTCTAGGTCCTTCAGCATGACTTTGTGGCCAACTTCTGACAGATGTTGACTGCAGAATCATACTGGAGGACTACAAATGTCTAGAGGAGTGTCCATTCTTTCAGAGAAAGTTGACAATGGAATCATGCTGGAAGACCTCCAAATGCCCGGAGAAGTGTTCTGCCTTAGAATTTCTAGGTCTTGCTTTGCAATTCTATAGCCAATTTCTGACAAATGTTGGCCGTGGAACCATGCTGTACGAATGTTTAGAAGAGTGTTCACTCTTCCAGAGGAAATAGATCATAGAATCATGCTGGAGTACCTACAAGTGCCTAGAGAAGTGTTCTCCATAAGAATATGTAGGTCCTGTTGTGTGATTCTATGGCCAACTTCTGACAGATATTGACCATAGAATCATGCTGGAGGACCTCCAAATGCCTGGAGAAGTGTCCTAAGAATCTCTGTGTCCTTCGGTGTGACTTTATTGTCACCCTCTGAAAAACGTTGCCCATTGAATAACACACTAGGGGGCCCACGGATGCCTAGTGTTCTTTATGAGAATCTCTAAGTCCTCCAGCATGACTTTATGGTCAACTTCTGATTGAAGTTGCTCATAGAACCATGCTAGAAGATGTCCCGATGCCTAGAGAAGTGTTATCTCTTCTGGTGGAGGTAGATCATAGAACTGTGTTGGAGGACCTGCAAATGCTTAGAGAAGTGTTCTCTCTGGAAATGGCTAGGTCTTCCAGTGATTATAGACAGAAGTATGTCCAGGATTTTCGCTGTGAACCTCACTGAATATGATAGGCAGAAACCCAATTCTCCCATCACCTCGAGAAGAGGGTTTGTGGTGCCATATAAAGAGGTTGGAGGCAAGGCCACAAAATCATTTACTCATGTTTCTTCATTTCCTCTCTATTCCTAGCATCTGCTTGGAACTACAGCATCCTAGGGCTTTCAGCTCTGGTTCTGGTGATTGGCATGGGCCTCCTGGTAGCAAATATCAGGGCAAACAGGTATGGATAAGGACAAGGTGGTGGCAGATGTGTAATGGAGGGACCTTGCCACTGGAGTCTGCTTTGGTGGGGGTGCCATCATACTAGCTGGCCTCAATGGGCTTAGAAAGAAAAATCTCCCAAAGTCTGAATATTAACTGTAATTGAGTGAAGTGATTTAACTTCTCTTTTTCTCATCTCACACACCGTTTAGGGCCCGGAAGGTCCTCTTCCAGGATAACGAAGGATATGGAACCGCACAGCCTGCAGGGACAGAAATGAAGCAAGCCTTTGTGCTTTTGAAGGATGACAACAACCCAGAAGGCCTGGCAGACAGTTTGCTCCCCAAAACCCAGAACGCCGGAGAGGTGTCAATCCACTGGAAGGATGGAAATGTCACAGCTTTGTACGAAGAGAAGACAGATGTGGATATCTAGCAGTGTATTTCAGTGGAAGCCTGGCAGGCTGACAGGACTGCCTTCAACCTTGAACATCAGTTGACAGAGCAAAGTTCATTGACTGAGATCAAAGGAGGATTGGTGCCCTCATGCCCAAATATGTTGCCTCTGCTCCAGTTTTTAAAACACCGCACAACATTGTGTTACCTTCCATGCGACAACCCTGTGGATAGTGAACCTGAGCCGGAGAGACCCAGGTGCCCAAAAAGAAGGATCAAATAGGCTAGCCATTCAATAACTATAGATCATTTTGCTTTATTTTATAGCCACAGTTTTGTATCAGAATCTTGGAAATGACCCTCTCCTTCTCCCATAGGATTCCCTTGAAAAAGGGGCTAAGTGTTGCAGGAAGCCAAGGATTTTGGATTTTGGGTGAGGCACGTAATCCCAAGATTGTACCGCCTATCATTGGGTGCATTTACACTGTATAATGAATGCAGTTTGACACCACTTTAACTGCCATGGCTCAATGCATCCTGGGAGTTGTAGTTTCGCAAGCCTCTTGAGCAGTGTTTCTCAACCTTCCTCATGCTGCAACCCCTCAATACAGTTCCTCATGTTGTGGTGACCCCAACCATAAAATTATTTTCGTTGCTACTTCATAACTGTAATTGTGCTACTGTTATGAATCATAATGTAAATATCTGATATGCAGGATGTTTTTTTTTTCATTCACTGGACCAAATTTGGCACAAATATCCGATACGCCCAAATTTGAATACTGGTGGGGTTGAGGGGGATTGATTTTGTCATTTGGGAGTTGTAATTTCTGGGATTTATAGTTCACCTACAATCAAAGAGCATTCTGAACTCCACCAATGATGGAATTGAACCAAAGTTAGCACACCAAACCTCAATGACCAAGATAAAATACTGGAGGGTTAGGTGGGCATTGACCTTGAGTTGTGGAGTTATAGTTCACCTATATCCAGAGAGCACTGTGGACTCAAACAATGATGGATCTGGACCAAACTTGGCACAAATACTCAACATGTCTAAATGTGAACACTGCTGGAGTTTGGGGAAAATAGACCTTGACAGTTGCTGGTATTCATAGTTCACTTACAATCAAAGAGCATTCTGAATCCCACCAATGATAAAATTGAACCAAACTTTGCACACAGAACTCCCATGAGTAAGATAAAATACTGTATTTCCTGATGGTCTTTGGCAACCCCCTTGACATTCCCTTGTGACCCCCCCCCCCCGGGGTCCCAACCCCCATGTTGAGAAACGCTGCTCTTGAGCCTTTACTACCAAAGAGTGCAAGTGTCCTTCCAATCTATAGTTCCTAGTATTCCATGATATAGAATGCTGGCTGTAAAAGTGGTGTTAAACTGCATTGATTCCATGGTGTAGATGCATCCGCCAATGTCTGGATTTGCATGTAGGCTGCCCTATATAGCCTTACTCTTAGTTTCCCCCATTTTTTTTTGTTGACATTATTCCAACAGGACCCAGTTCTTGTAAGAATCTGTTAAACTGGGAATTCCAATCTGTGCGAATGGGTTTTGAGCACAGAGTCAGGAATGGTACCCAAGTAATAAAAATACCATGACTATGAGGGATTACATGCAGGATGTACATTAGTTCCGGATCTTCCAGCTGAATAAATACAAGCCTTTGTTACTGAGATGGAAAGTTGCTCTCGCACCAATCAGAGAAGATTTCACTGCAGTTGGCTTCCCCAAAGTGTCCTTTATTAAACTATTTTCCACAACAATCAAGGGCAGTTGCAATCTCTTCTCTTAAAGGTCAGGGGCATTGCTTGAGGCAGGAGTGACAAGAGCTTGGAACAAGAATTTTCCACCCTGCCATGTACTGTATATACTTTGCCTTCACTATCTTCTCATATGAAAGCAATGAGACATTTTAGCTCAGGTCAAAGCAAGAGGAGTTCCATGTACAGTGCCAAGCAAATGGGTGTTTCGGGTGTGTCTATACTGTAGAATTACTGCACTTCGACACCACTTTATCTGTCTATGGATTCATGGGAGCTGTAGTTAGGTGAAGCCCCAGCACTCTTGGGTAGATAAGGCTTAAGACCTTGCAAAACTACAACTCCAATGATTCTAGAGCAGTGTTTCTCAACCTGGGGGTCGGGACCCCTGGGGGGATCGCGAGGGGATGTCAGAGGGGTCTCCAAAGACCATCAGAAAATACAGTATATTCTGTTGGTCATGGGGGTTCTGTCTGGGAAGTTTGGCTGAATTGTGTCATGGGTGGGCTTCAGAATGCTCTTTGATTGCAGGTGAACTATAAATCCCAGCAACTACAACTCCCAAATGTCCACGTCTATTTCTCCCCAAACTCCGCCAGTGTCCACATTTGGGCATATTGATTATTTGTGCCAAGTTTGGTCCAGATCCATCATTGTTTGAGTTCACAGTGCTCTTTGGATGTAGGTGAACTACAGCTCTCAAACTCAAGGCCAATGCCCACCAAGCCCTTCCAGTATTTTCTGTTTCTGTCATGGGAGTTCTGTGTGCCAAGTCTGGTTCAATTGCATCGTTGGTGGAGTTCAGAATGCTCTTTTAATTTAAATGAACCATAAATCCCAGCAACTACAACTCCCAAATGACAAAATCAATCAATGTGGCTCTTCTCCCCATGAGACATGATATGATAACTCCACCAGTATTCAAATTTAGGTGTATTGAGTATTTGTGCCGAATTTGGTCCAGTGAATGAAAATACATTCTACATATCAGATATTTACATTATGATTCATAACATTAGCAAAATTACAGGTATGAAGTCGCAACAAAAATAATGTTGTGGTTGGGGGTCACCACAACATAAGGAACTGCATTAAGGGGTCGCAGCATTAGGAAGGTTGAGAAACACTGTTCTAGAGTATAGCAGTTCAAGTGGAAACAAACTGCATTCATTCTATAGTGCAGACTAATAATTCTCAATATGTGGGTCCCCAGGTGTTTTGGCCTCCAACTCCTAGAAATCCCAGCCAGTTTACCAGCTGTTAGGATTTCTGGAAGTTGAAGGCCAAAACATCTGGGGACCCACAGGTTGAGAACCACTGATGTAGACAGTGACACACAGTTGTGCGTGTGACTCTTGTTCCGCCAGAGGGCTCTGCACCCCTTCCACCCAAATCTTTGGATTTCCTCTTGGAAAGTCTGTACAGAAAAGAAAGCAAAAGTACCAAGGTCTTTTTGTCTCCTTTCTTCATGCCATTCTGGTGTGATGGCCTCCTCTCCCCATATTTTTTCCTTACTTCCATGCCTTGGGGAAAAAAACTGTTTTCCCCTTCCAAATTCTTCCAAAAATATTGACAGATTCTGCAAAGCTTCAGGAATGTGAGCAAATGAGGCAATACAATTTATCCTTAATACAGACTCTATTTGAGTTTGGGGCTGCGAAAAATACGAGAGAGGGAAACAGTATAGAAAAGTGGGCTGCTGTGAATTTTCCAGGCTATCTGGCCATGTTCCAGAAGTATTCTCTCCTGACATTTTGCCCACATCTATGGTAGGCAACCTCAGTGGTTGTGAGGTCTGTTACAAATTAGGCAAGTGATGTTGATGTTTATATATCTGTGGAATAATGTCCAGGGTGGGAGAAAAGTCTGCTTGAGGCAAGTGTGAATGTTGCAATTGGCCACCTTAAATTAGCATTCAATGGCCTTGCAGTTTCAATGCCTGGCTGGTTGCTGCCTGATGGACTCCTTTATTGGGAGTCCATCAGGCTGGCCATGATTGATCAATGTCTGGAATTCTCCTGTTGTTTGAGTGTTGTTTTTTATTTAGTGTCCTGATTCTAGAGTTTTTTTTAATACTGGGAGCCAGATTTTGTTCATTTTCATTGTTTCCTCCTTTCTATTGAAATTGTCCACCTGCTTGTGGATTTCAATGGCTTCTCTTGTTTCAGGTAGACAAGAGTTCTTTCTCCTACCCTGGACATCATTCCACAGGGATATATGTAAAGCCCACTTGCCTAGTTTCCAACAGACCTCACAACCTCTGAGGATGCCTGCCATAGATGTGGGTGAAACATCAGGAGAGAATGCTTCTGGAACACGGCCAGACAGCCCAGAAAACTCACAGAAACCCAGTGATTCTAGGCATGAAAGCCTTCGACAACACATAGAATAGAAAAGAATCCTTACTTTGGGTACAGTAGAATTAATGTAGTTTGACACCACTTGCACTGCCATGGCACAACGCAATAGAATCGTGGGATTTGTAGTCTGCATCCTTTAGTAGAGAAGGCTTAAGACCTTGCACAATGTCAACTCCATTGAGCCGTGGCAGTTGAAGTAGTCTCAATTTGCTTTAATACCAAAGTGTAGATGCATCTTATGTTTGCTAGATCTGTTTACTTTAGCAGTGCAATAATTTCTAAAGAGTTGTAGATCTCACATCAGATGATGAGGATGGAGATGATTATCATCAACAACAACAGAATACCTGTAGTTGTCCATCTCTGTCCTTCCTCATTAAGAACTTTTGCTATCTTAACCATCCTCTAAGCTTGTTTGTTCCCAATTTTCATCTATGAAATGTTGGTGGATGCCACCACCAGCTTGAACCACCAAGTGGTCTTCCATATTGCAGCTTAGGGTCAACATGGGAGCCATTAATCCAAGGTTGAGAGCATGGGTTCTTCTCAATGGCCACGGCACATTATCCCTTACATCCATCAGAACCAACCATAAGCCATAAGGAGAGGGACTCATGTCCATCATAACCAACCATAATGATGAAACCCAACTGTGTGTTGGGTTTTCTCCTCTACAGTTTCCAAAACGGCAGAAAACACCCCAACCAGTGGAGATATGGGCACTTTGCTGGTTTAACACCAAGGACTTTTACCTGCTGCCCATTGCTCAACAGTTTGTTGAGTTTGTGCCAGTATGCTATGCTGTATTGCAAGGAATAGTCCATTGTTTGGCACAGCCAACCACTTCTGGATGGGTCCAATGGGTTGTCCAAGTTTCTTCTTCATCTATTAGCGCCTCCCCTTAAAACAGGGGTGAGGAAATTAAACCATCGAAGGTTGTTTTTGACATCTGCAAAAACCTTGGCTTTGTCAAATAGGGGTTTTTAGTCAAAGATGGCCTTCTATGCCAAGGAAAATGCCTCCCAACGGTTAACATCAAGCAAGTCAACTAGTTGGCTTCTTGTTTAGAACAGAAGGACTAAAATGGATTAAGACTTCCCCGAAATGTGAGATTCTTAATCTGGGAGGTATTATGGTGAGGAATATTTGAAAACTATGGTGATTCAAAGGAAATGGGGGAAACTGGTCATATTGTTGCCTCCCAATGGTCCTACGTCAAAGAAGTCAACTGGTTGACTCCTTGTTTTGAAAAAAGAGGGTTTCTTTTGGAGCCAAAATGAGATAGATCTCTCCTCAAACCATGAATCTAGGGGGATTTTGGATATGCTACGATGGAGATGTAACATCTCAATGTCCTAAGGAATGCTAATGTGGCCTTATTGGCCTCTGGTGGTTGTCCATCCTGGCTTTAAAAGATCTTAAAGCCCTTCAGCAATGTCAACGTTGGCGCCTTCCTCTTGCTCTGAGCCCGTGAGGATTTGACCGTCACCAGCTTGGCTTGGGCCACAGAAGGGATTTCCTTGTAGTTCACCGTGGAAAGGGTGCTATAGGTGCAATTGGCCACTCCCGGCTTGGCAGCCATGCTGGTTGGAGGCACGAAGTGGAGAGAAGGCTTCTCCTCGATGATGAACAAGGGCCGGACCGCCATGTTCCTCTCCCCCTCTCGTCTCACTTCACGCACGGCTTCATGGAAAACATTCTGCACCGATTCGAAATCCTGGCAGGCTGAGACTTCGTAGAAGAGAGCACCATATTTCGCAGCGACGGAGATGCCCTCAGCTTTGGTCACCTGTCTGAGGAAAGCAGATGGATATAAACGTTCTCCTTGACTCTCAAGCAGAGCTTGAAAAAGGAAATGCTGCAAATAGTTAGAATCATAGGATCATAGAATCATAGAGTTGGAAGAGACCTCATGGGCCATCCAGTCCAACCCCATTCTGCCAAGAAGCAGGAAAATCACATTCAATGCACCCCCGACAGATGGCCATCCAGCCTCTGTTTAAAAGCTTCCAAAGAAGGAGCCTCCACCACACTCCGGGGCAGAGAGTTCCACTGCTGAACGGCTCTCACAGTTGCTCATGTGAGTCTCCAGATATCACCAGAGTGCAATTTAATTAGTCCCAATCTAAATGGCTAATGGAACTCTGGAAGTTCAAGGGTGGAATTAATGCAGTTTGGCACCTCTTTAATCGCCAGGACTAAATGCTATGGGCCCCTGGGAGTTCTAGTTTGGTGAGGCACATGCACTTTTTTGACAGGAAAGGTGAAATATCTTCTCAAACTACAGTTCCCATGGTTCCATAACATTGACCAATCACAATTTAAGTGATGCTTAGATGCATTCATTCTATAGTGTAGATCAGTGTTTTGCAACATATTTTTTGGCCTTCTCCAAACCTCTCTAAAACCCTGATGGCCCCACTTCTCTCCCGTAACGTTTAATTCTTATGATTCAGAAAGTGATCTAAAAGGCCATGAATTTGGTCCAAAGAACATGGCATCCATGAAAGAGACAAATAAAAGAACAATTGGGAAACAGATGCACCTGAAGTCCCAAACACCTGGAGGACCAATGCTTGGGAATCACTACCTCCAATGGCTGCTGTTCCCATCTCCAATTGCTGTCTTCTTTACGTAACATATTTGTTGGAACACAGGTTAACAAGAAAGAGTGATAAGAAGCCTGAGCTCCATGGCAATTGGTAACACTACATAACATGATTTTTGTTCCTGGGTTATAAATATCATTTCCTACTTGGTTCTCTCATAAAAACATGGGGAAAGTTTGCTAAACTGCACAAACTTTGTCTTTGCAGGAGGGACTATAGAATATTTTGCTCTAGGTTTTCAATGCCTATTTCACCATAGAGTCTCAACCAATTCAACCTAGTTTGTGGCAGCCACCAAAATGAAGTTTCTGGAGTAGAACAGCTCCTTTCAAAGTAAGGACCGCACAATGAATCAGGAATAAGACTTTCAAACCAGGAACATTTTTTTTTGCAAATTTTGTTACATAGTGTAATTGTTCCATATTCTGCCCTGACTTTTGCCTCTTGATCTGAGCACATTGTAGCAGAACCTACATTAAGAAGAGGGAGAACAGGGAGGTTCCTTGAGGCCACTTGCTAGCTGGTTACCTGTACTGTTCCATGTCCAGCTTGTTTCCAATGAGAAGAACAGGTGCCTCATGCTGGGCATTCTTCAGGTGGAGCGCAATGATATCCAGGTACAGCTGGCTTGCCTCAAAGCTCTTCCGGTTGTTGATACTGTATACAACGATGAAGGCGTTTGCCCAGTTGAGGTACCTCTCGCAGTTCACAGGGACATCCTACCGGAGGAGAGGAATGGTCAATTGGAATGGTCAACTTCCTAGAAAGGTGTTGTCTCTAAGGATCTCCAGTAGAAGTCTATGGACATCTGGTGGACACCTTAGGAATCACCATGTCTTCCAGAAAAACACTATGGAAGACATCTCCTTAAGAATCGCTACATCCTCCAGTAAAACACTATGGAGGACACCTCCTTAGGAATCGCTACGCCCTCCAGTAAAACACTATGGATGACACCTCCTTAGGAATCGCTACATCCTCCAGTAAAACACTATGGAGGGCACCTCCTTAGGATTCGCTACGTCCTCCAGTAAAACACTATGGAGGACACCTCCTTAGGAATTGCTACGTCCTCCAGTAAAACACTATGGATGACACCTCCTTAGGATTCGCTACGTCCTCCAGTAAAACACTATGGAGGGCACATCCTTAGGATTCGCTACGTCCTCCAGTAAAACACTATGGAGGACACCTCCTTAGGAATTGCTATGTCCTCCAGTAAAACACTATGGAGGACACCTCCTTAGGATTCGCTATGTCCTCCAGTAAAACACTATGGAGGACACCTTCTTAGGAATTGCTACGTCCTCCAGTAAAACACTATGAAGGACACCTCCTTAGGAATTGCTACATCCTCCAGTAAAACACTATGGAGGACACCTCCTTAGGAATCGCTACATCTTCCAGTAAAACACTATGGAGGACACCTCCTTAGGAATCGCTACATCCTCCAGTAAAACACTATGGATGACACCTCCTTAGGATTCACTACGTCCTCCAGTAAAACACTATGGAGGACACCTCCTTAGGAATTGCTACGTCCTCCAGTAAAACACTATGGAGGACACCTCCTTAGGATTCGCTACGTCCTCCAGTAAAACACTATGGAGGACACCTCCTTAGGATTCGCTATGTCCTCCAGTAAAACACTATGGAGGACACCTCCTTAGGAATTGCTACGTCCTACAGTAAAACACTATGAAGGACACCTCCTTAGGAATCGCTACATCCTCCAGTAAAACACTATGGAGGACACCTCCTTAGGAATCGCTACATCTTCCAGTAAAACACTATGGAGGACACCTCCTTAGGAATCGCTACATCCTCCAGTAAAACACTATGGATGACACCTCCTTAGGATTCGCTACGTCCTCCAGTAAAACACTATGGAGGACACCTCCTTAGGAATTGCTACGTCCTCCAGTAAAACACTAGGGAGGACACCTCCTTAGGATTCGCTACGTCCTCCAGTAAAACACTATGGAGGACACCTCCTTAGGATTCGCTATGTCCTCCAGTAAAACACTATGGAGGACACCTCCTTAGGAATTGCTACGTCCTACAGTAAAACACTATGAAGGACACCTCCTTAGGAATCGCTACATCCTCCAGTAAAACACTATGGAGGACACCTCCTTAGGAATCGCTACATCTTCCAGTAAAACACTATGGAGGACACCTCCTTAGGAATCGCTACATCCTCCAGTAAAACACTATGGATGACACCTCCTTAGGATTCGCTACGTCCTCCAGTAAAACACTATGGAGGACATCTCCTTAGGAATTGCTACGTCCTCCAGTAAAACACTATGGATGACACCTCCTTAGGATTCGCTACGTCCTCCAGTAAAACACTATGGAGGGCACCTCCTTAGGAGTCGCTACGTCCTCCAGTAAAACACTATGGAGGACACCTCCTTAGGAATTGCTACGTCCTCCAGTAAAACACTATGGATGACACCTCCTTAGGATTCGCTACGTCCTCCAGTAAAACACTATGGAGGACACCTCCTTAGGATTCGCTACGTCCTCCAGTAAAACACTATGGAGGACACCTCCTTAGGAATCGCTACATCCTCCAGTAAAACACTATGGAGGACACCTCCTTAGGAATCGCTACATCCTCCAGTAAAACACTATGGAGGACACCTCCTTAGGAATCGCTACATCTTCCAGTAAAACACTATGGAGGACACCTCCTTAGGAATCGCTACATCCTCCAGTAAAACACTATGGATGACACCTCCTTAGGATTCGCTACGTCCTCCAGTAAAACACTATGGAGGACACCTCCTTAGGAATTGCTACGTCCTCCAGTAAAACACTATGGAGGACACCTCCTTAGGATTCGCTACGTCCTCCAGTAAAACACTATGGAGGACACCTCCTTAGGATTCGCTATGTCCTCCAGTAAAACACTATGGAGGACACCTCCTTAGGAATTGCTACGTCCTACAGTAAAACACTATGAAGGACACCTCCTTAGGAATCGCTACATCCTCCAGTAAAACACTATGGAGGACACCTCCTTAGGAATCGCTACATCTTCCAGTAAAACACTATGGAGGACACCTCCTTAGGAATCGCTACATCCTCCAGTAAAACACTATGGATGACACCTCCTTAGGATTCGCTACGTCCTCCAGTAAAACACTATGGAGGACACCTCCTTAGGAATTGCTACGTCCTCCAGTAAAACACTATGGATGACACCTCCTTAGGATTCGCTACGTCCTCCAGTAAAACACTATGGAGGGCACCTCCTTAGGAGTCGCTACGTCCTCCAGTAAAACACTATGGAGGACACCTCCTTAGGAATCGCTACGTCCTCCAGTAAAACACTATGGATGACACCTCCTTAGGATTCGCTATGTCCTCCAGTAAAACACTATGGAGGACACCTCCTTAGGAATTGCTACGTCCTACAGTAAAACACTATGGAGGACACCTCCTTAGGATTCGCTACGTCCTCCAGTAAAACACTATGGAGGACACCTCCTTAGGATTCGCTATGTCCTCCAGTAAAACACTATGGAGGACACCTCCTTAGGAATTGCTACGTCCTACAGTAAAACACTATGAAGGACAGCTCCTTAGGAATCGCTACATCCTCCAGTAAAACACTATGGAGGACACCTCCTTAGGAATTGCTACATCTTCCAGTAAAACACTATAGTAAACAGCTGGCAAAATTGGTACACATAGTTTCGCTAAAGGAGGAGCTAAAGATTCATACTGATTAAATCTGCAAATAATATCATTCTCCTCTGCATATTTTGTATTTTGTTACCAAGGATTGCCTGGATCCCAAAGCAAGTGGGCACATTTCTTGGCACAGCATTATAAAGCCCATTGTAAAGATTGGACAGAGGTTGCAAAGAGCATTCCCTAAGGAACTCTAAAAGCATTGCAAGGTCAGTCCACGCCATTTGGTCACTGAGATAACCTTACAAGGCCAGCCCTGGCAAATGTCTAATGAATCCAAATTCTTTCTTTTAATTAAAATGTCAGTTTCTGGCTTTAGAAGAAAGGATAGTCTCTTCTCCTGGCTCTCCTGAAACAATCCCCTTGTCAAGATGCGCAGAGATGCACATTCCAGGACATGGAGAGATCAAAAGAAATCTAATCTGTCCAGTATCCAAAATATAATGGCACAGTTTTATATTGGACTGAGCAACTTTGCTTGGCCATTTTTCACTCCCTCCAACTGACCGTCAGCACCACTTCATGTCAATATGAAACAGGAAGCAACATAACCTCACCTCCGGTTTGGTTTTTCAGCTGTTGGGATGGATTTGATCATCGATATGAAAATGAGCCCTGATGGAGATGTGTCAATTTCACAGCAGGCCAGGGCACTATCAAGATTTGTTGCTGTTATGTGTTTTTACATTGTATAGGGCTCCTTTGGATTTCTTGCCTTGCCCTTCCCTTCCCTCTGGGGTTGAGAGTGTGCGACTTGTCTAAGGCCATCCATTGGGTTTCTATGGCTGAACAAGGATCCAAGCCCAGATCTCCCCTAAGTCATAGGGCTCAGAAATAATGCAGTTTGGCACCATCTAAACAGCCATGGATCACTGCAATGGAATAATAAGAGTTATAGTTTGGTAAGGCACCAGCACTCTTAGCCAGAGAAGGCCAAAGACCCTGAACAACTACATGCCAAACTACATAACTTCTATAGCATAGATGTACTCCTAACCTAAATTAAAACCATAACACCACCCTGACCCTCAATATCGGTGATGATATTTCATTTGAAATTTCAACATCTCCAAAAACGTATTTGGAAAGCTTCTTTTACCTGGTCTGCTGTATCCATCACCTTCATCAAGACCGGCTGTTGGTCCACCACTTCTTCTGATGCATACGTGTCTTCTGCAAGACAAGAATATTTTTATCCAAGAAGACATACGGCTCTGGAATACAATGCTATTGAGATAATTGGTGGAAACCATAAATAAAGAATGGACTTGAAGTGCAAACTTATTGAGATGTTTAGTGGAAACCAAGAAAAAGGAATGGCTCTGGAATGCAAAGCTATTGAGATATTTGGTGGAAACCATGAACAAAGAATGGCTCCGGAGTGCAAACTATTAAGATGTTTGGTGGAAACCATAAACAAGAAATGACTCTGGAGTGCAAAGCTATTGAGATGTTTGGTGAAAACCATAAACAAGGAATGGTTCTGGAGTGCAAAGCTATTGAGATGTTTTATGGAAACCACAAACAAGAAATGATTCTGGAGTGCAAAGCTATTGAGATGTTTGGTGGAAACCATGAACAAGGAATGGCTCTGGAGTGCAAAGCTATTAAGATGTTTGGTGGAAACCATAAACAAGAGATGACTCTGGAGTTCAAAGCTATTGAGATGTTTGGTGTCAAACTTAAACAAGGAATGGCTCTGGAGTGCAAAGCTTTTGAGATGTTTGGCAGAAACCATAAACAAGAAACTACTCTGGAGTGCAAAGCTATTGAGATGTTTGGTGGAAACCATAAACAAGGAATGTCTCTGGAGTGCAAAGCTATTGAGATGTTTGGTGGAAACCATAAACAAGAAATGTCTCTGGAGTGCAAAGCTATTGAGATATTTGGTGGAAACTATGAACAAGGAATGGACTCAGAGAGCAAAGCTATTTGGTGAAAGCCAAACCAAAATCCAATGTAAAATTAATTTGGGGTGAACTGTCTTTAGTGAGAATTATCTCACAAACAATGGAGGCAGGTGGCTTCAGTGTAATGGATTCGCCCTTGGTTTTAGGAGAAGGTTCAGGACCTTGTATGGCCCCATTACAGTTTGATTAAATGCGTGTCATAGATGCCCCATCTCTGTGTTTTCTCCTGTATTGGCTGAAGAAAAATGCAAGACAATCTTTCACCTCCCTTTGTCCCTGACCGACTTATGGCAGCCCTAGCTCTTGGCTCATTCTTCTCTCCCCGGATGCCCTCGTTAAACAGAAAACAAAGGCAGATGCATAATCCCAAGTCTGGCATTGATTTAAAGCCTCTATTGTGGGAGCGGGTGTGTTCTGCCAAAAGATGAGATGAAAACTGTTGCAGGATTTCGGGTGGATTTTCAGGCAGAATGTTGTCAAAACCCACATAGAGCTGGAAGGAGGTGCAAGGACTGTGCACGTTGTTGGTCTAAATCCAGTTTGGTTTGCATGTGCATTTTCTTCTGTGTCCATTTGGTTTATCTTTCAGTTTGGTCTACATGTATTTCACTTTGCTTGGTGGCTACTGCAATATGGGCTGCCCTTGATGTGGAGCAACTTGCAAGAGCAAATCTCTGAGCGTTTCTTCACCAACATACTCTGACCAAAGGGCCATCCGTTCCATTAGTATGTCCTCAGGTGCATCTACATTGTCAAATGAATCCTGTTTGACTCTAGGTGAGCTGTCATGACTTAATGCTATGGAATCCTAGGAGGTGTAGTTTTATAAGGCCTTTAGCCTTCTCTGCCAAAGAGGGTTGGTTTCTCTCCAAACTACAACTCCCAGGATCCCACAGCATTGAGCTGTGGCAGTTCAAGTGGTGTCAAACTTTGTTTGTGGGATTAACATAACTCACAAACCACATAACGAACTGATGTCAAATTTGGACACTAGACCTCTAACACAACAATGAGTGACCACTCGTAAAAACACAGAAAAACACAGCTGAAGAGACTTAAAAAGCCAAAAAACAAAAAATTCATTACAACACACGCACAAAACCACATATATACACAAACACACATATATACACATATACACAAATATACACACACATATACACATACAAAACACATATACACGGACTGGGCCATAGCACGCATGTGCAAAACCACATATGTACACAAGAGAGAAGAATGAGCCAAGAGCTAGGGCTGCCATAAGTCGGTCAGGGACAAAGGGAGGTGAAAGATTGTCTTGCATTTTTCTTCAGCCAATATACACACATATACACACATACACAAATATATACACACACAAAACATATACACAGACTGGGCCACAGCAACACGTGGCAGAGGATAGCTAGTTTAATCTAAATTGGGACTGTTGAAGGCTTTCATAGCCAGAATCAATGGGTTGCTGTGAGTTTTCCGGGCTGTATGGCCATGTTCCAGAAGCATTGTATCTTGACATTTCACCCACATCTATGGCAGGCATCCTCAGGTCCCCTCAACCTCTGAGCATGCCTGCCATAGATACGGGCGAAACGTCAGGAGAGAATGCTTCTGGAACCTGGCCATACAGCCCAGAAAACTCACAACAACCCATAAATTGGGACCCTTTTCTTCATTTAACATGGCTTTCGTTGTCCACGTCCCACACTCCATGCAGGGTTGAAATGGCAGCCTTAGAAATGAAAACTTTGAAGGAGTTCTCCCTCCCCGCCTTTCAGTACTATCATGTTTTTCCATCTCTGCCTCTCTTGGTATGAGCTCTAAATCTGGCACTTTGTTTTTGAAACAGTGGAAAAACAACGCTGCAATGCAGAAACGCCAATAACTTAAAAATACTCAGGGACATTTCCGGCCAAGTTCTCTCCTTTCCCCAGGAGGCTGGCACGGTGGTTGCAGACATCCAATGCTTCACCAAAAACACAGGCCTGCTTTTCATTCTTACTGCACATTATCTCCCCATTATATGCCCAAAATGCGGAAAAATCTGGCCCATTGGTGGCAGTGGGGTGGGGGAACTTTCTGGGGTCTCCTTTGCATCATTTTTAGGGCTGTTGGGATGAAAATGACAACACTTGGAGGACACATCTTGCGTAAGACACATCACAGCATTCTTCTGTTCTGGTTGCCCCAACAGGCAATCAGCCAAAGAGAACCAACCACTCTACAAGCAACACACTCATTGTGCAGGTACAACTGTACCAGGAGCTCCAATTTTGTTTGCTCTGCATTTAATGTTTGTTGTAGTCCTAAGTTTCAGGGACTCTGCAGATAGGTGGCTTCTTTTGGCTGCAATCATAGGGCAAGCCACCTGTCAATTATAGTTAGGTTCCCTGGTCCCGCCCCCTTTTTGGGGTTTTGGAGGGAATAGGAGCCATTTTGGATTCAGTCCACACAGAGAAGCCTTTCATGCAGGACATAATATCAAGAGCTCCTGTAGAAAGCTTCGTCTTCTACAGCTTGGCCGGGGAGATATACAGCCCACAGCTTGGCCGAGGATCATACAGCCCTACATCTCCTTTGCTGAAGGACTTCAGTCAGCCATCACCGAAACCTGAGTTCTTTTCCCGTGGAAGTCTACAAAGCTCTGCTTGGTAAGGGTCACTCACGGAAGCCAGAAGTAGTTGGTACCGGGTGCAGGGGCTCCACGCCAACAGAGGCAAAGACAGACTGCCCAGATTAGAAGTTAAGGATTTCCCCGTTAGTTACAGTTATGAAGATAGTGCCCGTTCCCTGTGAACAAGCTTGAGAGAGAGCCAATAGACTATTAAGAAAGCCTTAAAGTACCTGATTGTTTTCATTAATAAAGAACTTTGTTGAACATTTAAGCAATCTAAAGACTCTGTTTAAGGAAATCCAAGGGCCTTTAATCTGAGGAAGCCCCGGCGTCCCATTGGGCACACAGAATTTATGTCCTGTCTACAGTCTTATGCACAGGCCCAGCGTGCGACAGCATACTCATGTTAGGAAAGACTGTCCCAAAACATCAAAACCCAACCCTAGCTAAATTCAAAGGTGACATCCGAATCTGGATAAACAAGATAGTGCAGCCTTCCAGACGTTGGGAGAGATTTGGCCCCATAATCTGTAACTGTTTTCAATCAGAAGCAAAAGGTTGAACAAAGCAATGAAACGTTACCTAGGTTGGGATCATATTCGCTTATAAACCTCTTAGTTAGAAACTTCACTGTCAGCGCTGCAAGAAAGAAAGAGAAAAGAGCACGAGTTGGTTACTCTTGGTGAACACTCATGCAAGGGCAAGATATTAAACTAAACTTAGGATCCTGGGAGTTGTAGTTTTACTAAGGGCCCCTCTACACCAGTGGTTCTCAACCTGTGGGTCCCCAGATGTTTTGGCCTTCAACTCCCAGAAATCCTAACAGCTGGTATACTGGCTGGGATTTCTGGGAGTTGTAGGCCAAAACACCTGGAGACCCACAGGTTGAGAATCACTGCTCTACACTCTAGAATGAATGCAGTTTGACACCACTTTACCTCTCATGGCTCAATAATAATAATAATAATAATAATAATAATCTTTATTTATACCCCACCACCATCTCCCCGACGGGGACTCGGGGCGGCTTACATGAGACCAAGCCCAAACAACAAATTACAACAGAATAAAACCAAAAACGCAAGCCGAAAATGCAAACAATAAACAACAACATCATAATTACATAAAACATGTGAATACTTAACAATATCAAATTACAATAAGCACAAACACAGTGACAATGCTATGGAATCCTCGGATGTGCAGTTTGGTGAAGCCCAAGCTTAAGACCTTGTAAAACTACAGCTCTCTCATTTTTAATGTCTGTCCTGCAGGATTTCTATTTCCCTTATTCTCTTACCTTTTTCACTCCTCCACCTCCTTCTAAAGTTTACCTCTAATCTTATATAGTATCCTCTTACTACAGCTTTGCTTACATCTCATATTATATCTTTAGTTACTTGTCATCTGTCATTAGTCTATATGTCTTCCTATTAGTCTATTAGTCTTCCTGAGTCATATGTCCATCTATTATACTCAGGTTATCCTTCTAATAAATCATGTTCTCTTCCATTATGTTTCACTTTGTATTATTAACTCTGGAACATGCAACATATTATTGTCCTTCTTTAGGTGTCCCTTTCAAATCTGTGATATTATATTTGTCATATACATATGTGTCTCTGTGTGCAAATCATATCTATCTATCTATATCTATGGCTGGATGGCTCTTTGTCAGGGGGGCTTTGATTATGTTTTCTTACCCTTGTGAAGGGAGTTGGACTGGATGGTCTAAAGGTAGCTTTTCTCAACTTGGGTGTCAGGATCCCTGGGGGAGGGTTGTGAGGGGGTGTCAGAAGGGTCACCAAAGACCACTGAAAACACAGTATTTTCTGTTGGTCACGGGGGTTCTGTGTGGGAGATTTGGCCCAATTCTATCGTGGGAGGGGTTCAGAATACTCTTTGATTGTAGGTGAACTATAAATCCCAGTAACTACAACTCCCAAATGTCAAGGTCTAGTTTCTCTAAACTTCATCTGTGTTCACATTTGGGCACATGGAGTATTCATGCCAAGTTTGGTCCAGATCCATCATTGTTTGAGTCCACAGTACTCTCTAGTTGTAGGTGAACTACAACTCCCAAACTCAAGTTCAATGCACACCAAACCCTTCCAGAATTTTCTGTTGGTTGTGGGAGCCCTATGTGCCATGTTTGGTTCAATTACATCATTGGTGGGGTTCAGTATGCTCTTTGATTGTAGGTGAACTATAAATCCCAGCAACTATATCTCCCACATGAAAAAATCCATTTTTGAGTGATGGTCACTCCTTGGGGTAGTAGGTGTATTGTGTCCAAATTTGGTGGTAATTTGTCCAGTGGTTTTTGAGTTATGTTAATCCCACAAACAAACATTACATTTTTATTTATAGAGATTACTAATGCCCCCATAATATGTTGGTTTTTTTTTTACATAAATACAGCTCCCAAGATTCCATAGCATCTAGTTGTGGCTGTTGAAGTAAGCTGGTTCCGACCCAGCTTACTTGTCCAAATATATCTCCCTCTATGTTCCCTCTATGTTCCACCTCTTAGCCTAAGATCGTCCAGGGAGGCCCTGCTCTCGGTCCCACCAGCTTCCCAAATGCGTTTGGCAGGGATGAGGGACAGGGCCTTCTTGGTCGTGATCCCTTGTCTGTGGAACTCGCTCCCCAGCGAGATTAGGTCGGCTTCATCCCTCCTTTCTTTTAGGAAAAAACTGAAATCATGGTTCTGGGACCAGGACTTTGGAGAGCAGGCATGACAGCACTTTGAAGGTTGAACTGGACTGGAAATGGTTATATGGCTGATAATAATGTTTTAAATTGTTTTTAACTTACTGTTTTATTTACTGTTTTAAATTGTTGCTATATCTGTTATAATTGTTTTGTACATTGTGGCATCGAATTATTGCCTGTGTAAGACGCTCTGAGTCCCCCCTCGGAGGTTGAGAAAGGCAGGGTAGAAATGTTGGAAATAAATAAATAAATAAATGGTGTCAAACCACACTCATTCTGCAGTGTAGATGCACTGAGGACATTGCCAAAACAGCAGCAAAAGGGGGACAAACATAATGTCCTCTTAGGCTGAATTTGGAAAAGAGGGATGGGTGGAAGCTACGGACATATTTCTGTAAGCCTCCAAAGTCCCATAGACACCCCCTAATTACATGCATGCAGACATACACAAATGCACATCTCCAGACCTGATTTTCCCGACCCTCGGCATCCTAAGATGGCCACATTGCATTCTGGGATCTGGCTGGAGAGATGGCGCTCATGAACACAAGGAGCTGGCCGAGATTTTCCAAACATGGAGGACATCTTCAGACTAAATGAATATAAATACATTGGTAAACATAAGTCAATGTGAACACATTCACCACTCGCTGTTCATTTGTCTTGGGTTTTCTACGGCTGACTCCACAATACAGAGTTACAGCCTGTTGACATCAATGCCCGATGGCAACCCAAAGAATTTCAGAGTCAATGGTGATCTCCCATCCAGATACTGACCAGGGCTGACCTTGCTTAGCTTCCAAGCTCAGAAGGGATCTAGTGCATGTAGCGTTTTTAAGCCCTACACAGGTATTTGGGTAAAGCTTCTTTGTGCTTAGGTGCGTTTGTGTCTCCTTTTGACATAAGGTGACTCTATAAATTGACAATCCTAGGATTGTCTTGAATGAATGCTTAGAGGTGTTTTTGTTGGTTTCTTCCTCTAAAATAGAGCCTACCACACCTGGCAATCCTTCTGCCTGGATAAAACAAGAACCTGACTCAAGATAGATAGATAGATAGATAGATAAATAGATTGAAATCTGCTTTTTAATTTATATTTTAAATACATTTAGCCACAGGATTGCATCTCAATTAAAGAAAGGATTCTGCACATCTCCAGAAACACTCTAAACCAGTGGTTCTTAACCTGTGGGCCATGGGGATGAAAATCTGGCCTGTGAGCCTCCTTCCTCTTTATTTATTTTATTTTCTTTCTGCTGCTTTCGTGCTGCCTGCCACTTCTTTTCTCTCGCTCTCTTGGATAGACCACATCAGCTCTAAATTATTAAATATGGTTTTCTGTGGGTGAGCAGATTGTGACTACCGGATGGTATGTGTTCTGTATCAGAAACTAGAGCTGATGTGGTCTATCCAATGCCATTTTCTGAATCAGCACCCCAAATACTAGTGTTAGAGACTGGTCCCTGGTAAAAATAAAAATAAGTTGGGAACCACTGCTCTAAACCAGTGTTTCTCAACCTGGGGGTCAGGACCCCTGTGGGGGTTGTGAGGGGGTGTCAGAGGGGTTGCCAAAGACCATCAGAAAACATAGTATTTTCTGTTGGTCATGGGGGTCTATGTGGGAAGTTTGGTCCAATTCTATCATTGGTGTGGTTCAGAATGCTATTTCATTGTGGGTGAACTATAAATCCCAAAAACGACAACTCCCAAATGTCAAGGTCTATTTTCCCCAAACTCCACCAGTGTTCACATTTGGGCATATTGAGTATTTGTACCAAGTTTGGTCCAGGTCCACCATTGTTTGAGTCCACAGTGCTCTCTGGATGTAGATGAAGTACAACTCCAAAAACTCAAGGTCAGTGTCCACCAGACCCATCCAGTATTTTCTCTTGGTCATGGGAATTCTGTGTGCCAAGTTTCATTCAATTCCATCATTGGTGGAGTTCAAAAGGGTCTTTGATTTTAGGTGAACTATAAATCCCAGAAACTCCAACATTCCCAAATGACAAAATCAATCACCCCCAACCCTAACAATATTCAAATTTGGACATATAGGGTATTTGGGATTTGAAAATACATCCCGCATATCAGATATTTACATTATGATTCATAACAGTAGCAAAATTACAGTTATGAAGTAGCAACAAAAATAATGTTATGGTTGGGGGTCACCACAACATGAGGAACTGTACTATGGGGTTGCGGCATTAGGAAGGTTGAGAAACACTGCTCTAAACCAATCAAATAAATACTCTTGAATCAACCAAATCAATCAATCAATCTCTATCTGGTTAGTTCCCATTCCCCATAGACTGTCAATGTTTCCTGAGGCCCAGAAGAGACAACCAAGGGACAAAATCAATGAGAAACAGCCCAGAAACCACAACTGTTGGGTCTTTGGCTGCCTTCTTTGCCTCTCCAAAATCTCCCTTTTGCTTCCAGACACAAATCACTGGGAACCATAGATTATCTTGAATTTCCTCACCTACTTTTGGACTGATGTGGGTGCATCAAGATTTACATGGACCAGATCCTTTGCCAAAGTTTAACCACTTATATTCAAAAGGAAGGCCATGTTAGGGGTTTACTCTGATTTACAAAGCACCTTTTGCAAGGTTTTAGCCTGAACTTTAACAGAGCTCTCCAAGGTGCTGAACCGGCTCCTCTTGCCAAGGTCTGACACCTTGGATAACACCTTTAAAGTTTTGGTTTGGATTTAGAGCTCATTCCTGGTCCAGCAAAATGGGAAAGGAAGCACCATAATTCTTAGAGTTCAACACAACTTACCAAAGTTTTGCTAATGGGAAAGAGATCACATAAGAGATCTACTCACCTTTAAATTAGAATTGAAGAGAGGATCAGAATGGCCTGAGAGAGGAAGACAGCAGCAATATTTTTGCAATAAAAGCCTTTAGAGCCCCATGTTCCAGTCTTGTCTTCCTTTCTATCAATCTCCCAAAATCTTGCAGCAGGGAAGGAGCCGGCAAAGCAAACGGAGGGGTTTTCAGTGTCTCTGGGGTGCTCTTTCCCCGCTGCGTCACTGCGGGTCCCTTGAATGAATGAGGCACAGAGGAAGGCTCCAGTTCCCTGCTTCCTTTTGCCAGCTGAGCCTTTGCCAAGCGCCTTGTAAGGAAAGCTCCCAATGCCGCTCCTGCCTCTCGCTTGGCCTCCGATGGACAGAGTTTTCCATCAGCAAAGGGCAGCAGGGAGGGAGAGGCCTTGCCTTCGGGACAAGGGACAAAAACATGTGCCGCAATGCTCCGAGGAGAGGAAATCATTTTTCTTGGCATCTTTCCGAAACCAAAATAACCACAGAAGAGCCGTTGCATGCCTCTTTTTGCAACCTGATGCAAGACAGAAATGGGGTGCCGAAGGGTTCGGTCTTGGGCCCAGTGCTGTTCAGCATCTTTATTAATGACTTGGAGGAAGGTTTAGAGCAGGGGTCCTCAAACTAAGGCCCGGGGGCTGGATACGGCCCTCCAAGGTCATTTACCCAGCCCTTGCTCAGGGTCAGCCTAAGTCTGAAATGACTTGAAAGCACACAACAACAACAAAAACAACAACACTCCTATCTCATCAGCCAAAAGCAGGCCCACACTTCCCAATGAAATACTAATAAGTTTATATTTGTTAAAATTGTGCTTCATTTTAGTTATTGTATTGTTTTAATGTGTTTTTGGCACTACAAATAAGGCATGTGCAGTGTGCATTCATGTTTTCTTCAAATTATAATCCTGCCCTCCAACAGTTTGAAAGGCTGTGACCTGGCCCTCTATTTAAAACGTTTGAGGACCCATGGTTTAGAGGGTGGGTAGATCAAGTTTGCAGATGGCAGCAAATCAGGGGAAGAGTGAATCCTCTGGGAGATGGAATTCGGATCCAAAATGAGCTTCACAGATTAGAGAGCTGAATGGCCAAAACTAACAAAACGAATCCCAACAAGGAGAAATGTAGGATACTTCACTGAGGCAGAGAAAAGGAAATGCACAGAGGCAGGATGGGAGGGAAAGGCCTTGCCTTTGGGATGCCTGGCTTGAAAGCAGAGTGAAAGGGATCTTGGAGTCTTTGTGGGCAACAAGCGGAACATAAGCCAACAATGTCAATGCATCAAAAGGAGTATAAAAGTGTCTAGATCAAGGGAAGTCATGGTGCCTCTCTCTTCTGCTTTGGTTAGACCTCATTACCTGAAACACTGTCCAATTTTGGGCAACACAGTTTAAAAGAGAGACCGGCTCTAAGCTGGAAGGTGTCCAGAGGGAGAGGGAGACTGAAAGGATCAAAGGTCTGGTTGTTGTTGTTCATTCGTTCAGTCGTCTCTGACTCTTCGTGACCTCATGGACCAGCCCACGCCAGAGCTCCCTGTCGGCCGTCACCACCCCCAGCTCCTTCAAGGTCAGTCCAGTCACTTCAAGGATGCCATCCATCCATCTTGCCCTTGGTCGGCCCCTCTTCCTTTTACCTTCCACCTTTCCCAGCATAATTGTCTTCTCTAGGCTTTCCTGTCTCCTCATGATGTGGCCAAAGTACTTCAACTTTGTCTCTAGTATCCTTCCCTCCAATGAGCAGTCGGGCTTTATTTCCTGGAGGATGGACTGGTTGGATCTTCTCGCAGTCCAAGGCACTCTCAGAACTTTCCTCCAACACCACAGTTCAAAAGCATCTATCTTCCTTCGCTCAGCCTTCCCTAAGGTCCAGCTCTCACATCCATAGTTACTACAGGGAATACCATTGCTTTGACTATGCGGATCTTTGTTGCCAGTGTGATGTCTCTACTCTTTACTATTTTATTGAGATTGGACATTGCTCTCCTCCCAAGAAGTAAGCGTCTTCTGATTTCCTGGCCACAGTCTGCATCTGCAGTAATCTTTGCACCTAGAAATACAAAGTCTGCGCCTAGAAATGAATAATCCCTCTGAGGAATGTTTTAAAGAGCTAGGTACATTTAGCCAGCAGAAGAGAAGGTTGAGAGGAGACATGAGAGCCATGTATCAATATCTGAAAGAGTGCCACAAGGAAGAGGGGACACTAGGACTCAGCGCAATAGGTTCAAATGACAGGGAAGAAGATCCCACCTGAATATTAGGAAGAATTTCCTGACTGTATGAACTGTTCAACAGTGGAACTCCTTTCCTTGGAGTCTGTTGGAGGCTCCTTTGGAGACTTTGAAACAGAGGTTGGATGGCCATATGTTGGGGGTATTTTGATGGTGCTTTTCCTGCCTGGCAAAAGGGAGTTGGACTAAATGGCCCTTTGGGTCTCTTCCAACTCTATGATTCTATGGGAAGTGGGCAAAGTGTGCATCTTTGACCCAAATTCCCAGCATTTCTGCAGTCTCAGAGCAGATGGAGATGCAATCCAGCAACATTACTGAGGCACCTGCTTTACAGAAATGGAAAAGCCTCAATAGATGAGCTACATAGAGATGCAATTCTATGCTCGTTTTGTTCTCATAGGTAGCAAATCCATTCCTAATGTAAAAGGAGTTCTGTATTTGAAAATTGTGCTCTTCACAGTTTTGGATTTATTCATGCTGAATTTGGACATGATGGGGTTGTGTTGCACAGAAAGCAGCATTTTCTGCCCAGAAAGTAATATTTTAATAATATTACAATATAATGGTATAGTATAATATAGTAATATATAATACTGATATTGTACTATGCTAATAATATAATATATTGTATGTATATATATATATCTTGTAAGCTGCTCTGAGTCACATTCAGGGTGAGAAGGGCAGCATATAAATGTCGTAAATAAATTAATAAATTTCCAATGCAGTGACTTTGCATATCAAAGGTCCCAGGTTGAGCTTTCAGTCCATCTTTTCCCCATCTAGATGCTTCTCCAGTAGTGGGTTGCTGTGAGTTTTCCGGGCTGTATGGCCATGTACCAGAAGCATTCTCTCCTGACGCTTCTCCAATAAGTTGGACTATAAACCCCATCATCCTTTCCCCCTCAAATCCAAACAGGAAGGCTCTGTTCCAAAGCAGTGAAAGCATTCTGTCTGCAGAGGAGTAAAACCGCGCTGCTATCTATGCTTACGCAAATGGTATTTGGTGTCCTACATCTTGCCACTTTGTTTTTCCCCAACAGAAAGAAGGATTATGTTCATGTAACGCAGTGAACAATGGGGTGTTGTCAAAATGGTGCCTCCGAGGAGATAAAACAAGGAGGCAGATCCCAAACTGAAACACATTTCTGGCTCAAAGCTGAGAATTCGGACGATGAGCTTGCGACTTGGAAAAAATCCCAGCAGGGCAGGCAAAAGAAAAGACATAGTCTCCAAACACACCATTAATTGGAGAGTCTTGTGGCCACAAGTTGCTGAATTGGAGATCCCTCTGTTAGGTCACTTGTAATGAAAATAAAGGGCCTGTTTGGAAACATAGGTCTGCCCTTGCCTTCCTCTGAGGCTGAGAGAGTGTGACTTGCCAAAGTTTGGTCAATAGATTTCTATGGCTGAGCAGAACTTCGAACTTAGGTCTCTTGGTATCCTAGTTCAACACCTAGAGCATAAAAACACAATGACTTTCCAAATTTATTTAGTTATTTGGAAAGTCCAGAGCATTCAGAGAAATATCTCTTTTCTATTGCAATTTGGGGGGGGGGGGGAGAGCTGCTAGTTTTCCACACTTGCAAAGAAGGACAGCTGTATGGTGCATAATATGACAAGGTGAGCAAGGATGAAACATGATATTCAGAGATTTGCAGATTAGGAAATCGTATTTTGACTTCTCCCCAGAGAACTGCAAATCCCAGTGTTCCATGGGACAAAGCAGCCAAGTGGAACCCATGTGCTTTCACTGGGCAAGATGTTGGGGCGTATTTCCCAGCTGTAACATCCAGATGCACGTTCTGTACTTTGCCCCCATCCCTTGGGATTCGACAGGATGTGAGCAACACATACTTGGACGCTTTGACTCTTTGCACTATGTTTATTTCGGCTTTCGCTGCATCACAATGGGCTTTGGGCAGCTCTATGGAGAGGGTGCTGCAATCACATAGAGATGAGCATTAACTGAGCAAAGGCTTGCCATACGCACAGTTGGATTATTAGGGTTCAATCAGTGCTGGTGTGCTCAGCAAATCTGCAAATGACATTACATTGGGAGGGATAGTGAACACCCTGAAGAACAGGATCCAAAATGAGCTTTGCAGATGAGAGAGCTGGTGGGCCAAAACTAAGCAAATTAATTTCAACATTTTGTATGATGCTACACTTTGGCAAGAAAAAAATGGAGTACACAGGTATAGGATGGGGGTCTGGTTTGGAAACAGTATGTATGAAAAGCATCCAGAAACCCCAAATCCCTAAAGGAATTGTTTAGCATGGAGAAGAGAATGATATGATAGCCATGTTAATTTAAATATATGAAAGGATGTCATATTTAAAACGGAGGCAACCTGTTTACTGCTGGTTTAGAGACTAGGATACAGTGGAGCAATGGATTCAAACTGCAGGAAAAGAGATTCCACCTAAATGTTTGGAAGCAATAGATGCCCTTTGAGGTTTCCTTCCAAGTCTCTGATTCTTGGAATGTATGCAAAATTATTCCTCTCATTGCCATTTATGACCCATCCCTGCAGATACCACTCTTGAACATGCATGATGCTCCTGTGCACATGCCCTTATAGATTCACAGTATGAGAAGGCACCCCAATAGTCATTCAGATTGTGCATTCGGGGTAAACCTTGACCCGTTTTTTGTCCTGGCTTTTGGTTAGGAGCCTCCCAAAATCGGGAGGGCAGATATCTGTTTTTGCTCTGGGGTGCCAAAAGATCTGTTTTCTATCAGACCATTATGGGTGGAAGGGCTCCCCGGGCTCCCATCATTTTAGGCATTTAAGCTCTACTCTAGTGGAGAGGCACTCAGCTGCAGACAGACACACACTTTAAGGAGGCTTCTTACCTATTTCTTACTCTAGAGGAGGTGTTTGGCTGCAGGCAGGCATGTGTGCTTTCTGGGCCTGATTGGCACACACACTTTCCAAAGCAAGGAGGCAAGTTTACTCCAGAGGAAGCGCTCAGGTGTAGGCAGCTGTGCACTTTCTGGGCATGCACTTTCCAAAAGAAGGAGGCAAGTTCTCTTACTCCAGAGGAAGCCTTTGGCCACAGGCAGACGTGTGTGCTTTCTGGGCTTGCATGGCACACACGCACTCTTTCTAAGACAAGGAGGCAAGGAGCTGGGATTGGCTCCCGCTTGCTTTCGAGTTGAGCTGATTTTTGTACCAGGAGGGACCTTCCTGTTATGTGCTCCCAAAGGTAACGAAAGTAATGAAAGAATGGATGAAATGAAGCATGGAAAATGGCATGGAAAATGGAAAATGGTTCAGCCCACAACCCTACTGTTTACTGCTGGTTTAGAGGCTAGGATAAAATGAAGCAATAGATTCAAACTGCAGAAAAAGTAATTCCACCTACATGCCCTTTGAGGTTCCCTCCCAGCTCTATGATTCTAGAAATGTATGCAATTGTTCCTCTCATTGCCATAGCCATCCATGCACACACCACTCTTGAACCTGTGTGCACGCTCATATGTGTTCATAACATGGAAAAGCAGCCCAATGGTCATCTGGAGGAGGAAAAACAGATAACTTGCTTCCTTTTCTTTCACAATGACAACATGAATATGCTTTATTTTTCTCTTACTGTCAACATTTTGTATGTTTCCTGAGCAACTGGGTAAAAATAAAAGGGATCAGATTGCAGTGAAGTTGTGGAGGTCTTTAAACAGAGGTTGAATGGGCCTCTTTTGGGAGGGCTTTAGTCATATATTCCTGCATGGAAGGATGGAGTTGGGTGAGACAACCCTTGGTCCAATCAGAGCGTCCTTTTCATTGGTGTCCCACAGCACCCCCTAGAGCGTGAGAAGGGGGTCTTCCTCCCCTCACCTCTGACTGAAAGCGACCTCCCTTGACCTCCCTCGTCCTGTCTGACTCTTCTTTATTTAAGCTGCAATTCTGCACTGAAGCCCAGCAACGCCGCTGAGATCAGTTTGCAAATTGCCTTTGGAGAGGGACTGCTCTCATTGCCGGCTGCCCTGGTCACATGGACCCCCTGCTATCTTTAGAAGCAGGCATTTATATTGCAGAGTTTGCAGCTTCTGCGCAGCTCTTGAGCAGATACAGAAACGAATCCATGCCGACACATCTCAAGGGTCTTCCTATTCGCAGGTGATCAAAAGAGAATGAAGACATCCTGGCAATGAGAGGCTGTCCTTGACTCCACCATGCAGTCCATACAGCTTGCCGAAAGAGTCCGAATCCACTTGGAAGAGGAGTATTTCTCTGTGGACAAGGCCCTTCTGGTGGACCACAGTGAATACTTCCGGGCACTCTTCCAATCGGGCATGAGGGAGAGCAACCAGGAAGAGATCCAGATCCGAGATCTAAGTGCCATGGGGTTTTCCATCATGTTGAAGATCCTGGAGGGGAGTTTTCCGGTGCTGAGCTGTGAGGAGAACCTCAAAGCGGTGGAGTGTGCCTCCTTCCTACAGGTCAAAGCCATGGCCAAGTACTTGATTGCCTCCATCAATTCCGACAACTGCATTATTCTCTACCAAGCTGCAGCCATGTTCGGCCTCCTGGACCTCTTCCACAGTGCGGCGCTGTACATCAGAGACAGTTATGCGGACCTGGAGGAGTATTTGGACTGCCTCTCTCCAGATCTTCTTGATTACATCGAGTCACTGGTACCCAGCACGTTTGTGGCGGTGGGAGCACACACACCCACCTTTGAGTTCTTGGAGGACCTGTCAAGAACCATCTGCTACCTGAATGAGGAGGACAACACCTGGAGGACCCTTTCCTGCATGCCACTGACCGCCAGCACATTCCTGGCAGGCATGGCCACCCTGGACAACAAGATTTACATTGTGGGAGGTACCTATGGCCACAACAAGCAGGTGGTGGACCAAAGCTTTTGCTATGACCCAGTGACGAATGTCTGGAGTGAGTTCCCCAGCCCTCAGCAGCTCCGCTATGACGTCACGTTGACAGCCCAAGAGGACTATCTCTATGCCATTGGTGGGGAGTTTGAGAAGATGCCACTCAAATCCGTGGAGAAGTTCAACATGTCTACCAACACATGGAGCTTCGTCTCAGACCTGCCACAGCCAGCAACCTCAGTACCGTGCACCCAAGCTATGGGGCACATCTTTGTTTGCTTGTGGAAGCCACTGGACACCACTATCATCTATGAGTATGAGACGCAGAAGGATGAATGGCTTCCCATCTCAACCCTCAACAGGTCTCAGAGTTATGGCCACTGCATGGTGGCCCACCGGAACAACCTCTACATCATGCGCAACGGGCCTTTTGACGACTTCCTGCGCTGCGTGATGGATTGCTACAACCTGACCACCAAGCAGTGGTCCTCCTTGCCTGGCCAGTATGTGAATAGCAAGGGGGCCCTCTTCACAGCGGTCATCAAAGGGGACATTGTTTACACAGTCAACAAGATGGCCACCCAGATCTACACAATAGAGGACAACACATGGAAATCCAAAAAAGAGAGAGCTGGTTTTCCAAGAAGCGGTTCTTTGCAAACCTTCCTCCTCCGGCTTCCAAGAACAGACCACAGCATTGCAACATAGATCACCTCCTGTATCCTATGGGTTGCTCAGAGGGCCATATCTTCTCTGGGTTCTGGATATTTCACTTTTGTTTATTCTTTTGTGGGGCTTCAGAGATTATGGCCAAAGTGGGCCCAGAATTGTGAAATTCCCTTGGTTCAAATGCTCCTTGCACCTTTTGAAGCCACAGAACCTAGTTGTAGGAGTGGTGTTGAAAGCCATCACAGAGTAGCTCTTGTAACTGGTTTTGCAGACCTTGAGCCATGGATTTGTCATATAATCTATTTGCTACAACCAAATATGCCCTTCAAATAGAATGCAGTAGGCCGCGCACTTTCATTAGGGTTAGATCCTCCATGAAAGTTGGAAAACTGCAGATAAAAGTCCACTTTTTAACCTGTTGGAACAACAAATCTCTCTAATGAATCTTGAAGGATTCTGGTCAATGTGCTAAGCAGAGTGAGGAACAATGGAAGTTGTAGTCCAATGGGGTCTGTTGGGTCTGACAGTTCCCATGCCTGGTTCAGGTTCATCCATAGGTGAACAAAAAGATGTTCCTTCCTCTTTACTCCTTTTGATGCCAACATAAGAAGTAGCTTTACATTGAGTCAGATCTTTGGTTGGTTAATATTGTCCACACGGACCAACAGTAGATCTTTCTGGTTTCAGATTTTTTTTTTCATGTCAGGAGCAACTTGAGAAACTGCAAATTGTTTCTGGTGTGAGAGAATTGGTCGTCTGCAAGGATGTTGCCCAGGGGGCGCCCGGATGTTCTGATGTTTTACCATCCTTGTGGGAGGCTTCTTTTATGTCCCCACATGATGAGCTGGAGCTGACAGAGGGAGCTCGACCCACTCTCCCCGGATTTGAACCACTGACCTATTGGTCAGGAAGTCCTGCTGGCACAGGGGTTTAACCCATTGCACCACCAGAGGCACTGGTTTCAGATGAAAATTATATCCATCCCCGGGGGTGCAGTGGGTTAAACCGCTGAGCTGCTGAGCTTGTTGACTGAAAGGTCGCAGGTTCGAATCCGGGGAGCGGCGTGAGCTTCTGCTGTTAGCTCCAGCTTCTGCCAACCTAGCAGTTTGAAAACATGCAAATGTGAGTAGATCAATAGGTACCACTCCGGCGGGAAGGTAACAGCGCTCCATGCAGTCATGCTGGCTACAAGACCTTGAATGTGTATAAGAACAACGCCAGCTCTTCGGCTTAGAAATTGAGATGAGCACCAATCCCCAGAGTCGGACACAACTGGACTTAATGTCAGGGGAAAACCTTTACCTAACCAACTGGAGATGCTGGGGGTTCCTTTTGGAGATGCAAAGCTTCGACTCAGACATACAAAACTGGACTCTATCCTGATTTCCTGTGCTGAAGTTATAACGATTAAGTGCCCTTTAATTCCAAACTGGCATCAATGTCCAGGCAGTCCCTGAGTTACACACATCCGTCTTACAAATGACCATAGTCGAGAACAAGGGTGAAACAACAGGAAGTGAGAGAAACCTGCCTTTAGGAAGGGAAATCCACTACTGCAAGAGTTATTATCATGGGGAAAAGTGGCTTTCACTGAAGCTTTATTACCAATCCTTGTTTCACAACAATCTAAATTTTTGGAAATCCAATTCTCACCAAGATAGAAAGTGAAGTGAAATCTTCTGAAAAGGGGTACAGGCAGCAAACAAATGTCACAAGAGTGTAAACCCCTTCCCTATGCTACCCAAATATATATATACTTGCTGACCGAAAGGTCACAGGTTTGAATCCAGGGAGCGGCATGAGCTCCTGCTGTTGGCCCCAGCTTCTGCCAACCTAGCAGTTCTAAAACATGCAAATGTGAATAGATCAATAGGTACCACTCCAGCGGGAAGGTAACGATGCTCCATGCAACCATGCTGGCCACATGACCTTGGAGATGTCCACGGACAATGCCATCTCTTCAGCTTAGAAATGGAGATTCCCAGAGTCGGCTTAGAAATGGAGAGTCCCAGAGTCGGACATTACTAAACTTAATGTCAGGGGAAAACCTTTACCATATAGATAGATAGATAGATAGATAGATAGATAGATAGATAGATAGATAGATAGATAGATAGATAGAAGTATAGATGTATAGATAGATAGATAGATAGATAGATAGATAGACAGACAGACAGACAGACAGACAGACAGACAGACAGACAGACAGATAGATAGATAGAAGATAGATGTATAGATAGATGCATAGATAGATAGATAGATGCATAGATAGATAGGTAGGTAGGTAGATAGATAGATAGATAGATAGATAGATAGATAGATAGATAGATAGATAGATGATTGATAGATAGATAGTTTAAAACTGTACCTATTCTGACTTATGAACAAATTCAACTTAAGAACAAACCTACAGAACCTGTCTTGTCCATAACCTGGGGACTGCCTGTATACTGTTTTTGGAAGAGGGAATATTTAAAACCAGTAGATATGTGATAGACTGACGTGTGATATGTTTAAACCAATGGGTTGCTGTGAATTTTCCAGGCTGTCTGGCCATGTTCCAGAAGCATTATCTCCTGACATTTCACCCACATCAGTGGCAGGCATCTTCAGAGCTGGAGAGGTCTGTTGGAAACTAGGCAAGTGAGGTTTATATATCTGTGGAATAATGTCCAGGGTGGGAGAAGAAAAAAAAACTCTTGTCTGGTGGGGGCAAGTGTGAATGTTGCAATTGGCAACCTTGATTGACATTTAATGGCCTTGCAGCTTCAAAGCCTGGCTGCTTCCTGCCTGGGGGAATCCTTTGTTGGAAGGTGTTAGCTGGCCCTGATTGTTTCCTGTCTGGATTTCCACTGTTTTCTGAGTGTTGCTCTTTATTTGCTGTCCTGATTTTAGAGTTTTTTTTAATACTGGTAGTCAGATTGTGTTCATTTTCGTGGTTTCTTCCTTTCTGTTGAAGTTGTCCACAGAATTTCAACAGAAATGTATTTTGTATATATATATATATTGCCCTGAAATGACCCACAAGTTCATCAAGTATAAGTCCTGTTGAACCAAAAGAGACTGAGAACCAGTCTGAAGACAGATAAGCGATACTGTTTCTGATACAAATAAATGCATCTCCATACAACCTATTTGGGGTCGTTTCCTTGCATCTGAACTTTGATATGTTTGAATGGTGAGGATAAGGAGAGTGCCTGTTCATAGGTTTGATATTCCCAGCAATTCTGTTTGAGACAGGCTAAAAATAGTTGGAGAATTTGTGGCTCCGTAACAAACATGGGCTGACTCAGATCCTAGACTGCGTTTGCTGAGATAGAATTGGAGAAAACATTTCTTTTCCTGCACTAAACGATGCTGATCTCATTCCAGATGGTGCTGTTTTAATGCCGACGGTTAAGTCTTCCCAGCCGCAAACAAAACAGCAAGCCACAAACCCTACTTTTTTGTTTTTGTAACTTTATACACTAGGATTCATTTCAGAGAGAAATAGCAGAACGAGGATGATCTAATAGCAAAACATTAAAAGCTAAATCAAACCTAATCAAATTGCTCACCTTTGGGTTAAGATAGCTTGGCCGTTAAATAACACTATGTAACAAAATCTGAAAAATGATCTGTTCCTGGTTTGGAAGTGTTATTCCTGTTTAATTGTGTGGTACTTACTTTGAAAGTAGTTGTTCTACTCCAGAAACTTTGCTTTTGTGGTTGCCACAAACTAGGTTGAATTTGTTGAGACTCAATTATTGATTTTTTGTGTGTGACAGAAGTGAATTGAAGGTACAGTTATATATGCTAAATATCCTTCAATGAGAAGCTGACCACTTGGAGTGCTTCTGGTGTTGCTGTAAGAAGGTCCTCCATTATTCATGTGGCAGGAAACAGATCGCATTGTAGTCAGTAGTCTGTGGTTTGCTCTTCTCCACACTCACACGTCATGAGCTCCACTTTGGGGCCCCATTTCTTAAGGTTGGCTCTGCATCTTGTTGTGCCAGCCTGTTCAGCACCTTCCAAGTTGCCCAGCCTTTTGTGTGCCTAGGAGGGAGTCTCTTATCCGGTCTCAGCCATGGGTTGAGGTTCCGGGTTTTAGCCTGCCACTTTTGGACTCTCGCTTGCTGAGGTGTTCCTGTGAGTAGAATCATAGAGTTGGAAGAGACCTCATGGGCCATCCAGTCCAACCCGCCAAGAAGCAGGAATATTGCATTCAAAGCAACCCTGACAGATGGCCATCCAGCTTCTGTTTAAAAGCTTCCAAAGAAGAAGCCTCCACCACACTCTGGGGCAGAGAGTTCCACTGCTGAACAGCTCTCACCCTTAGAAAGTTCTTCCTCATGTTCAGATGGAATCTCCTCTCTTGTAATCTGAAGCCATTGTTCCATCGTGTCCTAGTCTCCCGGGCAGCAGAAAACAAGCTTGCTCCCTCCTCCCTGTGGCTTCCTCTCACATATTTATACATGGCTATCATATCTCCTCTCAGACCTCTCTTCTTCAAGCTAAACATGCCCAGCTCTTTAAGCCGCTCCTCATAGGGCTTCTTCTCCAGACGCTTGATCATTTTAGTCACCCTCCTCTGGACACATTCCACCTTGTCAATATCTCTCTTCAATTGTGGTGCCCAGAACTGGAAACAGTATCTCTGTAGATCTTATGAAAATGTTTCTTGATTTAAGGCATTGGCTTGCTGGCTGATACCCGAACAGAGGATGGGCTGGAGATGTCACTGCTTTGGTCCTTTCATTTCTGGCTGCTACTTCCTGACGTATGTCAGGTGTTGCAATGCTTGCTAAACAGTATAATTTCTCCAGTGGTTTTGGGTGTAGACATCCTGCGATAATGCAGCATGTCTCCTTAAGATCCACATCCACTGTTTTAACATGGTGATATGTATTCTACAGTGGGCATTTGTATTCAGCAGCAGAGTAGCCAAGCGCAAGGGCAGATGACTTCACTGTATCTGGTTGTGATCCCTAGGTTGTGCCCGTCAGCTTTCATATAATATTATTTTTAACACTCACATTTTGCTTGATAGTTAAGCAAAGTAAGTCAGAGCACGGTCCAGGGTAACTTCCAGGTATTTTGGTGTGCTGCATGAAATATTCATTGAAAAACTTTCACAAAATGTGCTGTAGCAGGATATCTCTTCCACTAAAACAAAGTTTTTGCAGTTCCATATACCTTTTCCATGTCTTTATGATAGATCCAATTGGGAAACAACATTTATAACAACATACTTGCGAGCAGTTGAATGCATGCTGTTTTATTCAAGAATAAAATTCTGCATCAAGCTACCTTAAAAACTACATAAAAGATGCTTATTTACAACTCTCACGATTCCAGAGCATTGAGTCGTATCAGTTCAAGTGGTGTCAAACTGCATTAATTCTATTGTGTCGATCAGGCATGGGCCCTCTAAGTGTTTTGGACTTCAACAGCCAACTCCAATAGACTGTTAGGAATTGTGGGAGATGAGGAGCGGCTTAAAGAGCTGGGCATGATTAGCCTGAAGAAGAGAGGCTGAGAGGAGACATGATAGTCATGTATAAATACGTGAGAGGAAGTCACAGAGAGGAGGGAGCAAGCTTGTTTTCTGCTGCCCTGGAGACTAGGACGCAATGGAACAATGGCTTCAAACTACAAGAAAGGGGATTCCATCTGAACATGAGGAAGAACTTCCTGACTGTGAGAGCTGTTCAGCAGTGGAACTCTCTGCCCCAGAGTGTGGTGGAGGCTCCTTCTTTGGAGGCTTTTAAACAGAGGCTGGATGGCCATCTGTCGGGGGTGCTTTGAATGCGATTTTCTTGCTTCTTGGCAGGGGGTGGGACTGGATGGCCCATGAGGTCTCTTATAACTCTATGATTCTATGATTTTTAAGTCCAAAACATCTGGAGGGCCGAAGTTTGCCCATGCCTGGTGTAGATGCACTGTAAGTTTGCAGTCGGCACTTGGAAGCATGCCTTGAAAAACCGCATATGGCATCTACTGCTTAGAACTGGCAAAATACTGAATGCGTTTGGTCCATGACACACACAAAAAAGCAGCATTTACTGGGTTCGGGCCATGAGTTCTTCCAGAGCAAGGTCTCGATGGTTTTCGCACAAAAGGAGGACTTCCTTGATGTCGGCTTGCTGGAAGCCCATGTCGTTGAACTGTGCCAGCAGGTGAAGGAATTCTGACGCCTGGAAATCAAAGGAAGCAGAGGTGAAACAAACACAAGTGTCTGCATGCTCTCCAAATCCTAAAGCAGAGGTCCTCAAACTAAGGCTCGGGGGCTGGATGCGGCCCTCCATGGTCATTTACCCAGCCCTCACTCGGGGTCAACATAAGTCTGAAATGACTTGAAAGCACACAACAACAACAGTAATCCTATCTCTTCAGCCAAAAGCAGGCCCACACTTCCCATTGGAATACTAATAAGTTTATATTTGCTAAAATTGTTCTTCATTTTAATTATTGTATTGTTTTTAAGTGTTTTTGCATCACAAATAAGGTATGTGCAGTGTGCATAGGAATTAATTCTTTTTTTCCCCAAATTATAATCCAGCCCTCCAACAGTTTGAGGGACTGTGACCTGGTCCTCTGTTTAAAAAGTTTGAGGACCCCTGTCCTAAAGTATTGAACAGAACTTAGTTGGCATCTCATTGAACAGGGATCCCCAAACTATGGCCCACAGTCCAGATTCGGCTCTGCAATGTCTTTTCCCTTGCCCTGCCCTAAACTTTAGACATAGGCTTGTCCTAAGTCTGAAACAACATAACTTACTTAGGTGATTCCTCGTTGTCCGAGTAGGATTGTCTTCCAAGATCGGTGTACTGGCAGTGGGTCCGTAGGTGACTGTGGAGCCCTATTCTTGATCTGCATGTTCTCCTGCACTGAGGGCATTGGTTTCCAGGTGGAAGGCGGTCCCAATCAGGGTTGGTTTGACGTGCCTTCCTCTTGGCACATTTCTCTCTTTCGCCCTCCATTCATGCCTCTTCAAATTCTACAGCACTACTGATCACAGCTGACCTCCAGCTGGAGTGCTTACGGGCCAGCGCTTCCCAGTTCTCAGTGTATATGCGAGAGTTTTAAAAGTTGGCTTCGAGCCCATCATTAAATCACTTTTCCTGCCCACCAACATTTCGTTTTCCATTCTTGAGTTTGGAGTAGAGCAACTGCGTTGGGAGATGGTGATCGGGCATCCGGACAACGTGGATGGTCCACTGGAGTTGTTGGCAGAGGACCATCGCTTCAATGCTGGTGGTCTTTGCTTCTTCCAGCATGCTGACATTTGTCCGTTTGTCTTCCCAAGAGATTTGCAGGATTTTTTGGAGGCAACGCTGAAGGTATCGTTCCAGGAGTTGCAAGTGATGTCTGTAGATAGTCCACTTCTCACAGGCATATAGCAGGGTTAGGAGGACAATAGCTTTATAAACAAGCACCTTGGTATTCCTATGGATGTACCGGTCCTCAAACACTTTCTGCTTCTTTCGGGGAAAAAACTGCACTCTCAGAGCTCAGGCAGTGTTGTATTTTGGTGTCAATGTTAACTTTGGTGGAGAGGTGGCTGCCAAGGTAGCGGAAATGGTCACTATTTTCTAATGTTACACCATTAAGCTGTATTTCTGGCATTGGAGAGGGATTGGCTGGTGACTGCTGGAAGAGCACACCAGAAGCGACTTGTAGTTTTCTCAAGTCGCTTCTGACACAATTATTTTTTTTTACTAAACTCAAGCTTCTTTAGCTTTTCATTAATGTCCCGGTCTTCATACAGCATGAAGGCATGCAATAGCAACAATCCTAACAAACTTGACTCTCTCATCAGCCAAAAGCAGGCCTACCCTTCTCATTGAAATACCGGTAAGTTTATGTTGGTTAACATTGTTTATGTTGGTTAAAATTGAAGCCCTCAGCTTGAAAAGTTTGAGGACCTTTGTCATAGAGGTTCCCTTGCTTATGGAAATGGTGAAGCTGGATCTACACTCTCTCTATAATCCAATTTCTGAATCCTTTTTTTTTAAAACAGTGTTATTTGAATCTACACCAGGCATGGGCAAAGGAATTGTGGGAGTTGAAGTCCAAAATACCTGGAGGGCCCATGCCTGGTCTACACTGCAAACAGATTATCTGGGCCCCTTACATACAACCCTGTATCCCAGAATATCAAGGCAGAAAATCCCACAATATCTGCTTTGAGCTGTGTTAATCTGAGTCCACACTCAGATAACGTGGGATTTTTTTTGCCTTGATATTCTGGGATGTAGGGCTGTGTGGAAGGACCCCTGGATTCAGGAGCTGATCTATATGGCAGTGTAGATGGGGCCTGAGACATTGGTGTCTAATGCAAAACCTTCCAGGTCTGTGGAAGGAGAATTATGCAACATGCATGGTTGCATGGTGTCCATCCCTACTTTCAAGGCTCATAAACAAAAATCCATCCTTGGTTTCTGCCCACTCTGAGTAACTCTGAGGCCGAGCAGAAATGCAGAACGCAGAGATATTTCACATCAATATATTCATACGGCAAGTTGAGATGAGAACATTTCCCTTTTTAAACTGTATCTCCCAGAGTGGCCCATTTGGACATAGAGATTTGGGAGTCCAAAAGAGTAATTAATTTTCCAAGCTTTGACCCTTTCCCTCCTTCTCCCTTGATTGTGTTTCAAGGAAAGCAAGGCATTCAGTAATGTCTTCTATAACCGTTGGGTGCTGACCTTCTTCTCTGAGTTCTGGAACATCTCCATGGCTTCCTCCACCTGGGCCTCTTCATAGCCTTGCTTCAGGAGTTTGTCACAGGCGCTGAGGTAGCTGAGAAACTGTCACAGGGAAGCAAAAGAGGGAAGCCAGAGAGAGTTAGCAGGACACGTTTCCAACAGGAATCAGAGGATATGTCTGCAGTGCGGAGTAGGTGAATGGTCCTGAGGTCAAACCCAGAACTCCCTGCTTTCAAGCTGATCTGACCTGCAGCAGGGAGTTCCTCAGTTCTCTATTGCCCACTTGGGCCAACTTCCATGAAACGTGGCCACAGCAGCAGCTACAACCAAGAAAACTTTCCTTTTGCTTCACTTTCTTCCCCTCTCCTAACATTGTAACAACCCCCCCCCCCCCAATAAAGTACCAATTAATTATAACTTTTTTCTCTTCCTGTGTTACTTTGTGTCTTTTACTGCCTCCAAACTTTCCTCTGTATGAACCTTTCCTCTCCCGGGCTGCAGATGGCTGCCGGCCCGCCCAGGATGCGATTTTTCCCTTTCCTGATTGGGGCTAGCAGAATTCTCGTAAATGTAGTTCAGGGCAGAGCCTTTTGCATTCTCTGGTATAGGTCTCCTTGCCTTCCTAAACTACATTTCCCAGAATTCTGTACTCTCTCAGTCTTTTCCCCAGCAAACTCTGCTTTCTCCCTGCTGCTTGCCTCTCCTCATTGTCTGCTTTGAACTAGATCGTATGGCAGTGTATAATCTGGAACCCTGGATTATATGGAAGTGTAGATTTCCACCGCCTAAAGTGGTGGGCTGGGTGGATGCTCTAGACATGCTGAGAAGCAATCAATCGTCACATCCTATATGGACATCTAGCGAAAGCAGGAGGCCATTCATTTAAAGAGGAAAGGCAGCCTTTTTGGCTTTGCTTTGCTTCCTTGCGTTGAACATGAAACTCACTTTGGGAGGCTTCCAAGGTTTACAAAATGCAAACGAAAAAGTATTGGGTAACTGTCAATTCTTAAAATATTGGCCCATGCATAGGATATTGTGTCGGAAGTACAAATTTATCATGTCGGAAGTACAAATTTAACAAATTTGATCTGACTTACGAGGACTAACGAAAAAAATTTGCATACATCTATTCTTTAGCCTTCTCTGCCAAAGAGTGCAGGTGCCTTACCAAATTACAAATCCTTGAATTCCATAGAAATGATCCACGGAAGTTAAAGCAGTGTCAAACTGTAGAGGCACCCTTCATTCAAGACCAACTTGATGGGGCCTAAAATGCCCACTGCACTCCCCTGGTTTGCCAGATATAGAGAGGAAGAGCTTTTGCTCTTACTGACCTGCCCCAAACTTTGGCTCCCGGTCTTTTGGAGAGCAAGGATGGCCCGGCGTATGGGGTAGCCCAAGGCTAACACCGGCTCAATGAGGTCCCGCTCCTCTTGGCTCAAAGCCGAAAGCAAGTCCGACGTGGAATCGGGTTGATCTTTCTCGGAAACGGGGACCCGTTGGACCCCAGGAAGGCAGGAATATGGGCTGAGGGACTGCAAAGAGACATTGGAAAAAGGAACAGAGAGTTGGTTAATTTGCAAGCCTTTCCCAAAGAAGGTTGCATTATCATCCTGTTCTGTAGGAACATCAAGCAACTATAGACAACAAACTGAGACTAAATGAGGAGAATGATCATGGCAGGGCTCAAGCTTAAATGGAAAGCAGCCTCTAATAAATCCAACTTCGAATTTGGGCCAAGGTTTCCAACTTTTGTAATGTCTTGAAGAACATGGGTCACGATGCTCAAAAGCAATGCTTTCTTATCTTTGCAATGGCAAAACCAATTTAGACAAAACTGCAGAATGAGCCAAGAAAATTCCCTTACATGGGGCTGTTCCCCATTTGGGCTTCTGACTCTCAACATCCTGTTTTAATTTCATCCTGGAGAATTATTTCAAACATGGAGTGACCCTGGCTTGGGAAACAAATGCCTGGAAGCCTTATTATGTTTCCAAGGAGATGACAAAGGGTGATATAACAACGGACAACAACAGCAACAGGGACCGGAAACACATGCATATATGTGTGTGTGTATATATAAGGACGAGTTTAATAAACAAACCAAAGCAATCTCATATTACGGTCATCGTGGGATAGATGGTTTAAGTGCCATTGGGGACATGTTTCCCTGTGGATAGTATTTTAAATGCAGTGAGGCACTTGAGTAGGGTTTTTTCATCCAAGGGATACAACTTCAGCTCAAATATACATTTTGAGACCTTATTATAATTCTTTTAAATATATATTGCAATGGAAGTAATCCTGCTCATGTGATCCATGTTCTTCAAAGCAGTGCAAAAGTTGGAAACCTTTCAGCTTGAGGACCAAATCTGAAGTTGAATCTTCACGTTTGAGCATCAGCCCTGCCATGTCTCTTCTTTTATTTATTTTATTATTTATTTACAGTATTTATATTCCTCCCTTCTCACCCTGCAGGGGACTCAGGGCAGATTGCAATCTACATATACATGGCAAACATTCAATGCCATAGACACACAACATATATAGACAGACACAGAGGCAACTTGACATTCCAACTTCATGAGGGTATTCTGGCCACCAGGGGAGCTGTTGCTTCACTGTCCTTTTGTGACCCTGATAAAGTACTTTCTCATTCTTTGCATGCTTGCTGGATATTTTTATAGCATTGTAAATTAGTTAAATTAGCCTCCCCACATAGGCAGTACCTAAATTTCCTACTTGACAGATGCAACTGTCCTTCAGGCTGCAAAAGTCGACAGAAAGCTACACAAATTGGTCAGAAACTCACTCCGACCCCGGCTGGCTTCGAACTCATGACCTTTCGGTCAGTAGTGATCTTAATGCAGCTGACTCCCAGCCAGCTGCGCCACAGTCTCGGTGTTATTCTCAATTGTTGTATTTATTGGCTTGTTTTGGCTGTGATGATGGGTATTAGCATGCTTTAACCATGTTGCAATTTGCCATTTTACTTCATTAGCTTTGCCTGGTAGATGTATGGTCTGCAGCTGCAAAAGGAAGTAGTAACTGGCAAATCGCTTCAAGGCCATTCCTGTAAGTACATCTGAAATGTTAATGGGCCAATGGGGGGAAACCCATGCAATGTGTTGCTTATTGACAAATGCAATATTTGATTTGCCTTGCTTGGAAATGTATCATGACATTATCCCCTCATCAGATGTAACAACACATTTATTGCAGTGCTGTGATCAACTCTATTGACTTAAATAAAGCCTCTAAGCTTTGAGAGCTTTGTTTCTTGAACTGGAATTTGCCAGTACATGACATTGCAGTTGGGCCAAGAGGAGGGAGACCACAAAAACCAGCATAGGATGCATCTATTTTGTGAAATAACTTCTGTTTGGCACTATTTTAATTGCAGTGCTGTGGGAGCCTGAGATTTATAGCGAGGCACTAGCACGCTTTAGCTGAGAAGGTAGCTGTAGAACTACAGCTTGCATGATTCCACAGCATTGAGCTGTTGTACTTGAAGCAATGTTAAACTGCATTCATCCTACAGTGTAGACCAGGCATGGGCTTAAGCAGTTAAGGGGGGAAAGGAAAAGGCCTGAGGCTGTTAGGAATTGTGGGAGTTGAAGTCCAAAACACCTAGAGGGTCCAAGTTCACGCATGCCTGTTGTAGACACACCTCCTCAACCTGCAGCCCTCCAGGTGCTTTGAACCTCATCTCCAAGAATTCCTGACCATTGAATAAAGTGGCAAAAGAGACTACTGGGAGTTGGGGTCCCAAACACATGGAGGGCCGTAGATTGAAGGTGAAAGGGGTTGGGCTTTAGCACAGTGGGTTAAACCGCCAGCTGCAAGAAATCTTGCTGATGGAAAGATCGACGGTTCAAGACCGGATTGGGGTGAGCTCCCACCATCAGCCCAGCTTCTGCTTACCTAGCAGTTCGAAAAGAGTAATGTGAGTAGATAAATAGGTACCGCTTTGAAGAGGAGGTAATAAAAGGCGTCCCTGAGGACATGCCATTGATTCAATCAGGAGAGTGTCAAAGGACAACAGAGCTCCTCAGCATGGAAGATGGAGTGACAGCACCTCCTCATGGCCAGAGCACAGCCTCCAGATGCCAGAGATGGAAAAAGATGGGAAGCCTTTATCTTTATTTATGTACTGTCTGTCTTTATTAACTGTATAATTGGCACTGAGTGTTTGCCATATATGTGTTGTGTAATCCACCCTGAGTGCCCTCGGGGAGATAGGGCAGAATATAAATAAAGTTTATTATTATTATTATTATTATTATTATTATTATTATTATTATTATTGAGATCTAGTTCAGTTGTGTATATTTGCAGGTCTTTGGATCATATTATTATTATTATTAATAATAATAATAATAATAATAATAATAATAATAATAATAATAAAGCTCTTACTACCAGCAACTAAACCTCTGTCATATAGTCTAGTTTCTGAAACCAGACTGGATTATGTGGTAGTGTAGACTCATATAATCTGGTTCAAAGCACATAATTTGGAATCAGACCCTGGTCTATATGGAAATGTAGATTTCCACCATTTAAAGTGGTGTTCTGGGTGGATGCTCTAGACATGCTGAGAAGCAATCAATCATTGCATCATGTGGACATCTAGCAAAATCACTTGGTAACACAGGAAGACCAGATCCCAACGCCAGCCTTGTGTGCTTTTGTATGAATACAATTTTCCTGCTTCTTGGCAGAATGGGGTTGGACTGGATGGCCCATGAGGTTTCTTCCAACTCTAGGATTCTATGTAAGTCTGGAACTATGCCATTCTGTGAGAGTGTGACAGGAGAAAGACAATCAAGACAAGCGGCTCCTTACCGGGACTGTGGGCTTGTGCCTTTGGATCGGAGGGACCCCTCCTGTGGCTGTCAGGGGCCTTGAGTCACAGTGTGGGGTTGATGGTGGCGTGGGAGTCAGGGTCCCCACCAGGGATAAGTCAGAGGAAGTCCCATATCTGAGGCTCCTGCTGCTCCGGGAGCGCTGGTGGAGGGAGAAAGCCCTGGAGGCCAAGGTGGGCTCCGTCGAGGTCTGGTTCAGAGGATGCATGAAGGCAGCCAGCTTCTTCTTGGCTCCTTCCAACTCGTTCTTCATGCTGCTGAACAAAAACATGGAGCGTCTCTGTTTTAGCGGAGGAGGCTTTGAGCAAGTGCTCTCTGTCGGGGTCTCCATGGGCCCTGGGGAGGTATTCGGTCTGCATTGTGGAAGGCTTAGGAACCGAGGCAAGGTGCTGGGAACGCCATCGGCCTTGTCGGATGAAGGCCCCTCTTCTCCATCGCTTTCGGCACAGTTTGTTGAGGAAGACTCTTCTTTATCTGACTGCTCCTCAGAACGGAGGTCCTCCTTCCCTTGGTTTTTGTTCCTGGCACAGCTAAAGGTCTCGGCTGCTGTGACCAACCTCACACACCTCTGGACCGGTGTTATGTCCTTGACTTTGCTGTCGGCCACTTCGTTGCCATTGGCCAAGTTCTCTTTCGAGTCCACCAGGAGCAACCAACATGGAGGAGCTGTTGGGACCACGTCAGTGGTCACTTGATACCAGGGAATGTCTTCCCGAGAGGCAGAATCTATCCAGTAGAGAACTTTCTTCTCAAGGGAGAAATCGTGCTGTTGGGATAGAAGAAGAATGATCAGTATCTTTCCTCATATTTATAAAATAGTTCACACGGAGCACAGGTGAAAGTCTGTCTGTGTCGTTTGATGTGCTCAGTGATGATTTGTCTATGAACAGTTTTAGAAGTGTTTAGAAACGAGGGGAGAATTGCATGTGATGATGTCCTAACTACCACTGGCCATAGGAGCTCCCGGTAGTGCAGTGGGTTAAACCCCTGTGCTGGCAGGACTTAAGACCGACAGGTCGCAGGTTCGAATCCGGGGAGAGGTGGATGAGCTCCCTCTATCAGCTCTAGCTCATCATGCGGGGACATGAGAGAAGCCTACCACAAGGATGATAAAAACATCAAAAATCATCTGGGCGTCCCCTGGGCAACGTCCTTGCAGACGGCCAATTCTCTCACACCAGAAGCGACTTGCAGTTTCTCAGGTCGCTCCTGACACGACAAAAACAACAACAACCAAAAAAAAAAAAACCATTGGCCATCAACATATAGGGATTTGGCTTTATTTACAGATTTGATTTAAATGACCTCTGTAAGAATCTCAAAATCTTCCAGCACAACCTTATGGTCAAATGACAAATGCAACTAGAAACAAAAGAACTCTGGGAAAAGCCATATCTATATAAATAAAAATGTAATGTTTGCTTGTGGGGTTGATGTAACTCAAAAACCACTGGACGAATTGACACCAACTTTGGACACAATACACATATCAGGCTAACAAGTGACCATCACTCATAAAAACGCTGAAAAGCACAGCAGAAGAGACTTAAAAAGCCAAAACAATGAAAAAAACATTACAATGTATGTGCAAAACCACATATATAAGCACAAATACACACATATACACATATACACACAAAAAGCACATATACACAGACTGGGCCACAACATGTGGCAGGGAATGGCTAGTTATTACTAATTCTCTTGTTCCTATGATATCAATATATATGAAAGGATACCACTTACTTGCTTACTTACCATTGTGCACATTAGGATGTCTACACAGTTGGGCATCTTGAATTCCGGCGCAGACACAAAGTTCTCCTCGCCCATGGAAGCATCGACAAAATCGATGGTCATTCGGAAAGGGATGTCTTCCAGGCAATTCATGATTTCGCTTGTTATATCGCACTCTAATAAAAGGGGATAACACAAAGATGGAGTGACTGATTTGATGGCATATTAAATTCTATATGGAACACTTTGGGCTGGGTCACAGAGCTTTAAAGATAAAATTCTTTGGCCACAATCCACTGGAGCCCCCAGTGACACAGTGGGTTAAACTGCTGAGCTGCAGAACTTGCTGACCGAAAGGTCACTGGTTTGAATTCGTAGTGTGGGGTGAGCTCCCGCTGTTAGTCCCAGCTTCTGCCAACCTAGTAGTTCTAAAACATGCAAATGTGAGTAGATCAATAGGTATTGCTCCAGCGGAAAGGTAACGGCACTCCATGCAGGCATACCAGTGGCCGCATGACCTTGGAGGTGTCTACGGACAACACTGGCTCTTCGGCTTAGCCCACAGTCACACATGACTGGACTTAATGTCGGGGAAAATCTTTACCTTTACCTTACCACAATCCACTGTGAAATCCAAGAACACAATGCCAAATTGTTGAAACATCTGTCTCCCCATTCCTTCACAAAAGGGAGCAAAATATTTCTCTGACTGGAGGCTAAAGATAATACTTTCAGAACTAGAGCTCCTTGCCCCATTTTCCTTCTACAGAGAGTTTGGTAGAATTCCAAAGCTACCAAATTGGGACATAAAAGGAGAAATATTCCTTCTTCTTTGGACTTTGGTCTCAGGACACATCTATACTGAAGAATAAGTGGTTTGGCAACACTTTAACTGCCGTGGCTCAATGCTAAAGTGACACCATTCACTCCCAATGACTAAATGACCTCTCTCTCTCTCTCTCTCTCTCTCTCTCTCTCTCTCTCTCGTATCTCCAAAATGTAGCCAGGCTAAGTGTTTATAAATTCAATGACAGGATTCTCGACGAAAGGCTACTACAGAGACTGGATCTCTTGGTGCTCACAATGGTTAAACCCTATATAGGAAACACTAGCTGCCCCCTGCCACGCGTTGCTGTGACCCACTCTGGTGGTCATGGGGGTTCTGTGTGGGAGGTTCGGCCCAATTCTATCGTTGGTGGGGTTCAAAATGCTCTGTGATTGTAGGTGAACTACAAATCCCAGCAACTACAACTCCCAAATGTCAAGATTCTATTTTCCCCAAACTCCACCAGTGTTCACATTTGGGCATATTGAGTATTCGTGTAGAGTTTGGTCCAGATCCATCATTGTTTGAGTCCACATTGCTCTCTGGATGTAGGTGAACTACAACTCCAAAACCAAAGGACACTACCCACCAAACCCTTCCAGTGTTTTCTATTGGTTATGGGAGAACTGTGTGCCAAGTTTGGTTCATTTCCATCGTTGGTGGGGTTCAGAATGCTTTTTTGATTGTAGGTTACCTATAAATCCCAGCAACTACAACTCCCAAATGACAAAATCAATTTTTTTTGAGTGAAGGACATACATTGGGTTGTTAGGTGTCTTGTGTTCAAATTTGGTGTCAATTTGTCCAGTAGTTTTTGAGTTCTGTTAATTCCACAAACGAACATTACATTTTTATTTCGATAGATGGAAATGCCTATCTATCTATCTATCTATCTATCTATCATCTATCTATCTATCATTCTATCATTCTATCTATTGTTCTATCTATCTACAAAATGCAGCCAGGCAAAGTGTTTATAAATTCAACAATGGAGTTCTTGTTGAAAGGCTATTGATGGGTCTATCTATCTATCTATCTATCTATCTATCTATCTATCTATCTATCTATCTATCTATCTATCTATCTATCTATCTATGTGAGAGGAAGTCATAGGGAGGAGGGAGCAAGCTTGTTCTCTACTTCCCTGGAGACTAGGACACGGAACAATGGCTTCAAATCACAAGAAAGGAGATTCCATCTGAACATGAGGAAGAACTTCCTGAGTGTGAGTGAGAGCTGTTCAGCAGTGGAACTCTCTGCCCCAAAGTGTGGTGGAGGCTCCTTCTTTGGAAGCTTTGAAACAGAGGCTGGATGGCCATCTGTCAGGGGTGATTTGAATGCAATTTTCCTGCTTCTTGGCAGGGGGTTGGACTGGATGGCCCAGGAGGTCTCTTCCAACTCTATGATTCTATCTATCTATCTATCTATCTATCTATCTATCTATCTATCTATCTATCTATCTATCTATCTATCTATCTATCTATCTATCTATCTATGTCTCTAAAATGCAGCCAGCTAAGTGTTTATAAATTCAACAATGGAGTTCTTGTTGAAAGGCTATTGCCGGGACTAACTATCTATCTGTCATCTATCTATCTATCTATCTATCTATCTATCTATCTATCTATCTATCTATCTATCTATCTATCTATATTTCTATCTTTCTATCTATTGATCAATCTATCATCTATCTATCTCTAAAACGCAGCCAGGCTAAGTGTATATAAACTCAACAATTATTGAAAGGTGACTGCCAGGACCGGATCTCCTGTTGCTTTAGAAGGGTAGAGGTGGACAGAGAGGCACCGGCTTGACTGTCCGGCACGTGGACATCCCTTAATGCCTTCCACATGCCCTGTTTTTGGGAAGCTTGCCAGGCGAAGGCCATCTGTCACTATGAGGTGAAAGGCACGTCTTCCTCGCCAGCCAAGACTTACTCAGCTGCCACGATGAGTAGCGCAGAGGAGGGAGGGAGGGAGGGAGAGGACCTGGCCAAAGCAATAAAGAGACACCGGAGTACATTTCTGTTTCACTCATTCAGTGAGCGACTACATTTGGAAACAAGAGATGCTACCTATCTGCATCCTTTTATTACTGTTATGACTTACTGGAGAGATGGCTTGGTAGTTTTGAGTGTTGGGTTGTGACTTGAAAGACCAGAGTTTGAATCTGCTCCTTTCAGCTGTGGAAAACCACTGGGTGACCTGGGTCAAGACACACTCTCTCAACCTTTAAGTAAAGGTAAAGGTTTTCCCCTGACATGCCTGACTCTGGGGTGTGGTGCTCATTTCCATTTCTAAGCTGAAGAGCCAGCGTTGTCCATAGACACCTCCAAAGTCATGTGGCCAGCATGACTGCATGGAGCATTGTTACCTTCCCGCCGGAGCGGTACCTATTGATCTACTCACATTTGCATGTTTTCGAACTGCTAGGTTGGCAGAAGCTAGGGCTGACAGCTGAAGCTCACACCACTCCCTGGAATTGAACCTGCAACCTTTCGGGCTGTGGCACAGCTAGTTAGTAGCCAGCTGCATTAAATCACTACTGACTAAGAGGTGATGAGTTCAAAGCGGGCCTGAGTCAGAGTAAGCTCCCAACCATTAATAGTATAGCTTGCTGTTGACCTATGCAGCCCGAAAGACAGTTGGATCTGTCAAGTAGGAAATTTAGGTACCGTTTTATGCAGGGAGGCTAATTTAACTAATTTACGACACAAAAAAACCTTCCAGCAGCCTGAGTAAGAATGAGGAAGTACTCCATCAAGGACTCGGTGTCACAAGTGGACGGTGAAGTGACAGCTCCCCCTGTGGCCGGAATCAAGCATATACTCACGAAGTTGGAAAAGCTGGAATGTTAAATTGCCTCTGTGTCTGCCTATGTATGTTGTATGTCTATGGCCATTGAATGCTTGCCATGTATATGTGCAATGTAATCCACCCTGTCTCCTGTGGGGTGAGAAGGGTGGAATATAAATACTGCAAATAAATTAAATAAATAAGCCCCAGTGGAATAAATTTAGCCAAGGAAAGAGAAGATTAAATCCTAGAGTTGGAAGAGAACCCAAGTGCCGAAATGGCAAGGGACTGGCAAACTATGATACCTAGAATGGTTTATATCATGGCAACTGGGATGGGGGGCTTAGTAACAGATAACCTGAGTCATGAAGAACTAGTCAACAAATGGCCACAATCTGAGAACTAGTTCAAAAAGATAAGTTGCTATAAAAAGGTATTGATTGGCTGAAATTGACTGCTGACTCCAAAGTTCCTTACCGAAGTTGACACCAACATTTTATTACTATTTTTGCTGACATTTATCCAGTCTTGGTACAAGTCATATGAATTAAACATGACAGATATTCAACACCATGCTTTTATACTTCCAAAAGCACTAGAAATTATCAGATTTCCACAATATGCATAAGGCAAAAAATAAAATAAAATTAGGACTTCATAAATAAATCTGTCTTGAAATGATTTCCCCTTTACATCTTAATATTCCATATATATCAACACATACATATCCTATATAGTGTTACGTCTTACCTTAGAAAAGAACCATCCAGCGACTTGTTGGGCAGAAGGCAGAGGAGCCTTGTTGACGATCTGCTTATAATGTTTTTTTGCGTGTTTACACAGGAAGTCAGCACAACGCAGGGTTCACTTTTCCAAAGCGGATTATCAGAGTTACTTAAGAGGTTAATCTTGTATCACCTTCAAGAGAATAAGGAGCCTAACCGCTGACGGTGAAAGAAGCCATTTTTATCAATAGGCTTTGCTGTCAAATGTTAATAAAACTCCAGAACTCAATGTAGATCAAGCATGGGTAAACTTTGGCCCTCCAGGTGTTTTGGACTTCAACTCCCAGAATTCCTAACAGCCTCAGGCCCCTTCCTTTTACCCCCTCAGCCGCTTAAGCGGGGCCTGAGGCTGTTAGGAATTCTGGGAGTTGAAGTCCAAAACACCTGGAGGGCCAAAGTTTGCCCATGCCTGATGTATATACATATTTTTAACTGGATGGTGAATCTTTTTAGACTTGCTTTAATCTATATGGTTGCAAAAGAGGGATTTCCTGGAAGAACTCCATCCTTGTATCGGTTCTACGGCATCATCACAACTCCAAAAGTTTGTATCAACTTTTACAGCTGGAGGAATAATAATAAAGAAAACACCAAAACAACTCAACAATGAGGAACATTTTTATTGTTTCAAGTACAAAAATATTAAATAGAACTTGACAATGTGCCAAACCAAACCATCAACACTTGATATGTTGATCAGATAATGCAACAATAATATTGTTTCAATGGAGAATATTGTATATCTTCCAACTCGGGCATTTGACAAAAGCTTTCGATCTTCACAGGGCTTCACGAGCTGCATAGTTTGCATTAAACCCCAAACCCAATATTCAACTATATTCAAGGAAATCCTGTTGCGTCATCGGCCAAAACTGCCATGGTATAACTTCCATTTCCATTCCAAACTAGGACTGAAAATCAGTTGGATCCCAAGGTACATGGTTCTTGGTTCTCTCAAATTATAATTTGTTCCTTTGCTAACTGGGTTTCCACAAAAATGTTTAATTAAAAGTGCTCTTGAATGCAATCAGAGGAAAGCAAATTCAAACCCAAAGCTTTTTCACTGAACACCAATCAGGTATTTTTGAGATATTGTCTGCTCTCTATTATTCTTTGGTACTTTTATATTGTTCTATTATGTACATCATTCAAGCATCTCAATGCAACTTGCACCCACATATTGGCAACGCAGATGTTGATTCTCTCTCTGTTGCTCTAACTTAATGCTTTAGCTAAAGCACTCAACCAGGTATGGGCAAACTTAAGTTCTCCAGGTGTTTTGGACTCCAACACCCACAATTACTAATAGCCTCAGGACCCTTCCTTTTCCTTTCCTTTTCTGCTTAAGTGGCTGTGGGGGGAAAGGAAGGGGCCTGAGGCTGTTAGGAATTCTGGGAGTTGAAGTCCAAAACACCTGGAGGGCCAAAGTTTGTCCATACTTGCACTACACCAAACTTGAAAGGAGGCAACAATTCAGTCAGTTATTTAATTGACTGTGCATAAGACCAACAGAATGGCACACACACACATATACATACACATACACACATTATTCATCCTTAACTATAAAAATTCACATCTCTGCTCTTGGAACTGCAATGTTAACAGTGAATTCAAGACATGCCATTTCCTGCCACTTTAAAAGATAAGGGTGAAAATATTTTACTTCTGGAGGAAAGGTGTCTCGGCATTGAAACGCACAGCTGCATCGCAGGCGGCAACACACACACAACGGTCTATCATTTACAATACTGTCATGAATGAGAAATGAAACATTGGCGTCTCACTTCTTGAAAACAATGTCTTGCTTCTAAACAAGCTATTTCGTATCCCCCAGGTGTCCATTGGCTCTGATTTGCATGAAAAAAATGCAATGGATTTTTAGATTAAAGGCATTTGTGGGATGCATCGAACCCCTCCTATGTTGCGGAGCAGGGCTTCAAAGGCATCATCTGACAGCTGTGGCCCAGATATCGCTGGAAGGCGGACTGGGGAGGACCCATCCTGGAGGGACACCTTGTCCATCTGGGTGATCCGCCGGCACCAAGAACCGATCCCATTCGTGCCTTGAGAACAGAAAAGCAATAGGTGACATATCGAGCATCATGTCTCAAATTTTTACCCTGGAAAGTCAGAAAATTTGAGGTAAAAGCACAATCCTGGTATGACAAAAAGTGAATTTATAGACATAGTGCTTTGTTCTGTTGGAAAACAATAGAATCCTCTGCTTTACAGAAAAGAAAGCAAAGAAATGGAAGAGAAAGGAGGCCTCAGCAGAACATTCCCTTGATCTTGTTTCATAGAAATATGTTTTAATATATGTATTTTACTGAATGTTTTATGATGATGTGCTTTTAACTATGCCTCACCCGAGTCGTGAGGAGAGGTAGGCAAAAATACAATCTATATATATAAATCTGTAGGGGGCGTCGTACGGCGTCGCATAACTCCACAACCCCCCAACGAAACTGAACCAAAATTCCCATGCCCCTAGGACAACCCACTCGCTACAAACTAATCTACTCCAAAGTAAAGAAAACACAACTGCAACGACGAAAACACCACAAAACAACTGAACATGCGCACTGGCGCAAACTCCCCGGCACGCGCGCACCCGCCGCCCCTCGCCCCCCCCCCGGCGGCACACACGCGCGCGCGGCGGAAACTCCCCGCCACGCGCACACCCGCCGCCCCTCACCCCCCCCTCTGGGCAGCATCTCCCACACAGACGCGCTTTGTTTTGGAGGAGGACAAAAGGGAAGGGAAGCCGAGGATTGCAGGGAAGGAGCAGCCTCCCGGGTTTTGACAATGGCTAAGCTTGGCTAGCAGTAGAAGAAGCCTCCGAAGCGTTTGCCTAGGAGAGGAATGGTGGGCACAGAAGCCTTGCTTAGCAGCTGTCCCTGGAGAAGGAGCGGAGGAAGCGGATCCCGGGCGCAGGGATGGCTTTCATGGCTGGGGCGGCTTCAGAGGGAGGGAAGCGAACCGGAGAAGGGAGAAAAGCAAGAAGGAGGCGGGTCTACTCCCTTCTCGGGGCTGGAGGCCGGCCGGCGTTTAAATGCCCCGGGATCCGGCACGTGCCGCGCCTGAATCAGGGCCCCGCCGCAAAGGGAGGGGGAAGGAGGGGGCGGGGCCTGTCCCGGAGCTCCGCCCACAAGCTGCGCTCTAAGGAGACTCGCGCCCCTTGCCCTGGGAATCCAACTCATTGGGCAAAGGCATCGGGGATAATATGATAGTACGATATGAAAAAGGGAGAGAAGGAAGGAGAGAAAGAAAGAAAAAGGGAAGGAAGGAAGGAAAAAGAGGGAGAGATGGAAGGAGAGATAGAAAGAAAAAAGGAAGGAAGGAAGGAAGGAAGGAAGGAAGGAAGGAAGGAAGGAAGGAAGGAAGGAAGGAGGGAACGAGGGGCACAACATCACGGAGGGGAAGGGGCAGGCAGAAACAGAACGAAGGGAGGAATGAGGGAGGGAGGGAGGACGAGAAGGAAGGAAGGAAGGAAGGAAGGAAGGAAGGAGAAGGAGGAGGAGAAGGAAGGAAGGGAAGAAGGAAACACAGAAGACATAAAGGAAGGAAGGTAACAAAAAAGGAAGGAAGGGAAGCAGAAAGGGAAGACTGAAATGGGCCACAGCAACGCGTGGCAGGGTACAGCTAGTTATTACTATTATTACTATCTTTATTCTTATAATTGATCTGTGACTCCAGGGTAAAGGACCATCAAAAGTTTCAGGTGCCATGAATGGTCTTGCTAACTGGAATCTGTTTCCATTAGAAGGCTAACTGCTGTAATAAGATTCTGATTAAAATTCATCTAAATGAAGGCAGGGAAGGAATGTCAAAATGTGGAATCACTGCTTCCAAAAGAAGAGAGAAATAAAGAGGGAGGGAGAGAGAGAGGGAGAGACAGAGAGAGAATAATCCAAACTAATTTCCTTGCTATAGTGCTGCTGATTCTTACCTGATCTGGATGAGAGATGGCAGAGAATATTCAGCTTGCAAATAATATTGGGTGAAGGGTTTCAATATGTGAGTGAGGGGAAATTCATCTGCAAAACATAACACCACACCCCCAGAATCAGAAATAGGAAATGCTTCCCAAAAGATGGAAGTCATAAGTTATTAAACCTGCTTTTAAGCAGAGGTATTGACTACCATTTTAATCTCGATGTCTTTGCAATCCAAATAAACCCTTTACATCTAAACTATTCCCGACAAGGGCTCATAATTAAGGGGAATACAGTCCGCAAATCACGTACAAGATAGGTTCTGTAGTTTGTTTTTAAGGTGAATCTGTATGTAATTCAGAACAGGTACATTTTAAATGTAACTCTAGTCAAATATATAGATTGAGTAGCATTGGATAGTATAGGAAAGGGTTAACACCCCTGTGAAGTGCATTTTGCTGTCTCTGCCCTTGTTCAGAAGATCTCAACTCACTTTCTGTCCCTGTGAGAATTGGATTTTGAACAACTAGACTTGTTGTGGAAACAAGTACTGAGGATAAGGCTTCAGTGGAGAACCTTTCCCCCACAATAACAACTCTTCCAGGAGTAAATTTCTTTTTGTTGAATAGATTTATCTATTTCTCTATTATTTCTTTCATTTCCTGTTGTCCCATTCCTGTTCTTAACTTTGAGTCGTTTGTAAGTCAGATGTTTGTAATTCAGGGACTGTCTGCAAATAACCCCACATTTCAAATGTACCCTCTCCTGCCCCAAGGACTTCAGCAAAGAGCTACAAAAGCTACCTGGGTCTCCAAAGAGTTTGGAGTCCATCTCGCGCTTCTGTTGCAGGAGTTTCTCCCTCTCCTTCCTCTGCTTCTTCTCTAGGTCTCTCTTCCTCTCCTCCTCCTGCTCCCCTTCTAGCATCACACGCAGAGCGCGCTCTTCGGCGTCGTAGAGTTCTGTGCGCTTCTTGATGGAGGCTCTTAAGCTCTGGACTTCATTTTCAAAGGCCTCGTCTGCAGCAGCGGGTGGACAAACACCTGTGTCCCAAAAGAAAGGGAATGAAACAAACCAACAAAAGGATGACCCACAGCAAGTCAGAGGAGTAACCAATTCATTTTTTACTTTAGCTTCACTCCTGAGGAGCTTCCTGGGTTCTTTCCAAAATACGAATTGTTTCACAAAATATTTAAATACAAGTAAAAGTAACCAGGGAGCCTCCGGTGGCGCAGTGGGTTAAACTGCTGACCTGCTAAACTTGCTGACCGAAAAGTCAGCAGTTCAAATCCGGGGAGCGGGGTGAGCTCCCACTGTCAGCCCCAGCTTCTGCCAATGTAGTAGTTTGAAAACATACAAATGTGAGATCAATAGGTCCTCTTCCTCCAGCGGGAAGATGATAGTGTTCTATGCAGTTATCTCTCCAATAGGTGAGATCAATAGGCCCTCTTCCTCCAGCGGGAAGATGATAGTGCTCTATGCAGTTATGCTGGTCACATGACCTTGGAGGCATCTATGGACAATGCCGGCTCTTCGGCTTAGAAATAAACACCATCCCCCAGAGTTGGACACAACTAGATTCATGTCAAGGGGAAACCTTTACCTTTACCTTTTAAAAGTAACCAGAATGTAAACATCTTTTAGAACAAATAAATATCTCATTTCCATGAGTACTTGCAAGAAAGCGGTCACTTACCCAGCTACTTGCGCAGTTGGAATTTAAAACGTAAAACGTGCTTGCGCAGTTGGACATTAAAACTCAGTTAACTTTGAATCATGAGTTTTCATTTACATTCTATTGCTACTATATGTCAATTCTGTTTCTGTGTTTGGTGCATGTTTATATGTGTGTATGTTTTTATCTATGTAATTTATGTATATATTTTGTGCTCAGATGATTTTGGCTTTGTTGTACCTCGCCGTCAGGAGAGATGGGTAATAAATAAAACTTACTATTACTATTACTACTACTACTAATAAGGGGTTGGACTGGATGGCCCACAAGGTCCCTTCCTACTCTAGGATTCTATGATTCTATTCATTTGTAATGAAAAGTTTAGCTTACCTTTCCTTCCTGCTGCTTCTTTCCTCAGTTTCCTCAGCTTTTCTAAACCCCGCAGGATTTCAGACATGCGCTTGGTGTCCGCTTGCTTCTTCCTGACTTCGGACAAGACACTGTCTGCAGCAGCTTTCAGTTCCTTTTCCTAAATGGGAGGGAAACAAGAAGATCCTATGAAGGAGAAGCCCCATGGACTCTTATCATCAACAGAGCTGCTGGACTATATTCTGCATAGGTTTTTTTTTTTTGTCGTGTCAGGAACGACTTGAGAACTGCAAGTCGCTTCTGGTGTGAGAGAATTAGCTGTCTGCAAGGACATTGCCCAGGGGACGCCTGGATGTCTTGATGTTTTTACCATCCTTGTGGGAGGCTTATTTACGCTGTTTTATGCTGTCTTAATTGTATGCTGTCTTAATTGTATGCTGTCTTAATTGTATGCTGTCTTAATTGGGGTCGAGGAGCTGACCATCTCTCCGTTGCCATGGACCGACCACTTCCTGGTCAGATTTAGGCTCACTGCGCCCCCTAACCTCTGCAGAGGTGGAGGACCCATTAAGTTGGTCCGCCCCAGGAGGCTTATGGATCCGGATGGATTCCTGATGGCTCTTGGGGAGTTTCCCGCCGCCTCGGTAGGTGATCCTGTCGAGGCCCTGGTCACTCTCTGGAATGGGGAGATGACTAGGGCAATTGACACGATCGCTCCGGAACGTCCCCTCTCAAGTAGCCGAGCTAAACCAGCTCCCTGGTTCACCGAGGAGCTGGCAGCGATGAAGCGAAGGAAGAGGGAACTAGAGAGTGTGTGGCGTTCGGATCCGAGTGAGCCAAATCGAACACGGTTTGTGTCCTTTTTAAGGGCATATGCCGCGGCAATAAAAGCCGCAAAGAAGGCCTTCTTTGCGGCCACTATTGCGTCTGCAAAGAACCGTCCGGCTGAGCTGTTCCGAATTGTCAGAGGCCTTTTAAATCCCACCACTCAAGGTGGGAACCCTGACGATTCGACTTCTCGCTGTGAAGCTTTTGCTCAGTTCTTTACAGAAAAGTCGCTTTGATCCGTTCTGGTCTGGATACCATGTTAATGGCAGTCTCTGAGGATGTAACACGAGCACCTGCTTGTCCAGTTTTGATGGATTCATTTCAATTGGTGAAACCCGAGGATGTGGACAAGATACTTGGAGGAATGAGGCCAACCACATGCATCATGGACCCCTGCCCATCCTGGCTTCTAAAGGAGGCCAGAGGGGGATTGGCTGAGTGGGTTAAGGTGGTGGTTAATGCTTCCCTTCGGGAAGGCAAGATTCCAGCGAGCTTAAAACAAGCTATAATAAAACCGCTGTTGAAGAAACCATCACTGGACCCCATAAATTCGACAACTATCGGCCAGTTTCCAATCTCCCCTTCTTGGGCAAAGTCTTGGAACGTGTGGTGGCCTCACAACTCCAGGTATTCTTGGTAGACACGGATTATCTAGACCCGGCACAGTCTGGCTTTAGGCCGGGACATGGTACCGAGACAGCCTTGGTCGCCTTAGTGGATGATCTGCGCCGGGAGCTCGACAGGGGGAGTGTGTCCCTGTTGGTGCTGCTTGACCTCTCAGCGGCCTTCGATACCGTCGACCACGGTATCCTTCTGGGACGCCTCGCAGGGATGGGTCTTGGAGGTACTGTTTTGCAGTGGCTCCGGTCATTCCTGGAGGGTCGATCTCAGAAGGTGTTGTTGGGGGACACCTGTTCAACCCCACAACCATTGTCTTGTGAGGGTTCCTCAGGGCTCAATATTGTCTCCCATGTTGTTTAACATCTACATGAAGCCGCTGGGGGAGATCATCCGGAGTTTCGGGGTACGGTGTCATCTGTACGCGGATGATGTCCAACTCTGTCACTCCTTTCCACCTGCTACTAAGGAGGCTGTCCAGGTCCTGAACCGGTGCCTGGCCGCTGTGACGGTCTGGATGAGGGCGAACAAATTGAAATTGAATCCAGACAAGACAGAGGTACTCCTGGTCAGTCGCAAGGCCGAACAGGGCATAGGGTTACAGCCTGTGTTGGATGGGGCCGCACTCCCCCTGAAGATGCAGGTTCGCAGCTTGGGTGTGACCCTGGACTCATCGCTGAGCCTGGAACCCCAGGTTTCGGCGGTGACCAGGGGAGCATTTGCACAGCTAAAGCTTGTGCGCCAGCTGCGCCCGTACCTTGGGAAGTCTGACTTGGCCACGGTAGTCCACGCTCTGGTTACATCCCGTTTAGACTACTGCAACGCTCTCTAAGTGGGGTTGCCTTTGAAGACAGCTCGGAAGCTCCAACTAGTCCAACGCTCGGCAGCCATGATTTTAACAGGAGCGGAGCGCAGGGAGCATACAACCCCCCTGTTGCGCCAACTCCACTGGCTACCGATCTGCTACCGGGCTGAATTCAAAGTGCTGGCGTTGGCCTTTAAAGCCCTAAACGGTTCCGGCCCAAGCTACCTATCTGACCGCATCTCTGCCTATGAACCCACCAGGACTTTGAGATCTTCCGGGGAGACCCTGCTCTCGATCCCGCCTGCTTCTCAAGCTCGGCTGGCGGGGACGAGAGATAGGGCCTTCTCGGTGGTGGCTCCTCGGCTGTGGAACGCCCTTCCTACGGACATTAGACTAGCACCATCTCTCATGGTATTCCGCAAAAAGGTGAAGACCTGGATGTTTGTGCAGGCGTTTGAGTAATTTAGTGCAATCTGGTAATGGAACATAGGAATGGAACAATGGACGACGAACCTGGACTACGCTTGGATGATGAGAAGATTGGGTACGGTTGTTTTTTGTAATAATTGTGCATTGTAATTGCTTATTGGTAATTTATGGATAATGTGTTAAGTCAATTGTTATATGTTGTATGGAACCACTGCTGTTTCTACTGTTTTTACTGTTTGTGAACCGCCGTGAGTCGCCTTCGGGCTTGAGATACAGCGGTATACAAGCAAAGTAAATAAATAAATAAATAAATATTGTCGAAGGCTTTCATGGGAATCACTGGGTTGTTGTAGGTTTTTTCGGGCTATATGGCCATGGTCTAGAGGCATTTCTCCTGACGTTTCGCCTGCATCTATGGCAAGCATCCTCAGAGGTAGTGAGGTCTGTTGGAACTAGGAAAAAGGGTTTATATATCTGTGGAATGACCAGGGTAGGACAAAGGACTCTTGTCTGTTGGAGCTAGGTGTGAATGTTTCAACTGACCACCTTGATTAGCATATAATTCCAGGGCCAGAGAAGCAGATGGCGGAAACAGAAGAACTGCCTCGGGAGCGTGCTTGCTCCATCCATGTTCAACATTTACACAAATGACCAGCCACTGCCAGAAGGGACAGAGTTTCATCTATGCTGATGATCGTGCCATTACTGCTCAAGCAGGGAGCGTTGAGATGGTAGAACAGAAGCTCTCCGAAGCTCTAGGTGCTCTTACTGCCTATTACAGGGAAAACCAGCTGATCCCTAATCCATCTAAAACACAGACATGTGCCTTTCACCTTAAGAACAGACAAGCATCCTGAGCTCTGAGGATCACCTGGGAAGGAATCCCACTGGAGCATTGCAGCACACCCAAATACCTGGGAGTCACTCTGGACCGTGCTCTTACCTACAAGAAGCACTGCCTGAACATCAAGCAAAAAGTGGGTGCTAGAAACAATATCATACGAAAGCTGACTGGCACAACCTGGGGATCACAACCAGACACAGTGAAGACATCTGCCCTTGCGCTTGCTACTCTGCTGCTGAGTATGCATGCCCAGTGTGGAACACATCTCACCACACTAAAACAGTGGATGTGGCTCTTAATGAGACATGCCGCATTATCACGGGGTATTGCACCACCTGACATCCGCCGGGAAGTGGCAGCCAATAGTGAAAGGACCAAGGCAGAGACATCTCCAGCTCATCCCCTGTTTGGGTATCAGCCAGCACGTCAACGACTTAAATCTAGAAATAGTTTTCTAAGATCTACAGAGACACTCGCTGGAACACCTCAGCAAGCGAGAGTCCAAAAGTGGCAGCTTCAAACCCAGAACCTCAACCAATGGCTGATACCAAATGAGAGACTCCCCCCTGGGCACACAGAGGACTGGGCGACTTGGAAGGCGCTCTGGCACCACGAGATGCAGAGCCAACCTTCAGAAATGGGGCCACAAAGTGGAATCCTCGATATGCGAGTGTGGAGAGGAGCAAACCACTGACCACCTGCTGCAATGCAACCTGAGCCCTGCCACATGCACAATGGAGGACCTTCTTGCGGCAACACCAGAAGCACTCCAAGTGGCCAGATACTGGTCAAAGGACATTTAATCAACTACCAAACTCACACATTTTGTATTCTGTATTTTTGTATTTTGTCTGTTTGCTTTGTTCTGTTAGAAATGTAATATAATTGACTGGTTGCTGATGACTCGATAAATAAACCTGACAGTGCCTAGAGCCATGATGGCGAACCTATGACACGTTTGTCAGCACTGACACGTGTAGCCATTTTCGATGACACGCAGCCACATACACAGAAAGAATGGGGCCGCATCCCGAGAAGGACATTTCATCCTCGGCTCCTGCACCAGCATTTTTCTATAATGCCAAGATATATGACATTATAGAAAAAAGCAGATAAGTTAAATAATTAGTTTTTTGGTTTATTAAATACAGTTATATAATACAATAATATATTTTTGTTATATCGTTTTTTTTCTCGAAGTGACACCTCACCTGAGTAATGCTCAGTTTTTTGGCGAGTTTTGACACACCAGGCTCAAAAAGGTTGCCCATCACTGGCCTAGAGCCAACTTTTGTTTTGCTGTCTTAATTGTTATTCCTTTGTTTTTAATTGTATTCTGCCTGGGCTTGGGCGCCATGTAAGCCGCCCCGAGTCCCTCCGGGGAGATTTATTTGTCGTGTCAGAGTAACCAGTCCATTATATTACATTTCTAACAGAACAAAGCAAACAAACAGAAAAATACAAAACTTGTGAGTTTGGTAGTTGGTTAGATGTCCTTTGACCAGTCCACTTGGAGTGCTTCTGGTGTTGCCGCAAGAAGGTCCTCCATTGTGCATGTGGCAGAGCTCAGGTTGCACTGCAGCAGGTGGTCAGTGGTTTGGTCTTCTCTACACTCACATGTCGTGGATTCCACTTTGTGGCCCCATTTCTTAAGGTTGGCTCTGCATCTCGTGGTGCCAGAGTGCAGTCTGTTCAGCGCCTTCCAAGTCGCGCAGTCTTCTGTGTGCCCAGGAGGGAGTTTCTCATTTGGTATCAGCCATGGCTTGAGGTTCTGGGTTTGAGCCTGCCACTTTTGAACTCTCGCTTGCTGAGGTGTTCCAGCGAGTGTCTCTGTAGATCTTAGAAAACTATGTCTAGATTTAAGTCATTGACGTGCTGGCTGATACCCAAACAGGGGATGAGCTGGGGATGTCTCTGCCGGGGAGATGGAGGCGGGGTAGAAAAATCCTTCTCCTTCCTTTTTCTTCTGAAGATGAGCCTGGGAAGCCCCAACACACATAATGGGCCGGCCAGAAAGCGCCTCTCCCGGCTCCCTGGGTGGGAAAGGGCCTCACCCTCCGCTGCTGCTCGTCCTCCCAGGCCCGGCGCGCCCTCCACCGCTCGGTGCGGGCTTCCTCCTCCTCCGCCAGGCGGGCCTGCTCCTCCTCTCGGGCCGCGCGGGTTGCTTGCCTCTGCTTGCGGCGCCGCAGTCGCTTCTTGCGGCTCCTCTCCCGGGCCGCGGCCTTTTCATTTCCCTCCTCCTCCTCTCCTTGTATCTCCGCCGAGGCTCGAGCTGCACAAAGCAGCGCCTGGAGGGCCTTGAGGCCTAAATCGACCGGGACTGCTTTGGGAGGCGGCTTCTTCTTCTTCTTCTCCTTCTCCTCCAGTTCCGAGCGGGGCCGGGAAAGGAAGCGGAGCAGCCAGACCTCCTCCTTTTTCTCTTTCTCCGCCTCCAAGACGCTACTCGAGTCCGGCGCCGGACTAGGCCTCTCTGCGGCCTGCAACGGTCGCCATGGCAACGGAGCCTGCTGTGGCAGTTGTTGCCAATGAGGAGGAGGAGGAAAGGCGGAAGGGAATGGAGGGAACGCGGGAGGAGGCATGGGAGGGGGAAGGCCGCGGAAGGGCCCCGGTTGGAAGCCGTGCGCCAGCGGGGGAGCCCCGAAGCGAGGCGGGAGCGGAGGAGGCGGCGGCGGCATCGCCCTCGTAGTAGCAAAGCCGACGCTTCTCTTCACCAAGAATAGGCCCCACTTCCGGTTCGGCCAGCGGAAGTCTCTACCGCCCTCTAGAGCAGTGGTTCTCAACCTGTGGGTCCCCAGGTGTTTTGAACTACAACTCCCAGAAATCCCAGCAAGTTTACCAGCTGTAGGATTTCTGGAAGTTGAAGGCTAAAACATCTGGGGACCCACAGGTTGAGAACCACTGCTCTAGAGCATGGAAGGATTCTCTTCGCCTATGAGTCGCCAGGGTTTGGCTTTTGAGGACTTAGAATCATAGAAATCAAAGAGTTGGAAGAGACCTCATGGGCCATCCAGTACAACCCCCTGCCAAGAAGCAGGAATATTGCATTCAAATCACCCCTGACAGATGGCCATCCAGCCTCTGTTTAAAAGCTTCCAAAGAAGGAGCCTCCACCACACTCCGGGGCAGAGAGTTCCACTGCTGAACGGCTCTCACAGTCAGGAAGTGCTTCCTCATGTTCAGATGGAATCTCCTCTCTTGTAGTCTGAAGCCGTTGTTCCGCGTCCTAGTCTCCAAGGAAGCAGAAAACAAGCTTGCTCCCTCCTCCCTGTGACTTCCTCTCACATATTTATACATGGGTATCATGTCTCCTCTCAGCCTTCTCTTCTTCAGGCTAAACATGCCCAGCTCCTTAAGCCGCTCCTCATAGGGCTTGTTCTCCAGACCCTTGATCATTTTAGTCGCCCTCCTCTGGACACTTTCCAGCTTGTCAATATCTCTCTTCAATTGTGGTGCCCAGAATTGGACACAATATTCCAGGTATGGTCTAACCATGATGCAGGCCAAAATCCCATTGGCTTTTTTTGCCGCCGCATCACATTGTTGGCTCATGTTTAACTTGTTGTCCACAAGGACTCCAAGATCTTTTTCACACGTACTGCTCTCGAGCCAGGCATCCCCACTTCTCAGACAGATAACCCTTTATCCTCCTCTTCTTTCTCTTTTCTCTTCCTCCTTTCTTCTTCCTCTTCCTCTATCTCTTCTTTATCTTCCTCTTTGACTTCTTCCGCTTCTACTTCTCCTTTCTCATCCTTCTTTCTCCACTTCTTGTTCCTCCTTTACTTCCTCTCCCCTCTCTTCTCTTCCTTCTCTTCCTTTTTTCTCCTTTTCTCTTCCTCCTTTACTACTTCTTTTCTTTCTTCTCTTCCTCCTCTTCTTCCTTTTCTGTTTCTCCATCACTTTTTCTTCCCTCGTCTCTTCCTTTTTTCTCTTCCTCCTTTACTTCTCTTTTCTTTCTCCTCCTCCTTTCTCTTCTCTTCTTCCTCTTCTTTTCTCCTTTTCTCTTCCTCCTTTACTACTTCTTTTTCTTTCTTCTCTTCCTCCTCCTCTTCCTTTTCTTTTCTCCATTCTTCTTCTTCCTCTTCTCTCCTTCCTTTTTTTTTCTTTCCCCTTTTCTCTTTTCTTCTCTCCTTTCTCTTCTCTTCTTCCTCTTCTTTTCTCCTTCTCTTCCTCCTTTACTACTGCTTTCTCTTCCTTTCTTCTCTTCCTCCTCTTCTTTTTGTTTCTCCATTACTTCTACTTCCACCTCTTCGTCTCTTCCTTCCTTTTTTCTCTTCCTCCTTTGCTTCCCTCTTTTCTTTCTCCTCCTCCTTTCTCTTCTCTTCTTTCTCTTCCTCCTTTACTTCTTTCTCCTCCTCCTTTACTTTTTTCTCCTCTTCACCTTTTCTTTACTCTTTTCTTCCTTTACTTATTCTTTCTCCTTCCTCATAGAATCATAGAGTTGGAAGAGACCTCATGGGCCATCCAGTCCAACCCCCTGCCAAGAAGCAGGAATATTGCATTCAAAGCACCTCCGACAGATGGCCATCCAGCCTCTGTTTAAAAGCTTCCAAAGAAGGAGCCTTCACCACACCCCAGGGCACAGAGGTCCACTGCTTTTTTTTTTTGTCGTGTCAGGAGCAACTTGAGAAATTGCAAGTAGCTTCTGGTATGAGAGAATTGGCCGTCTGCAAGAATGTTGCCTAGGGGATGCCCGGATGATTTGATGTTTTTATCACCCTTGTGGGAGGCTTCTCTCATGTTCCCGAATGAGGAGCTGGAGCTGATAGAGGGAGCTCATCTGCCTCTCCCCCGATTCAAACCTGCGACCTGTCGGTCTTCAGTCCTGCCGGCACAGGGGTTTAACCCACTGCGCAACTGGGGGCTCCAGGTCCACTGCTGAACAGCTCTCACAGTCAGGAAGTGCTTCCTCATGTTCAGATGGAATCTCCTTTCTTGTAGTTTGAAGCCATTGTTCCGCATCCTAGTCTCCAGGGAAGCAGAAAACAAGCTTGCTCCCTCCTCCCTGTGACTTCCTCTCACATATTTATACATGGCTATCACGTGTCCTCTCAGCCTTCTCTTCTTCAGGCTAAACATGCCCAGCTCCTTTAGCTGCTCCTCATAGGGCTTGTTCTCTAGACCCTTGATCATTCTAGTCGCCCTCCTCTGGACACATTCCAGCTTGTCAATATCTCTCTTCCAATTGTGGTGCCCAGAATTGGACACAATATTGCAGGTGTGGTCTAACCCAGGCGGAATGGAGGGGTAGCATGACTTCCCTGGATCTAGACACTATGCTCCTATTGATGCAGGCCAAAATTCCACTGGCTTTTTTGCCACCACATCACGTTGTTGGCTGATGTTTAACTTGCTGTCCACGAGGACTCCAAGATCTTTTTCACACTTACCTCTCTCGAGCCATGCGTCCCCCATTCTGTATCTTTGCATTTCATTTTTTCTGCCTAAGTGGAGTATCTTGCATTTGTCACTGTTTAACTTCATTTTGTTAGTTTTGGCCCATTTCTCTGTCAATATCGTTTTGAATTCTGCTCCTGTCCTCTGGAGTATTGGCTATCCCAATTTGGTGTCGTTTGCAAACTTGATGATCATGCCTTCTAACCCTTCATCTAAGTCATTAATAATATGTTTAATAGGACCGGGCCCAGGTTAGAACCCTGCGGCTCTCCACTCATCACTTCTTTCCATGATGAAGAGGAAGCATTGGGGAGAATCACCCTCTGGGTTCGTCTGCTTAACCAATTACAGATCCACCTCACCTGGGTTTTGCCTAGCCCACATTGGACTAGTTTCCTTGCCAGAAGGTCATGGGGGACCTTGTCAAAGGCCTTACTGAAATCCAGGTACGCTAAATCCAGGCATTCCCCGCATCTACCCAGCTTGTAAGTTTTTATTAAAAAAAAATCGGATTAGTCTGGCATGACTCTTCCTCCCTTTCTCTTCTTCCTTTACTTCTTCTTTCTCTTCCTACTCCTTTCTTCTCCTTTTCCTCTTTCTCTTCCCACTCCTTTCTTTTCAATTTACTTCATTCATTCTTTCTCTTCCTTTTCCCTTCCTCCTTTACTACTTTCTCTTTCCACTCCTTTATTTCTTTTTTTTTCATTTACTTCATTTTCTTTCTCTTCCTTTTCCCTTTCTCCTTTACTTCTTTCTCTTCTCCCTTTTCTCCTTCTTTCTCTTTCTACTCTTCCTATTTTCTCTTCTCTTCCTTCTTTCTCCCTTCCTCCTTTACTTCTTTCTCCTTCGTCCTCTTTCTCTTCCTCCCCTTCTTCCATCTCCTCTCTTTTTGCTCTTCTTCCAATTTATGTGCCACTTTTCCTCTTAAAAGTGATTCAAAGCAGTAACCACAGTGGTCACGCCAACACAGCATACAATTTAAGACCTAAAATAAAATTAAACCTAGAACTATCCTTAACAACAAAGCACTAAAACCATTAAAGCTGATGTAAAGCTGAAGCCTGTTTTATATTTTGTATAATGTTGTTTATGTTGATTTAAATTGCTGTTGATGCACTCAGATGTACTATCTTTTAACTGTTATCTGGGCTTTGCCCCATGTAAGCTACCTGAGATGAAGGCGGGGTATAAAAATAAAATTATTATCATCATTATTTATTGACTGCTAAATCCCAGGTTTTCTGTTAGAATCCTATACTATAAACATAAAAACAGAATTAAATCGAGAGCTCTCTAAAAAGTAATAATTGAAACCTGCTTGAACAGTTGGGCTTTATTTCCTGGAGTATGGACTGGCTGGATCTTCTTACGCTTCATTGCACTCTCAGAATTTTCTTGAACACCACAGTTCAAAAGTGAATGTATTACTATTATCATTATAAGCCATGTTGATTCTGCAGATTAACACAGTTGTCTTAAATCCAAATGAGGGAACCAAATGTAATAGACCCTAGACACATCTCGACACAAAGGAAACATCATATTTTATGTACAGAGTTTAATTTCGGAAATCAAAAACATACAAGTCCTTTTTGTTTCTGTTTTTTTTTACAAATACTGTACTAAAGGATCAGAGGATTTGTAAAACAAAGCAATCTTTGCTTCGCTAAAAGATTTAAAATGAACGATATGCAGGGTCCGGTGTCTAAATCGTATAACTTAAATTAGGATTTTGTGCAAACGCTGACAAGCGATGACACAGGGAAAAAAAGTATTCTACAATTATATGTTAACTTTCTTGGACTTCTTAATGTTATAAGAAGGTCTCCTGGGGGGAAAAAATATCTGGCACCAAAAAATTGATGCAGGAGGGTTTCCAGTACATTCAGTAAAAAGTACTATATTAAAATATTGGTATTTAGATATCTTAAGGTCTTGTTCCTTTCTGTAGACCTTTATCTCCACAGAGAAAGGTGTGGCGAGTTCTGGGTTCACCTGTTCTCCTAACACCCATGTTTTTTCTTCTTCCAAACCTACATATAATTAAAGAGAAACCTTTGGTATTATACCCAATTATTCAATGCACTGTTTTAGGAAAGTGGTGCAAAAATGCTCTAAAATCGGGTCGTAATTAAAGAGCACAGCTCCGCTTGCTTATAGAGCTGGCAAACCTGAAATCACTGTCCTTGCCTTAAGCCTCCGACACCCAGTTTCCATAATAAATGTAACAGCGTCCCTCTAGCACCCACTGCGTTTCAAACAGAAGAGTGATTTTATGATATTCAAACTGAAAAAGAGCCCCCCCCCCCCAAAAAATAGCTTTGTATATTTATATATATGTTAGCTTCCAAGGACCGATTTGAAGGGCCAAAGTTCTCAAGTACAGCACTGAGGAAGGACAGTTGCACTCCGTTCTAGAACTGAAAATGCTTGGGTAGAACGGAAGGACTTTCAAGTCTCCAAGTGCAAAAAAGAAGAAGACGACTTCAGCAAAGCCTAAGATCTTTCCCAAAGACCCTCCCCATATTTACTTTTGCTCCGTTTACAGCTCTGGCACCATCTTTGGATAGAAAGTTCCCATTACTCCCTGTTTTATGCTAGGAAGGCAATCAGAATTTTGTCACATTGAACAGCGAAGTTCAACAGCATCCCAAACTGGATTTCATCATTCTCAAAGACTATTGGTACCTAACCAAATCTAACTGGCTGCATTAATATGTCCTTGCTATCTGAAGGGTCTATTCCAAATCCAAAGTTGACCGAGGCTGAGAAATTCCCCAACGGAGACCTGTTGCAATCAAATATAATGGAGGAGGAACGTTTTGCAGGTTACAAACACACATCTAATGTGCTAAGTGCTCTATCTCTGCAGTGCGCCTAAAAAGGGGGGAAAGTCTCCAATGTTCCGCTTTGTAGATAGCCAAGGGGAAGGGGAGAAAGGGTTGATCCGATGTCCCCCGAAACCCACTGGCATTTTGGCTCAGCAGGAAAAAAAATAAAGAAAATATCTTGTGTGTTTGTTTTTTTAAAAAAACTAGTACACAATTCATTTCTGAATATTACAACGCCGACGTCCGAGTGTCCACAGGAGGGGGGCAAATCAATGTGATGTTACAAGAAAGACATGATCGGTTTCCCGTTAGCATTATCAAGGGTTTTCCTGACCATGTACTGTATTCGGGAGAGATCCAATGTTAAAGAATCAAACAAAAACATTTAAGTGCGTTTCCTGCAGGACGTTCCGACAGGGTTTTAATTGTTTGCGGCGTCGGCTTGGCGAGCCCAGCTTTCCTCTTCCACTCCCGAGTCGTAGTCTTCTTCTGCAGAATCTTTTGCTGGAGCCCTGTGATAAAATGTACGCATGGGTCAGTCCTCTGGAGTAAATAAGCAGGACAGGAGAGCCATTTCAGAAAGGATTCCCCATAAATGATGTGAGACATGTGGACTGGGATCCGAAGAGAAACATGTCGGCCCAAGCACACTGATCTCTGTACCATTTTGCTTCTTAATAATCACAGCTAATATTATATAATTCTAGGATAGTAAAGGTAAAGGTATAGGTTTTCCCCTGATATTAAGCCCAGTCATGTCAGACTCTGGGGGTTTGTGCTCATCTCTTTTTCTAAGCCGAAGAGCCAGCGTTCTCCGTAGACACCTCCAAGATCATGTGGCTGGCATGTCTGCAGGGAGCACCATTACCTTCCCACCAGAGCGATACCTATTGATCTACTCACATTTTTGCATGTTTTCGAACAGCTAGATAGGCAGAAGCTGGGGCTAACAACAGGAGCTCACCCCGCTCCCTGGATTCGAACCACCAACCTTTTGGTCAGCAAGTTCAGCAGTTTAACCCACTGTGCCATTTGGGGGCCCAGTTCTAAGATAACACGGCATATACAAAGATAGGCTGCTTTGTGAAGGCTTTAAAACAAATTGGACAAAAACGGTTTTTGGTACAAATACATGTCTTGTTCATTTGGAAGGGACATCATTAGCGAAAGAGTGATTTGTACCGAAACTGCCCTTCCTTCTGATGAGGTCCCTTCCAAACAAACAAGCCCTGTTTTTGATGTTTACATTCTCTTATAGAAGCAAATATACTGCCTTCCCCATTAAAAAAAGGCAACGCAGTTAAAAAATACAATCTAATGTTGGTATTTGAAAATTACCTGACGTATCCAGGGTCCTTTTTCCCTTCCACAACCTCTTTGTCGACTTCCACACATACAATATCAGAATTGGGGACTTCAAACATGGGTTCCAGTAGTAACTTTTCCTAAGGGAGGAGGAAAGGAAAGATTTCTTCACCATTAGAGTATGTTTGCACATCACTTACTCTAACATATTTGCCAAGGGATTGATTCAACAGGGTAGGCACACCCTTAAGTGTGAAGGCTTTGCACATAGAGGTGCTGTTTCTTGATATAATTTTTTTTCTGCAGATAGAACCACTGAGGCTGGAAATTCTCTCTCTTGCCACTAGAAAACTTCCAAAGCTTGCTTTCTTTTAAGCTTTCTTTTGCTTTACAAAGTTGACTATCTTGGTAATTCAATTTTTAAAATTCTGCAGTATCCAGAAACAAAGATTTTTAATAATAATAATAATAATAATAATAATAATAATAATTACGAATTGTAGATGTTGCAATCCCAAGTGACAGCAGGTTTGGTGAAGAGCAACTGGAAAAGCTTACACGATATAAGGATTTGAAGATCGAACTGAAAATTCTCTGGCACAAGCCATTCAAGGTGGTCCCAGTGGCACACTGGGTGAAGTGCCTAAAGACTTTGGTCTGCACTTAAAAACAATTGGTGCTGACAAAATTACCATCTGTCAGCTGCAAAAGGCCACCCTACTTGAATCTGCACGCATTATTTGCCGATACATCACACATGTGATCCAATAAACAGCCAGCAAAGTGATCTTATTTGCTGTGTATTAACCTTGTGTGTATCTAATAATAATAACAATAATAATAATAATCATCATCATCATCTTTATCTCCCTGGAGGGACTCAGAGCAGATTACAATACACATATGAGGCAAACATTCAATGCCTTTTACACACCGTGAACGACATATAACACAGACAAAGGTAAAGGCCTTCCCCTTTTTCCATCTCCAGCATCTGGAGGTGATGTTCAACTCCGGCCATAGGAAGGTGTTCTTGTTCCAATTTTCATGCCAAGGAGCCTGTTGTCTAAAGACATTTCCAATTGTGTTGCCAGCATGTTTGCATATTTGCATGGGGCATACTTATACCTCCCCACCGAGGCGGTACCAAATTGATCTACTTGCATTGCATGCTTTCAAACTGCTAGGTTGGCAGAAGTTAGGGCTAACAGTCGAGAGCTCACTCCGACTTGCGGCTTCAAACTACCAACCTTCTGGTCAGCAGCTTTCCTGCACCTAGCAGTTTAACTGGCTGTGCTACCACAGCTCACTCCGACTTGCGGCAGATACTTATTATGCAGATAGTTAACATGAAATTCCACTTCTTACCATTATAGATCGAAGGCCTCTTGCGCCAGTTTTGCGGTCTAGAGCCAACCTAGCAATAGCCTTTAGAGCATCCTCCGTTACGTTCAATTCACACTGGAAAACATAAGACAACATTACAGCCTTTGCTTATGTGGTCCGCTTCCAAGTATTGACTGTTGCTTGGAAATTCATTAGATGATCAAGTCAGGGGGTGCTATGGTTTTAGCAATACGGATACTTTTAAAATTGGGTTTTCATTGGGTTGCTGTGAGTTTTCCAGGCTGTCTGGCAATGTTCCAGAAACATTATCTCCTGACATTTCGGCCACATCTATGGCAGTCATCCTCAGAGGTTGTAAGGTCTGTAGGAAACCAGGCCAAGTGGGGTTTATATATCTGTGGAATGATGTCCAGGGTGGGAGAAAGAACTCTTGTCTGTTCGTGGCAAGTGTTGGAATGTTACCATTGGCCACCTTGATTAGCATTGAATGGCCTTGCAGCTTCAAGGCCTGGCTGCTTCCTGCCTGAGGGAATCCTTTGTTGGGAGGTGTTAGGTGGCCCTGATTGTTTCCTGTCTGGAGTTCCCCTGATTTTCAGGGGTTGTTCTTTATTTACTGTCCTGATTCTAGAGTTTTTAAATAGTGGTAGCCAGATTGTGTTCCTTTTCATGGTTTCCTCCTTTGTGTTGAAATTATCCACATGCTTGTGGATTTCAGTGACTCTCTGTGTAGTCTGACATGGTGGTTGTGAGACTGGTCCAGAACTTCTATTTTCTCAACATGGCAATACAGCCCAGAAAATTGACAGCAATCCAGTGATTCTGGCCATGAAAGCCTTCGACAACACATGGGTTTTCATTATGTATTTTAAATACTATTCATATTAATTCCATTTTAATGTTTATATACTTTTAAGATTTTAAATGATATTGAATTGGTTTTATGGCGAGCCGCTTTGACTCTCTTTTTTAGAGAGATAAAGCGGGATACAAATAACACTATGTAACAAAATTTTAAGATTTTTCTGTTCCTGGTTCAAAAACATTATTTCCTCTTTTATTGTTCAGCCCTTACTTTGCAAATAGTTGTTCTACTTCAGAAACTTCATTTTTGTGGCTGCCACAAACTAAGCCACAATTGGTTGAGACTTGATGGGATACTGATTGAAAAACTGTAGCACAATGTGTTGCGGGATGGCGTTCCCACAAAAACAAAGTCTTTGCCATTTAATAAACTTTCCCCATGTTTTTATGATTGAAGCAATTAGGAAATGATATTTATAACCCAGGAAAAAATCATGTTACATAGTGTAATGATAATAACTGCAACAAGACTTTAACATCCTGAAATAGCCCCTAGTGTTCTTAATGCATTTGATGCAGGGGACCACCACCAGCCTACAAATCTGAGTCCAAAAGCTTTATTTTGTGAAAATTCCCATTGGCTACAATTGTTCCATTCTTTCTTGGAAACTCTCCAGGGCCTTGTGGGCTAGCTCCAATAGTACTGTTCTAAACCAATATTGATTTCGCAACAGGGAAATAATGCCCCGAGTGAGATAGAGAAGCCATGCCAGACCTTGTCCATGCTGAACAGGGCCTGGTATTGGGGGATCACAGCGTTCCGGGGCTCCGTCAGGATCCGCACCAGCGTCTTCTCGTCGAGGCTGTGCAGGGGGACCACCACCGGCAGGCGCCCCACAAACTCTGGGATCATGCCAAACTCAATCAGGTCCCGGGCCTCCACGTGCCGCAGCAGGCGGTCTTTTTCTTCCATGTCTTGCTGTGTGTTGGTCTCGCTGCTGAGGTTGGCCAGATCGGCGGCAGCAGCAGCTCGACGGCCTTTCCCCAGATTGGACGGCGTCCCAAAGCCGAGGTACTGCAAGACAGGTATTATGTTTCTGTGATCAGTAAGGAAGCCACACCAGACTCTTCCCACTTTACATAAAGATATGGGCACTGTTACTGTATATATCAGGGGCCTTTTTAAACAGAGAGCCAGGTCACAATCCCTCAAACTGTTGGGGGACCGGATTATAATTTGAAAAAACAAAACAAAACATGAATGAATTCCTATACACACTGCACATATCTTATTTATAGTGCAAGAACACTTAAAACAATACAATAATTAAAATGAAGAACAATGTTAACAAATATAAACTTATTAGTATTTCAATGGGAAGTTTGGGCCTGCTTTTGGTTGATGAGATAGGGTTGTCGTTGTTGCTGTTGTTGTGTACTTTCAAATCATTTCAGACTTAGGTTGATCCTGAGCGAGGGCCAGGTAAATTACCTTGGAGGGCCATATCCAGCCCCTGGGCCTTAGTTTGAGGACCCCTGGTATATATGATTTGTGTCCTATTTCTTGAGTTGCTTATTACACCAGGATGCAAATATCTGTCCATCTACCCATCTATTGAGCCAACAATGTGATGTGGCAGCAAAAAAAGCCAATGGGATTTTGGCCTGCATCAATAGGAGCATAGTGTCTAGATCTAAGGAAGTAATGCTACCCCTCTATTCTGCTTTGGTTAGACCACATCTGGAATATTGTGTCCAATTCGGGGCACCACAATTCAAGAGAGATATTGACAAGCTGGAATGTGTCCAGAGGAGGGCGACTAAAATGATCAAGGGTCTGGAGAACAAGCCCTATGAGGAGAGGCTTAGGGAACTGGGCATGTTTAGCCTGAAGAAGAGAAGGCTGAGAGGAGATATGATAGCCATGTATAAATATGTGAGAGGAAGCCACAGGGAGGAGGGAGCAAGCTTGTTTTCTGCTTCCTTGGAGACTAGGACGAGGAACAATGGCTTCAAACTACAAGAGAGGAGATTCCATCTGAACATTAGGAAGAACTTCCTGACTGTGAGAGCCGTTCAGCAGTGGAACTCTCTGCCCCGGAGGCTGGATGACCATCTGTCGGGGGAGCTTTGAATGCAATATTCCTGCTTCTTGGTAGGGGGTTGGACTGGATGGCCCATGAGGTCTCTTCCAACTCTATGATTCTATGAGGAAGGAGAAAAAATGAGTAAAGGAAGAAAAGAGTAAAGAAAAGGGGAAGAGGAGAAAAAAGTAAAGGAGGACGAGAAAGAAGTTTAGGAGGAAGAGAAAGGAGAAAGAAGGGAGGAGGGAGCAGGCTTGTTTTCTGCTTCCTTGGAGACTAGGACTCAGAACAATGGCTTCAAACTACAAGAGAGGAGATTCCATCTGAACATGAGGAAGAAATTCCTGACTGTGAGAGCCGTTCAGCAGTGGAACTCTCTGCCCCGGAGTGTGGTGGAGGCTCCTTCTTTGGAAGCTTTTAAACAGAGGCTGGATGGCCATCTGTCAGGGGTGATTTGAATGCAATATTCCTGCTTCTTGGCAGGGGGTTGGACTGGATGGCCCATGAGGTCTCTTCCAACTCTTTGATTCTATGATTCTATATAAGTCAAAGTATCTACCTACATAGCTGCCTACCTATGTATGTATTTTCCAAGACGCCTTCTACACCCAGAGAGCTTCAGCAGCAATGGATCTGGACCAAATTTGGCTCACAGACCCATCATGACCAACTTTAACTACTGGTGCAGTTTGGGGCCAATGACATATGATGATAGGAGTTGTAGTTTACCCAAATCTTTATGCGTTTTCTAACGGGACCATTCATAAAATTCAAAATCAAACAATGAATATTTCTAATAAACAGTATTACAAAAGACCTAACCTGGGCATTGTCAGGTACTTATGGTGGTGTGTGTATGTATACATATATTCCTTAGAGATTTGAATTTATATTGCATAGAAAAGCAACCCAAAACCTAAATTTCTGCTGTCAATAAATGAAACAGGAAAGCAGTCCATGTTCTTGTGCTTCAAAGGAATTAAGCCCTCTAGGGCAGTGGTTCTCAATCTGTGAGTCCCCAGGTGTTTTGGCCTAAACCTCCCAGAAATCCCAGCCAGTTTACCAGCTGGCATCGGCACACTGTAATCCTGTCCCTTTCCAAATCAGGCAACAGTTATTAAAAAACGCAAAGGGGCCCTGTTCTGGTGACTAAAAATATTTCATTTTAACCATGCTTCTTTCTTACTTTTTCATTTTTCCTCCTGCTGATGATCCTATCCAGGCCATTGAAAGCACCAGACGCTACGAAGAGGATGTTGGTTGTATCCACCTGCACAGTCTCCCCACGCAACTTGCGGGAATTCTTTTCTGGAACATTCACTATGGTTCCTTCCAGTAACTTTAATAAGCCCTTCAGGGAAAAAAGAGAGAATTGAATAATGTTTTCTCCACTTCAGAAGATAAGACCCCCCAGAGTAAAACAGCTAGCAATATAACCCCCCCCCCTCCAATTATATTTTCCATCAAAAGAGCCCCAGCAGAAATTAGAGAGGGTCTTCTATTGCTTGCGTCTTCCATGAGGAAGGCACATTACTCAGCTCTTAAACACAACACAAGGATTGACCTTCACTGCAATCTATTGTTAAAGTTGGATTGCACCAAGGTCAACCAAGCAACATAGGCGTCACGTCAATTCCTGAGTCACTCAAAAAGGCAAGTCCTGAATGAGTAGGTATAAAGGGAGAGTTCCTCTGTGTGCAGAAAGGAAGCTTGTGCAACAAAGGCAGTAGTAATGCCACTGGAGGGACCCTAAAGCATGAGATCCTGGGGAGGTGAGATGCAAACTCAGAGAGTGAAGACGATGGGAACATTCAAGTCTTCTAGGGTAGGAAGCAGAGCTGTAAATAAGAACCTGTTAACATGAACTAAGGCCCACCTGAACATTAGGAAGAACTTCCTGACCGTAAGAGCTGTTCAACAGTGAAACTCTCTGCCTCAGTGTGGTAGATGTCAGAAATATTAAAAATTAACAAGGTATTTTTAATTACAAAAATGTGAGTCAAGCACTGAAAGGGCTAAATGGATGTAATGAGTCAACAAAAGCTGTAGTTCCTTATAAGCAGGTGTGTCTGTAGCTTAGTAGTCCTCGGTGTTAGTTTGCATCAGTATATGAGAGGCGCCAATTTGAGGTAGCCCTCAGTGTGAGAGGCCTCAGTGAGAGAAAGGCCTCAGTGTGTTAATAGGCCTCAGTATGAGAAGGCTTCAGTGAAGAAGCCCAGGATTGAAGATATTGTGTGTGAAGCTCCAGTGTGAAGGCTGCTGTGTGTAAAACTACTGTGTGAAGCTCTAGTGTAACTTCGGTGTGAGAGGCTCTATGATAGCAAAGCTGTTTATCTGCATGAGGAAAAAAGCCCAGCATGGAAGCAAAGAATGAAGTATAAAGAACTTTGTTCACGTTATGGAAAACTTGTTCTTGTAAATAGTGCAACCATATTATTTTATTACAAAGAAAAGCCTCCTATGGAAGAGGCTTTTCTTTGTAATAAAATAAGTGTTTTTGTTCATCACTTTGGGCTACTGGTGCTGGGATACACTGCTGCTGATAAGTTACTCTGCTGTGCATTTATGAGGAAAGTCTTTTGTTAATAAGCCTACTCGTCCAACAAGTAGCACCTTTTTGGAGGCTTTTAAACAGAGGCCGGATGGCCATCTGTCAGGACTGCTTTGATTGTGCTTTTCCTGCATGACAGGGGGTTGGACTAGATGACCCTTAGGGTCTCCTCCAATTCTTTGATTCTATGGGGAGAAAAGGGGACATAAAGGAAAACCGCCCCCTCCCCCAAAGTTTCCAAGGACAAGGAAAAAGGAATTTCATGTGACATCCTTGAAGTGGGAGAAATGATGGGCATGTGAAAATATCCAAGTGGAAAACCAAGAATTTCAGGTGCCTCAATAAATTGCAGAGTAGCAACATCCCTGTGTTTTCATCATCTTGTGAATCATAAATAAGATGCTCAGTATATGAAAACTACTCTAAAGAGTAGTAAGGATGACAGAGACTTTGCAATTTTCGCTGTACAAGACACAAAGTTCCCAGGACTCACTTGCTGAACGCCTTCTCCTCCCACGTCCCGTAACTGGTGGATGCCGGGCACGCTGCCAATCTTATCCACCTCATCCAAGAATACAATTCCTGCAAAATGAGAGACAATTAGTAAGAAAAGCATTTGGACTCTGCAATAAGTACAATCTGTACAGAGAAAGCCGGCTTTTAAGAAAAGGAGCATGCTGCTATGGCAAGTGTTATGAAATGCTCCCAGTGCCATAAACCCTGAAGGAAAGAATAAATCAATACTTGCAAGGAGTGAATTTAAAGGTATAATAATAATAATAATAATAATAATAATAATAATAATTATTATTATTATTTATACCCCGCCACCATCTTCCCCAACAGGGACTCAGGGCGGCTTATATGAGGCCAAGCCCAAACAACAAATTACAATAAAATAAGATACAAGTTACAATAAAATAAACAATATTGCAATAAAATACAAAACATAAGAATACAATAAACAATATACAAAAAAAGGAAAACCAAACATAATAACAGTGAGCGGGCCACAAATGACTGCAACATAATTAGAAATCCCAAGGGGTGAAGCAAGAAACTCTTTGTTTGTGAACATCATGGTTTGCACATTACCTTGTTGGGCTTTTTCGACGTTGTAGTTTGCATCCTGAAGCAGTTTTGCAATGACCGATTCAATGTCTTCACCCACGTAACCAGCTTGAGTCAGAGTAGTACAATCACAGATTGCAAAGGGGACATCCAGGCATTTCGCCAGAGTCTGAGCCAGCAGAGTTTTACCTAGGTTTTGGTTTCAAAATGGTCTGTTATTAACAACCAGAAGATAAACATGCAATTTAATATATCCACATCCCAGAAAGAATGTCAATAATGCATTTTGTTTTGCTGGCCTTGTATTATACAACTAGGCAGACCTAAAGCAAGATTAGATATTGGATAGCTCTACTGGCATTTCTCATGTAATGTTCTGAATTATCATGTTATTACCTTTGGTTACAACAATCTACTTATTTACTTAGAGAATCCCATTATTTTAACCCAATGAAGTTGCGCATATTATATATGTGTGTGACTGCTGAATAAAAATGCAACCCCTTTCTTTCTTCGTTTGTTAGCCAATGTAACTGTAAGTTGTTTGTGAATCCAGTACAGTTACATAGAATCTGTATGTCCAATGTCATTCTTTGTGTAAAAGTTCTGGTACCCTTTCTCTTACTGGAAAACTGCAATAAAAATAACCTATGCTTTAAAGTTATTGAAAAGTTATTCATAACATTATTACTGTTTATTTATACCTTACTTTTTCTCTCCAATAAGGAAATCTTTCCCACAATATCTGAGAAATCAAAGGGAATTTTAAACCAAGCGTCAGGATATTATAACTTGAACTCTGGACAAGAGACTACCATCAGGACAGAATATGGAGAAAACTCAGTGTTTGTGTGCAAAAGAAAAAAAACTGTTTCAAAGTGAAAAGCTAACTATCCTGTTCTCAATTTATGGATTCTAATTTTCTCTGCAATTTGGCTCAAATTTTCCTAGAGGTCAAGAGAATGACATTTCCAGAGGTTCAAATATATCCTTCCCCCCACATTGTTTTAGCACAATATATACATTAGAAACACAAGGTTTTGTGACAATTTGAAATCACCTTCTGGTCAGTTCCGTTTTGTCTAAAAGAGATGGCGACTCTTCAGTGCAGGAACAATCCCCAGAATTAGAGTCCATCCCGTTGGATTAACTTTGATATAATCCATGTGATCCGACATTGTCTCATTTTTTGTTTTAAAGCAAATTCACCCAACAGTCCCAGCTAAACTTTATGCAAGGATTGCTGTGACTGACCTACCTGAGCCCGTTGGTCCAAGCAGCAAAATATTACTTTTCTCAAGCTTGATGTCGTCGTGGGTTGAATCTAGCACTTCCCCTCCTCGCTTTTCCTGGGGCATCTGTTGATTCACTTGTTGTTGGACCGACGCTCCCAAAGCATTGCCATGGGGGCTGATGCCAGCGATCTGGAGCAGCTCTGGAACGTGCAAAGCATCATTGACCAAGAATGTCATGAAGTTCTTGCAACACGTATGAGATAGGCAGAAGAACATGCACAAGTGGACAGGTTTCTATGCAATCTCAAGTACTGTGCCTTCTATTGAAGAGATCAAAGCATCTGAAGACAGGACTATCACAAATAAAATTCTGTAACACAATTTTTGTTCCTGGGTTATAAATGTCATTTCCAAATTGGTTCTATCATAAAAACACGGGTAAGTTTATTAAATTGCAAAAACTTTCTTTTTGTGGGAAGGACATAGAATCATAGAATCAAAGAGTTGGAAGAGACCTCATGGGCCATCCAATCCAACCCCCTGCCAAGAAGCAGGAATATTGCATTCAAATCACCCCTGACAGATGGCCATCCAGCCTCTGTTTAAAAACTTCCAAAGAAGGAGCCTCCACCACACTCGGGGGCAGAGAGTTCCACTGCTGAACAGCTTTCACAGTCAGGAAGTTCTTCCCAATGTTCAGATGGAATCTCCTCTCTTGTAGTTTGAAGCCATTGTTCCGTGTCCTAGTCTCCAAGGAAGCAAAAAGCAAGCTTGCTCCCTCCTCCCTGTGGCTTCCTCTCACATATTTATACATGGCTATCATATCTCAGCCTTCTCTTCTTCAGGCTAAACATGCCCAGTCCCTAAGCCGCTCCTCATAGGGCTTGTTCTCCAGACCCTTGATCATTTTAGTCGCCCTCCTCTGGACACATTCCAGCTTGTCAATATCTCTCTTGAATTGTGGTGCCCAGAATTGGACACAATATCCCAGATGTGGTCTAACCAAAGCAGAATAGAGGGGTAGCATTACTTCCTTAGATCTAGACACTATGCTCCTATTGATGCAGGCCAAAATCACATTGGCTTTTTTTGCCGCCACATCACATTGTTGGCTCATGTTTAACTTGTTGTCCACGAGGACTCCAAGATCTTTTTCACACGTACTGCTCTCGAGCCAGGCGTCCCCCATTCTGTATCTTTGCATTTCGTTTTTTCTGCCAAAGTGGAGTATCTTGCATTTGTCACTGTTGAACTTCATTTTGTTAGTTTTGGCCCATCATCTCTCTAATCTGTCAAGATCGTTTTGAATCCTGCTCCTGTCCTCTGGAGTATTGGCTATCCCTCCCAATTTGGTGTCGTCTGCAAACTTGATGATCCTGCCTTCTAGCCCTTCATCTAAGTCAATAAAGATGTTGAACAGGACCGGGCCCAGGACGGAATCCTGCGGCACTCCACTTGTCACTTCTTTCCAAGATGAAGAGGAAGCATTAGTGAGCACCCTCTGGGTTCGTCCACTTAACCAATTACAGATCCACCTCACCGTAGTTTTGCCTAGCCCACATTGGACTAGTTTCCTTGCCAGAAGGTCATGGGGGACCTTGTCGAAGGCCTAACTGAAATCCAGGTACGCTACATCCACGGCATTCCCCGCATCTACCAGCTTGTAACTCTATCGAAAAAAGAGATCAGATTAGTCTGGCATGACTTGTTTTTGATAAATCCATGTTGACTATTAGCGATGACCGCATTTGTTTCTAAGTGTTTGCAGACCACTTCCTTGACAATCTTTTCCAGAATCTTGCCTGGTATCGACGTGAGGCTGACCAGACGGTAATTGTTTGGGTCATCCTTTTTTCCCTTCTTGAAGATTGGGACCAACCACATTGACCCTCCTCCAATCTGCTGAGACTTCTCCCATTCTCCAAGACCTCTCAAAGATGATTGCTAATGGTTCCGAAATGACTTCCGCTAGTTCCTTCAATACTCTAGGGTGTAGTTGATCTGGCCCTGGGGACTTGAACTCATTAAGAGCGGCCAGGTATTCCTGGACGACTTCTTTCCCAATTTGGGGTTGGATGTCCTCCAATCCCTCATCCACTCCATCTTGCTGAGGTTGAAGACTCTCTTTTTGTGAGAAGACCGAGGCAAAGAAGGCATTAAGTAGTTCTGCCTTTTCCCTATCCCCTGTCAGCATTGCCCCATCTTCTCCTCGAAGAGGTCCTATCGCCTCCTTGTTTTTCCTTTTTCTACTGACATAAGATGTGCTGACATCTTACAGCACATTTTGTTATAGTTTTCAAGGAATATCTCGACAAGTCTCAACCAATTCAATATCGTTTGTGGCAGCCACAAAAACAAAGTTTCTGGAGTAACAACTACTTTCAAACTAAGTATCGCACAGTTTGACAGGAAATAACACTTTCAAATCAGGAACAGACTTTTTTCCCTATTTTGTTACATAGTATTATTAATGTCACAGGAAGATTTGAGATTGAAAGATATATTTTTTGAATAAACCGCTCAGTAAACACAGTGTTTAAAATGCAGAGGGAGATATTTCCATTTTGAGGGGCTACTTTTATACATTTATTGTCCTAGACAAATGACAGATTGAGTTGCTGTGAGTTTCCTGGGCTGTATGGCCATGTTTCAGAAGGATTCTTTCCTGATGTTTTGGTGACATCTATGGCAGGCATCCTCAGAGGTTGCGAGGTCTGTTGGAAACTGGGCAAGTGAGGTTTGTTTATATATCTGTGGAATGTCTAGCATGGGAGAAAGAACTCCTGTTTGTTGGAGCATTTGATGGCCTTGCAGCTTCAAAGCCTGATTGGTTGCTGCCTGGGGGGAATACTGTGTTGGGAGGTATTAGCTGGCCCTGATTGATTCTTGTCTGGAATTCCTCTGTTTTCTGAGTGTTCTTTATTTACTGTCCTGATGTTAGAATTTTTTAGTACTCCCAATAAAGGATTCCCCCAGGCAGCAACCAGCCAAGATTTGAAGCTGCAAGGCTTTGCTAATCAAGGTATTTATTTATCGTGTCAGGAGCAACCAGACAGTTGTATTACATTTTTAACAAAACAAACAAACAGACAGACAGACAAAACACAAAGTTTGCAAGCTTGGTAGTTGATTAAATGTCCTTTGACCAGTATCTGGCCACTTGGAGTGCCTCTGGTGTTGCTGGAAGAAGGTCCTACATTGTGCATGTGGCAGGGCTCAGGTTGCATTGCAGCAGGTGGTCAGTGGTTTGCTCTTCTCCACACATCAAGTTGATTAGTTGCAACATTCACACTTGCCTCCAACAGACAAGAGTTCTTTCTCCACCCTGGACCTTTCACAGATATATAAATCTCCCTTGCTCAGTTTCCAACAGACCTCACAACCTCAGAGGATGCCTGCCATAGATGTGGGCGAAATGTCAGGAGAGGATGCTTCTGCAACATGGCCAGATGTTGTCCCGGAAATCTCACAGCAACCCAGTGATTCCGACTATGATCAACACAAGATGAGAGGTTAATTTTGAAAGGAATTAAAAGGGTTAATACACTGATTACTTCAGAAGTGACTAATTAATGCCTTCCTCTTTATTCGTTTTCACTGAGTCCCACCAAGGGGAGAGATAACCTGCTTTTCAGAGGCATTTCTGCCCCTGAAATTGTGATATTTTTTCCTTTGGTGGGACTCAGTATAGCCAAAGGCAAAAACAGTATCACATAAGTAATAATTTGAATGTAATATGTAGGCTGGATGTGAGAACTAGAGCAATTAGGGGATGTTTAACTAACTTAGCTAATGCAAAGAAAGTTTAAAAAGTGAAAAGCAAGGTTCTCTGCTATTGTTGGGATTGTTGTGTCCAAACAAGGCCGTGGTATCAAAGAGAAGCATTCTAGCCTTGCTTCCTCACCTTGCGGGGTTTTTCCTTATTAGACATTTCAACAAAGGGATATGTACCTACAGCCTCAAGTGGTCCTGCTTGAGTAGTGCCAGTTTAACCAGTTTAGCTAGGCCCAGCATGCCATTTATGAAATGAGCATAGGCTGGCCTTTTTCTATTTCTAAAGTCACAATTAAAATGGTGCTCACGGTTAAGTTTGAAAAAGAAAATATTGCAGAGGAGGACATGAGGAGAGGACACTTACTTGTAAATCTGTACTCATCCTCCCGTCTTCTTATTTCTAAGTCTATGAGAGAGGATGAAAACAGTAATATAGATATTGATATATATATTTAAAAGCATTGCACTTTCTTCACCTCTTGCCCTCTTCTGAATACAGCTTTAGGGAGCAATGGATTTCATTGACAAGGAAAAAACACACCAGGAAATTATCATAACTGTGGCCAAATCTACTCTGCTATATAATCCAGTTTCTGAATCCAGATTATCTCCTTTGAACTAGATTATATGGCAATGTAGACTCACATAATCCAGTTCAAGCAAGATAATCTGGATTCAAAACTGGGATATATGGCAAGTGTAGATCCAGCTTTAGTAGCCTGCCTCCATTGTGAGCTTTTCACGCACATGGAAACTGGTACTGGACAAATTGGCACGTTTATGCTTCTAAAACGAAGATGGAAACATTAAAAGCAAACGGGAAAGTAGATCAATTTGGAAGCAAGGCCCATTCGGTTCAATGTGATTTTCTGTCACACAGACATGAACAGGATTGTGGGATCAAGATTTCTTTTAGAAAGACAAAATTTATTAATTTAGTGAGTTTAGCCCTAATTCAGAGAGGATTAAACACCACTCCTCTCTAGTAAGGATATAAGAAAATAGCAATGAAAGCCCCTTGCTAAAATGTTACCGCTTTCAATGTTTTGGGCAGCTTTCTGACTGGGCAACAGAAAATGATCTTTTAGAAGAAAACCAGAAACATTCTCCATGTTGCAACTGTTTTTCAAACTTTCAAAACTTTCAAACATGGCATCAGAGCATCATTTGGTGGGTTTCCTATTTACAATTATTTTCCTTAAGCGCATGATTGAATTAGTAAATTTGCTCCCTTCACATTATTACTAAGGAGGCCCTGGTAGCACAATGGGTTAAACCCTTGTGCTGGCAGGACTGCAGACCAAAAGATCGGCGGTTTGAATCCTGGGAAAGCAAGTTGAGCTCCCTCTGTCAGCCCCAGCTTCCCTTGCAGGGACCTGAGTGAAGCCTCCCACAGGATGGTAACACATCCGGGCATCCCCTGGGCAACATCCTTGCAGACAGCCAATTATCTCACAACAGAAGCAATTTGCAGTTTCTTAAGCAGCTTTTGACATGAAAAAAATGTTATTACTGCATTCTGTTTTTATCCTGAATATGTGGCCCGCCCAATGTCATCCTTACTGTGATTGTGTTTATTGGAATGTTTTTTTTAATGTTATTTTGATAATGTTGTTGTTGCTTATTGTATATGTTTTGATTTCATTGCTGTATTATGTTGTCCGGGCTTGGCCCCATGTAAGCCGCTCCGAGTCTCCATCAGGGAGATGGTGGCGGGGTAGAAATAAAGTTTTATTATTATTATTATTCTGTGGTCGAAATCACAATTTCATTACTCTATATTTATTTGCTTCAAACAGGAGGTATAACCTGCTGGTCATGGCTTCTTTGCTCTCGATGGTATGTTTTTGTGATAGCTTCATAGACACTGCATTGAAATGTTAGGTCAATAAGAGTGCCCTATGGCATTTAATATTATATATCAAGGACACTTTAGTAGTAGTAGTAGTAGTAGTAGTAGTAGTAGTAATTTGTTGAAGGATTATTTGAAAGAAATGCACCCTTTGTCTGCAACGCAGGGGAATATGGATGCAGTATGTTCATCATAAACATTGGGTTGCTGTGAATTTTCTAGGCTGTATGGCCATGTTCCAGAAGCATTCTCTCCTGACGTTTTGCCCACATCTATGGCAGGCATCCTCAGAGGTTCTTAGGTCTGTTGGAAACTATGCAAGTGGGGTTTCTATATCTATGGAATAATGTCTAGGGTGGGAGAAAGAAATCTTGTCAGCTTGAGGCAAGGGTGAATGTGGCAACTAGCCATCTTAATTAGCATTGAAAGCCTGGCTGCTTCCTGTGTGGGTGATCCTTTTTTGGGAGGTGTTAGCTGGCTCTGACTGTTTCCTGCCCAGAATTCCCCTGTTTTTTTTAGTGTTGCTCTTTGATTTTAGAGTTTTTTTAAATACAGGTAGCCAGATTTTGTTCATTTTCATGAAAAACATTGTTTTTTCAAAGTGAGGGAAAATGTAATTCAGTGAAGTAGAAGCAGCAAGACAGGCAATACATAGCTACTTCCATCACCTCCAACGGACTTCAATGGACTCTTCCTCTTTGAATGTTTCCAGCAATCACTACAGGAATTACTATTTCATTCCAACAGTTGCCTTAATAAAATGTACCATCTTCTTCCCTTCTCTTTTCCTCTCAGTGATGTAGGGTGTCTTGTTATATTAATAATACATTATTTATTTATTTATTTATTTACTGGTCTGAGATCGTTCCAGGTGCTTTAAACACATTTTAAACATGCCCCTCCTCGAACCTCTGAAACTTGGACCAGGATTAGACCAAGGGGGGCAACAGCTCAAATGATAGTCCCAGGCCATCAAAACATACAACAGAAAAGGCTATACGCACCTCTTGGCGTTATGGAAGTCTGCTTTTCCACTTCAGCTTGCTGTCTCAGAGTGGCAGGAATATTGTTATAGATTCTCTTATAATGATTGTACACAGCAACCGAAAGCACCTTCTTGGCAAAACACTGGCCAACTACGTACTTGTCGAGGTAGTTATAAATCTGGCAAGCAAACAAAGGGAAAAACTAATTGATGTCTGACTTGTTTTAAAAACCTACTTAATACAAATAACCAATGAAACTTGTATTTCCTATGTAACTGCGGGTCACTATGGGGTTCACAAGTGGGCCTCTATTTTAAAATATCCTATATACTCAAATGTAAAGCTAATGTAGGTTCTTGTGGGTTTTTTCGGGCTGCAGGGCCATATTCTAGAGGCATTTCTCCTGACGTTTCGCCTGCATCTATGGCAAGCATCCTCAGAGGTAGTGAGGTCTGTGAGGTAAAGCTAATCCTTTTTTTTTTTTTTGCTAATTGGCTTTGCCAAAATTAGAGTGTGCATTAGATTCAAGAAATATATGAATCATAATGCCGAGTCAAAACCAAAGTGGAAGCTGCGTCAGGAGCACCTGGCGCTCCTATTTGAGGGACGTCATATCTAATTGCCCTGGTTCAATGCTATGCAATCCTGGGATTTGTAGTTTGGTGAGGCATCAGCATCCTTTGGCAGAGAAGGCTCAAGATGTTGCAAAACTACAGCCCCCATGACTCCATAGCATTGGGCCACAAGGAAGTTAAAGTGGATTCGTTCTACAGCATAGATATACCCCATGATTTTCTTTTCCAATGCTGGAAGTTTTGCTGTCCTAACACTTTTTTGTTTAAGAAGGGATTCTAAGCAGCCAGAAACTGTAATGGCACCTTTTTGGCCAAATGACAAAGAGCACACTTTTTGCCCCTGTGCATTACATTTGCCAGGATTTTTTTTCAGGGTTTGGAAAATTGTAGTGTGCTTTAGATTTGATAGTGCATTGGACTTGTGTACATACAGCGTATCCCTTTTCTTCACTCACTTTGAGGTAGTGAGGCTTGAGAATTCCTCTACTTATCCTGTAAGCTGCTGAGCTCATTGTTTTAATCAATGATGAACAACTCACACTTGAGAATGACCCCAATGGACCTTGGTACTTTTTAAAGGCTTCCTTCCCCATAGAGCAAGTGGGCAAATCTGGCCCTTAAGGCTGCTCTCAGCTTTTAACTTCTTTCAGCTCTAGCCAGCATTAGGGCTAATACTGTAAGATCAAGCTTATTTATATATTTATATATTTATATATTTATTGTGCTCGTATCCAACCCTTCTCATCTTGGGCAGGGCCTCAGGGCAGTTTACAAACTATGGCAATAATTCAATGCCAGATTCTGACAATAACATACAATATTAAAACTGTAAAAACATACAAATTAATTATAAATAATCTTTCAAATGATTAAAACATATCAAAGGTCTAGCACCAACTAAGCCTTGTAAACATTAAGCCGATTGCTTCGTCGTTTTTATACAGTTTCCGTCATACTTAAGGGTCATATTAATCCCCAAAGGTTTGCTGGAAAAGCCAGGTTATAAGATTTTTTTTTTGAAGCTTAAGAGTGAGGAGGGTGTTCTGATGTCACTGGGGAGACACAGTCATGGGGCCACCACCGAGAAGGCCTTGTCTCTTGTCCCTGCCAACTGCACCTGCGACGGGGGCGGGACTGAGAGCAGCCCCCCCCCCTTCCCGGAAGATCTTAACAATCGCACCAGATCATAAAGGGAGATATGTTCAGACAGGTAACCTCCAGGGTGAGAAAGGCAGGGTAAAAATGCCATAAATAAATAATTAAATTGGACCGGAACCGTTTAGGGGTTTATAGGCTAAGGCCAGCACTTTGAATTGAGCTTGGAAGCAAGCTGGCATATTTTTCTTAAGATTATGAAATTAGCTCATTCTCCCCCTTTTACTTAAAAATGGAGGCTGCTACACTCCTTTACTTTTTTCGGTGGAGGTGGTGGCTTCTGCTGGAAGGCCAACTTCACAGCTTCCGCTGCGGACTCTGGTTCTTTAATGATGCTCTTCTTGGAGTCCGCTTCTGATAACACCACAAAGAAGTGGTGGCATTTTTCACATTTCACAAAGCGAGTAGAGGCTGTGAAACAACGGTAAAAAAACAAGTGAGTTCTGAGCAGTTTGGCAACAACCACATGTCCATCCCACTAGAGTGGATTAATATCAGACCAACTGATAAAAGAACACTTTGAACAGAAAAGCTTCTGAAATTGTGGGGTCCAACCCCAAATGGGGTCTCCCTGAGCTCAATGTCAGGGTCATGAAAAGTTTGGAAACTGTCACGGGTTTCTGAATGCTACTGTTGATACAAATCTGTTAGCAACAATATGCCACATTTACAATGGACTTGGAAGAAAATGCTTCAATTGTACTCCACAAAAAGCAAAATCAGCCTGTTTAGCAAGCCTTGCAAATTCTGATCCATGATCCCTAAACTGGTTTGCATATTTATTTTATATAGTTATTTGCTCAGGTCGCGTACAAATTTCTCAGTTGGAAAGGGGTTACAAACAGGAAAAACTTATGAAAAAGCCCTAGTTGAGAGCACCTGTGAGGAATCTCTGACCTTCCAGACATTATGGACGAGTACTCCTCCAGTTCCTAACTCCCAGCTAAAAGATCTGGGGGTTAAACCGCCAAACAATCTAGAAGACCAAATAATCCCTGATCTTGGTTTTAAGAATATATTTCTGTACTTTTAGTTATACTCTAAAGGACAGTAAGTATCATCTCATTCTTTTATAACAGTAATGAGCAAAGTACAACCTTCTACAGCATCTCCTGCATTCCAAAACCTTGACTGTTTGTGGGCTACAGTTCAATCTGGAAGGTGTGCTTTGCCCTACTTTACATCATGATATACTTTTAACAAAACTCTTAACATTTCCAAAATCTCTTAACACAGGGGTCCTCAAACTAAGGCCCGGGGGCTGGATACTGCCCTCCAAGGTCATTTACCCAGCCCTCACTCAGGGTCAACCTAAGTCTGAAATGACTTGAAAGCACACAAAACAAAAACAACAACAACAACCTTATCTCATCAGCCAAAAGCAGGCCCACAATTCCCATTGAAATACTAATAAGTTTATATTTGTTAAAATTGTTCTTCATTTTAATTATTGTATTGTTTTAATTGTGTTTTCTTGCACTACAAGTAAGATATGTGCAGTGTGCATAGGAATTAATTCATGTTTTTTTCAAATTATAATCCGGCCCTCCAACAGATTGAGAGACTGTGACCTGGCCCTCTGTTTAAAAAGTGTGAGGACCCTAGTCTTAACATTTCAGGCACAATTTACAGTCTTGAAATCACCACTCAAAATTTCTTTCTACTTCCAAATCACATTTATACCAAACACTTACTATCAGCTATTTCTTCCACATGCATAAGAGTCCTTTTGCAAAGAGAAAAATGGCTGGAAAGCTGTTAAACAAATATAACAACACTGAGTCTAGCTCTGAGAGTGAATTCCAGATTTGTGTGCATTCAATTCCTAGTTCAAAAGGGAAAAATCCCACCACCTAGGACCCTTCGCACCTACTCAGTATTAAACATTCCAATAATCCTCCATGCCAGACTTCAAACGGGGAATATGAGCTGGGCTCATAAAAATTCCAGGGCACTGATAAGGTGGGAGATGTTCTGGACAGATGAATTGTAACTATATCGAGGAGCCCTAAGCCTTTAAAAGGAGAAGAAGAAAAACAGCAACTGCTGCGGACTCTGGGGGCAATTGTCTTTTACATTGTCCAACTTTAAATTAAATCTGATGGTATTTATTGCGACCCAGGAAGATTTCCTTAGGACAGATGACTTATTGTGTGTTCACCCTTCCCCTGATATCAGGTCATATTTCTAAGACTATTTTTAGTGTGTTGAGCAAGGCAAATCAACAAGCGTTACTATTGTGCAACATATATTCTAGTCAGATTTCTGAGTTCCAAAGGTAGAAGAAAAACCATTAAGAACTGTAAAAGAAACTGTTATTTTTTTGTTTAAGGTACAAAGGTGCTTCTTTTGAAAACAACGTTTTCTCTCTCATCTGCTCAGAATGAACAGCAACTTGTAAGTCTTAGCAATGTAGCAGATAAAAAAGAATACCGATTCAAAGGAATACCAAAACAAGGCAGCAAAACCGGTTTTTGTCCTACAGAAGTAATATAAAGCAAGTCTTTGGCTTTAAATGGCCAATCACTACTGGTTTAAGTGTAGTAGGTATTCCCCTAGTCCAGGCATGGGCCAACTTTGGCCCTCCAGGTGTTTTGGACTCCAACTCCCACAATTCTTAACAGCCTACTGGGTGTTAGGAATTGTGGGAGTTGAAGTCCCAAACACCCGGAGGGCCCAAGTTGGTCCATGCCTGCCCTGGTGAATAATGACCAGGTAAGTACTGTTAGGGCCTAAATAGATGCACCCAATCTGCTACATTTGTCCAACCTACTCACAAAACAGTGGTGTTGAATCTTTTCTGATCTCTGTATCTACTACTATACTCAACTTTTAAGTGAAAGCTGGTTCTGTTTTCAAAATACCCAACTATTCTGGGTTGTCTCATTTTAGAGGAAAACCCTCCCCTAAAATAATTTCTGGAATGTTACTTTTACATGAGAAATGGAAAATATGTCACCACAAAGGCTGCACTGGTTAGGGGCCTGGCTCCCACAGGTTTCAAATAGATGCAAATAAGAGGACTTTGGTTTTGTTTCCTTTAGTAAGATTCAAATCAGGTTACCAAAGCTGTTCTCCAAGGTGACTGTTATTCCATAAGTCATTTTGTCTGCAGTAACACCCCAGGCATTCCTCAAGCAGGAAAAACCACACCAGCAACGAACATACGATGCCATAACTGACTGGCAAGACCCTTGGCATCCAAGGAGGCATGTTGCCATGTCCCTGCCACCCTTTTCCTTTTGTGAAGTAAAAGATGTATCTGGTTTCAAAGGAGCCCTTTGCAAGTACATGTTGACAATAATGAGCCCCTTAGCCAACAAGGAGTTTTGCTGGTTCTCATTCAAGTATATCATCTCTTTGCATAACCAGAACTACATATAACAGTGTTCCACCAAAGAAGCTGTTATTTCCACAGCTGGGCCTAGGACCTTTTAAAAAATCTCCAAGAAGTTGTAGCAGATATTCTGTAAAATAGTCTGTAAATAGTTGGGGCTTTCTAAGAAGAGTCAAATGAATCTTTGGAATCAAAGGAAAAACAAAACAAAACTAAGCACCACAGATATCATTCTTCCCTTTAGAATAAACGTGATCCTATCACTTATACAGTATTGCACAAATACAGAAGGATAGGTTCCCATCCAACTGTTTCAGTTCTTGCTTATGTCCTAGAATGCCCTCAGGCTAATGTAGGTGCTGCATGACTTACTCCACATAAAAGATTAGTCACATGAAAAACGCTGCTACAGACCTTTGCACTGTTAAAGGCCTTTCGACAACTGAGATGCAATGACAAACAAATGTGCATTTGACCAATGGAAACTCAAATACCTCTTATTTATTATTTTTGTGCCTACTGTGCCACACAGGAACCAAATGATTATCAGGCAGTGGAAAAATATTATTTATATTTCAGAGTATTCAGCTGCTGTATAGTAGTAATAATAATAATAATAATAGTAATAATAATAATAATACACTTTATTTATAACCCGCCACCATCTCCCCAAAGGGGACTTGGGGTGGCTAACATGAAGCCAAGCCCAAAATAATACAACATAATAAACAAACAATAACAAAATACATCATAACAAAATATGAAATAACAAATAAATTCAACAATATAAAACAGCACAGTAAAACCAGACTTGACTCAACTGATGAGTATGCCTGCCCTGTTTGGAACAAGTCTGCCCATGCAAAGCAGGTGAATATAGCACTGAACGTAACATGCAGGATGTCTCAAACCTACACCTATTGATAGACTCTATAAGCTAGCTGGCATTGCCCCCCCCCCCCCCACCCGATGTGTGATGGGAAGTTGCTGCTGTGAGAGAAATAAGACTGAACACTGAGAGCATGGCTATCAGCCTCCTCTCAAGAGACTCAAAGCAAAGAAAAGCTTTCTGAGAATCACTACTCCTCTTAATGTTCCTTCAGCAAGAGTAAGAGCATCCCTCTGGGCAGCTAAGCCAGGAAATCGCAATTGGATGCCCCCCCCCCCCCCGAGGGTCTACCTCAAGGGGCAAACCAAGAATGGGCAACTTGGACTCCCTGAACAAACTCAGAAGTGGAGTGGGCAGAACAAAAGACAACCTGGCAAAATGGCACAACATAAAAGAATCCTCCACCTTGTGCGACTGCGGAACACAACAAACAACTCTGCATCTGTATGCTTGCCCACCATGCCCTGCCTCATGCAAAGAGGAATAATAGTTTAAAGCTGCAGACAATGCGGTTGCTGTTGCCTGTTTTTGATCTAAAATTATTTAGCTGCTTGTGCTCCCTCTATTTTTTCAGTTTTATATTTATTTATGCAATGCTTTAGACACGAAATTTAAAATAAAACGCATGTTAATGCCCATAGACCTTTCCCGGAAAATTCACAGTCATATCCATTCCTCTGTAAAAATCACACTGTTCATCCAAACCAAAAAGGCTATTTTAGACATAAAAGGAAAACATACTGGTTACTGTGGGACACATCTCTTTCTGCAACTAATTCTCTCTCACATACAGACTGATCAGATTCAAGAGGCTCTTCGAAAAATAAAATGGGACATGTGCCTTAAATTTCATGTAGGAGACTGGATATCAATGTGAGAAATAAAACTGAAGCAATTGTCATGTTGGAACTAAACCATCAAGCCTCTTAAATCCCTCTACAAGTAGGTGGCTCTCAGACTGGTTTCTTCCAATAACTGAAATGATCTATTTCCAACCCTTCTGATTGCAAAAGGGAAGCACAGTCATGATTGTGATGCAATATATCAGTAACAAAAGAAAGCCATATTCTGACCCTGCCTCCTAGGCATGTTGAAAGGTGCCTATTGCTAAAATAAATACTGAGTCAGGCTCTACAGTGATAAGGTGCAACTCTTGTCTCTAAAATCTCCAGTGTCTTTTTTCATGTCCTGGTTCTTGGGTGGAAAACAGCTGCCTATAAATCAACTACTACAAACAAAGAACACCCCAGGAAGAAAACAATAGGAAGACAAAGAATTCAAAATCCTGCTCCTTATAACTTCACTTGACTAACAAGAAACGTGACACATACAATATCCAAGAGGTAAAACAAAATACCTTCCCAATTAAGCAACTACAAATCGCTTGGAAAGACCATGACTTTTATATGCTACAAATGCTGCTTAATGTAGGGGCTTCTGGGGTTCTCAATACTGTAATGCCCTTAAAACCATCAAATATGGCAATCAAATTGTTGGTCAATTATGTCACAAGCACTTTGAGAAGTGCAATTTGCTCACCGTTTGCCTACCAGTTAAATCAGAAAGATCACAATGCCTGGGGACAAAGCCTTTTATGTACAATGTAACAATCCCACACTGTATGTGGCTACAACATATTCATTCTATCTCTCAGATGTAACATCAAACTTATTCCAGAATCATTTCATGTTTATAAATAGTCAAACTTGCTGGCAACATCATAGATCACTAAGAAAACAATGATATAAGATACTCAGATTCAAATAAATACAAACAGTGAAAACTTACACACAAAGGTCTCGACGTGTGTGCATAAGTCACCACACTTTGGGCAACGCAGCTGGTTTCCACCTTTCCCAGAGCTTCCAGCACCAGACTTTTTACTATTGCCTTCACCAGCCGTTTTCTAGTGGAAGTAAATGAAATAGTTTGATTATTTAGATCCAGTCAGAACATTTCTAACTAGTTACATTTTACATGATTCCCCATCACTATGAAGAGTTGCCGATCACAAACTGGAGACGTTCTACTTGTACCTTGCCTGTTTTACCTCCCTTCAACTTCCCTTTATGCTAGTGATTTCTCAACCTTCCCAATGCCGCAAACCCAATTCCTCATGTTGTGGTGACCCCCAACCATAACATTATTTTCCTTGCTACTTCATAACTGTAATTTTGCCACTGTTATGAATCGGAATGTAAATATCTGATATGCAGGATGAATTTTCATTCACTGGACCAAATTTGGCACAAATACTCGATACACCCAAATTTGAATACTGGTGGGGTTGGGTGTGTGTGTGGATTTTGTCATTTGGGAATTGTAGTTGCTGGGATTTATAGTTTACCCACAATCAAAGAGCATTCTGAACTCCACCAACGATGCAAATGAACCAAACTTGGCACACAGAACTCCAGTGACCAACAGAAAAATACTGGAAGAGTTTGGTGGGCATTGACTTTGAGTTGTAGTTCACCTACATCAAACAATGATGGATCTGGACCAAACTAGGAACGGATACTCAATATGCCCAAATGTGAACACCGATAGAGTTTGGGGAAAGTATACCTTGACATTTGGGAGTTGTAGTTGCTGGGATTTATAGTTCACCTACAATCACAGAGCATTCTGAACCCCACCAATGATACAATTGGGCCAAACTTCCCACACAGAACCCCAGTGACCAACAGAAAATACTGGAGGGATTTGGGAGAGACTGACAGTGATTTAGGGGAGATATAGTTCACCTACATCTGGAGAGCACTGTGAACCCAAATAATGATGAATCTGGATCAAATTTGGCACAAATACCTGATATGGCAAAATTTGAATACTGGTGAGGATTGATTTTGTCATTTGGGAGTTGAAGTTGCTGGGATTTATAGTTAATCTACAATCAAAGAGCCCTCTGAACCCAAACCACAATGGTGCTCTTCCTCCTGATGCTGCTGGGCCAATTTCAGTTCCACATCATATGGGCACTTTCCCCCTGCATTGAAGGGACATGAGCCTCTCTACAGCCTTGCACGCTCTCCCTCACCTGCACACGCACACCACACTGCCAAGCAATGAGCATATTTGTTCTCCCCTCCCCACTTGGAGTCTCAGAAACAGCCCTCCCCTTGGCTGAGAGGCTGGCCAATCAAAGCAGGAGGAGGGCTTTTGGTGGGAGGATTCACCATCTGTTTTCAAAAAGGGAGAGAAGGACAGGCAGAGAGCTCTTCAGCCTTCTCTGCCAAAGGGGTTCCTAAGGCCATCAGAAATGTGTTTTCTGATGGTTTTTGGTGACCTCCGTCCCCTGGGTCCCAACCCCCAGGTTTAGAAATGCTGCTTTGTGCAGTTTATTATCTAAACATGGCAGCCAAATATTTACAGCAAAGCTGTGACTCCTTGAAACACTTGTTAGGAATGGGCATGATGACTAAAGGATTAGTAGTGATAATTTATATTGAAGGAAACTTAAAGAAGAAAATAAATTACGGAAGGAACACCACACTACCAGCTCCAGGTCTGCAAGGCAAGTTGTTCTCAGGAATTTATTTATGCCATTTCTACCCTACCTTTCTCCACCCCGAAGAGGACTCAAGGCGGCTTTACAACATAGGCAGCTATCCAATGCCATTAAAATAATGTAAAATTACAATAAACATTTAAAAAATAGGAATATAAAAAACATCAGAACATATAAAACATTAACCAGGATCATCACTGTTAAACCACACTATTGATAATCATAGTCCATGCACCAAATTCAGAGACATCAGAATGGCCACCTCCGTCCTGTCTTTTAGAAGAAAAACCAAGACCTGGCTTTGGGAACAAGCATTCGACTAGTGAGCAGCAAGTAAAAGAAGATTTTAACACTTATGGCAATGATTTGACCTGGACTGGATTTTAGACTCTTGATTTTAATAGGCGTGTGTTAATCAATTGTTTTAATTACTGTTTTAATATTTCTAATATTTTAATGTATTGTTGATTGTTTTATTATGATGACACCGTGTTTGTGAGTCCCTCCTCGGGGGTAAGAAGGGCAGGATATAAATATAGGAAATAAATAAATAAAATTTGTCTATTGCATATGTTCTGCAAAGGTTTGATCAAAGAGCGATGTTTTTACTCTTTTACAAAAGATCAGAAGGGAGGGGGCTGATCTGATATCCCTGGGAAGGGAATTCCACAGCCGAGGGGCCATTACTGAGAAGGCCCTGTCTCTCGTCCCCACCAGTCACGCCTGGGAAGAAGGTGCGACTGAGAGCAGGGCCTCCCTTTCTCACTAGGCCAACATTCTTACATTCTTCTTCTCATTGGGCCTAATGCCTAGAGGAAAAGTAGAAAATAAATGGAAGATTCAACTCCATCTCCACACTCTTGTAATTTGCACAAACAAAAAATCCAGGTCAACAGGTAGTGAGAGCTAGCGGAAGCTAGGCCAGGCTGCCCCATTAACTGGTAGCACACCCACAATAGGATTAGAGGTCAGGCAGAGACCCAATAAGGCTGATTAACGAAGCCAGCCCCACCTATAAACCATCAAGTGATCTTTCTACGGAGAACCACACACTAAGTATTTCTAATAAGTGAAACAGCAGTCCTGAATAGAGAAGTAACCAAATTTTTGAGGCTTTTTAATGGCTCAATTTAGACATCACATTAGATTCTGGTTTACAGTTTAGATTATGCTTAATTATCTGAGTTTCCCAAGTATTCAATCTGGAAACTGATTTCTTTGCTTTTGCCTTCCACCAAGACAACTTCAACAATTCTCTCTTCTGCAATGCATGGATATTGTTGCTCAATTAAAACGAACTCAAAATGTTAATTCACAGTTTAAGTCCCCTTATCTATTGTCTGGCATGCTGTCTGACCTGAGTGTCTTTGTTTCTGTGATCTCTGTAGTTATGGATACTCAAATGGAAGTTTCCATTAAATATTTCACTGGAATTGCTTTCCCTTAAGCACAAGCTATATTTAAAATGTCACATACCTTAGTGCCATCTCCTGAACCATCTTTACTTGCACCATCCTTTGAAGCAAAGTATGTCGGTGTTTCTGAAAAAGTTCTAAAGGGAACAGTCCTTAGAGACTGAGTTTCAAAAGTCCCAATTATTCCTAAAACTGGAAAACAAGAACGGCCACACGTAATACCTGAAAAGAAAGAAGTCATTTTGCTTTAGATAACAAACACAGTCAACTTTGCTGCAATAAAGTAGTTGATTCCATCAAGAACTGTGATCAAGGCCATACAAAAGATCCTTGCAAGTTTCACTAGAAGAGCATCTCTACTAGAAAGTAGAGATTTGTTGATTGTTCGCTTTAACAATGAATGTTTGTCACTCTGTTACTTTTGCTGTAAACCGCCCTGAGTCCCCCCTAGGGAGATAGGACTGTATATAAATAAAGTATTATTTATTATATTCATTATGTTCCAAAATGTGATCACGAAACAACACTGCACTTGACTGTCATTATTGTACACCTGTCATGAATACTTTTTAAACAAAGGTTCTTTTTAATGCAATTTTCAGTATGAGAGGATGTATCAGAACTTTTACAGAACTACACAAAGAACAACATTAGACATACAGATTCTATGTACCGTAGCTATATTGGATTCTCAGACTACCTACAAGGAATTACATTTTTATTCACTATTCACACACATCTATATTCATTCATCCTTATGCATACAAATATTACTATATATGTTTCTCCCTCCTTGGAGAAGAACATCTCTTAGGCCAGACTGCTTCCTTACAAATCTGCCAACACACCAAAACTTCTAAAACTCCAAAATGCATCCTTTTTCCCTAAGAAAATGACTCCAAACCACACTCCTTTCTCTTCCCTTGAGAAAAGGAGGCCAAGTGTCCAGAATCCTGTTTTCCATTGCAGATCTGACACACTCCAAAGTACATACACCGCCTCTCGCCTTCCCAAGGAGCAGAGCATAGCAGGTGAATAGCGCCATTGTCTGTCAAAATTCTGCTAATGTTGTTCCAAAGTTGTAAATTACTGAAACAACTAAAACATGTTGATTCCATCAGTTCCTGAACAGATGTTGACTTTATTTAATTGGTTTTCCTTATCAAGGAGCCTTGTTTACTTCCTGTAATGTAAGGAACCTTGTATACATTTCCTTAAGTGATGTTGGCAAATGTAAGGAGCTACAGTGTTGAATTCCTTAAAAGAGTCATTGCCTCTGATTAATGTAAGCAAGTTGTTTTTGCCCAAAAGTTCATCAGTTAATCATTGTCACAGCTCTTATCAGCATCAGCAGTTCAGCAACTTGTATTTATAGTTCCCGAGTTCTTCACCTCTTTCTTGTAGTTTTCCAGACTTCCAATCTCCTAAGAATTGTGTCTTCAGCCCAATTAGGCCCAATTCATTCATCTTTCATACAATTAATTTATAACATACATATTAAATGCACATTTATCAAATCTGCACATCACATTTTTCATCATGACACACCAGTGAAATAAACAGATCCATATATACAAGGCATTGATGGAACTATGTCCATGTGTGCCAAGGAAGTCCCAGTTTCTACTGAAATGAATGGAAGAGTGTGCAGCTGTAGCTTCCCTGCCCAAAGCAAGCTTTTGTATGAAGGAACTAAACTGTGAAGTGGGCCAGAGACACCAATGATCAAATTATCAATTTTCAATTTCTGGATCAGTTTTTAAAGCAAACTCTTGATTAGGTCTAAAAGTATCCCAGACAAATGACTTGAAAAAATGTAATAGATTAATAAATAATAATAGTAGTTGTTGTTGTTCATTCGTTCAGTCGTCTCCGACTCTTCGTGACCTCATGGACCAGCCTACGCCAGAGCTCCCTGTCGGCCGTTACCACCCCCAGCTCCCTCAAGGTCAGTCCAGTCACTTCAAGGATGCCATCCATCCATCTTGCCCCTCTTCCTTTGTCCTTCCATTTTCCCCAGCATCATTCTCTTCTCTAGGCTTTCCCTTCTTCTCATGATGTGGCCAAAGGACTTAATCTTGGCCTCTCATCTCCTTCCCTCCAATGAGCAGTCAGGATTTCTTTCCTGGAGGATGGACTGGTTGGATCTTCTCGCAGTCCAAGGCACTCTCAGAAGTTTCCTCCAGCACCACAGCTCAAAAGCATCTATCTTCCTTCGCTCATCCTTCCCTAAGGTCCAGCTCTCACATCCGTAGGTCACTACAGGGAATACCATGGCTTTGACTAGGCGGATCTTTGTTGCCAGTGTGATGTCTCTACTCTTCACTATCTTATCGAGACTGGACATTGCTCTCCTCCCAAGAAGTAAGCGTCTTCTGATTTCCTGGCCACAGTCTGCATCTGCAGTAATCTTTGCACCTAGAAATACAAAGTCTGTCACGGCCTCCACATTTTCTCCCTCTATTTTCCAGTTGTCAATCATTCTTGTTGCCATAATCTTGGTTTTTTTGACGTTTAGCTGCAACCCGGCTTTTGCGCTTTCTTCTTTCACCTTGATTAGAAGGCTCCTCAGCTCCTCCTCGCTTTCGGCCATCAGAGTGGTGTCATCTGCATATCTGAGGTTGTTAATGTTTCTTCCAGCACTTTTCACCCCAGCTTTGCATTCATCAAGCCCCGCACATCGCATGATGTGTTCTGCATACAAGTTAAAAAGGTTGGGTGAGAGTATGCATCAATCTTGAACCAGCCTGTTGTTCCATGGTCAGTTCTGACTGTTGCTACTTGGTCCTTATACAGATTCCTCAGGGGAGAGACAAGGTGATTTGGTATGCCCATACCACCAAGAACTTGCCACAATTTATTGTGATCCACACAGTCAAAGGCTTTAGAATAGTCAATGAAGCAGAAGTAGATGTTTTTCTGAAACTCCCTGCCTTTCTCCATTATCCAGCGGATATTGGCAATCTGGTCTCTCGTTCCTCTGCCTTTTCTAAACCCAGCTCGAACATCTGGCAACTCTCGCTCCATGTATTGCTGGAGTCTTCCTTGCAGGATCTTGAGCATTACCTTACTGGCATGAGAAATAAGGGCCACTGTACGGAAGTTTGAGCAGTCTTTCGCATTTCCCTTTTTTGGTATGGGGATATAAGTTGATTTTTTCCAGTCTGATGGCCATTCTTGTGTTTTCCATATTTGCTGGCAAATGGCATGCATCACCTTGACAGCATCATCTTTTAAGATTTTAAACAGTTCAGCTGGGATCCCGTCGTCTCCTGCTGCCTTGTTGTTAGCAATGCTTCTTAAGGCCCATTCAACTTCACTCCTCAGGATGTCTGGTTCTAATTCATTCACCACACCGTCATAAATATCCTCAATATTATTATCCTTCCTATACAGATCTTCTGTATAGTCTCGCCACCTTCTCTTGATCTCTTCAGCTTCTGTTAGGTCCCTGCCATCTTTGTTTCTTATCATACCAATTTTTGCCTGAAATATACCTCCAATGTTTCTAATTTTCTGGAAGAGGTCTCTTGTCCTTCCTATTCTGTTGTCTTCTTCCACTTCCATGCATTGCTTATTTAAAAATAGTTCCTTATCTCTTCTGGCTAACCTCTGGAATTGTGCATTTAACTGGGCATATCTCCCCTTATCCCTGTTTCCTTTTGCTTTCCTCCTTTCTTGGGCTACTTCCAGTGTCTCAGCAGACAACCATTTTGCCTTCTTGGTTTTCTTTTTCTTTGGGACGTACTTTGTTGCTGCCTCCTGAACAATGTCGCGGACTTCTGTCCATAGTTCTTCTGGGACTCTGTTACTAAATCTAGTCCTTCAAATCTGTTCTTCACTTCCACTGTATATTCGCTAGGAATGTTAGTGAGATCATATCTAACTGGTCTGTGTATTTTCCCTGATCTCTTTAGTTTTATTCTAAATTGGGCAATAAGAAGTTTGTGATCTGAGCTACAGTCAGCCCCAGGTCTTGTTTTCACCGACTGGATGGATGTCCGCCACCTTTGGCTGCAAAGGATGTAGTCAATCTGATTTCGGTGTTGACCGTCTGGTGAGGTCCATGTGTAAAGCCGTCTTTTAGGTTGTTGGAAGAGAGTATTCGTTATACACAGCGAGTTTTCCTGGCAAAATTCTATCAGCCTGCGTCCCGCTTCATTTTGTTCTCCAAGACCATGCTTGCCTGTGATCCCTGTTGTCATTTGACTTCCCACCTTGGCATTCCAGTCTCCTGTAATGAAAATAATGTCTCTTTTGGGTGTATTATCCAGTAGGTCCTGCAGATCCTCATAGAACTGATCTACTTCTGCTTCTTCAGCAGCTGTGGTTGGGCGTATATTTGGATCACTGTAATGTTGAAAGGCTTTCCTTGCACTCAAATTGAGATCATTCTGTCATTTTGGGTTGTATCCAAGCACCGCTTTAGCGAATTTCTTATTAATTATGAAGGCTACTCCATTCTTCGATGTTCCTCTTGTCCGCAGTAGTAGATCTGGTGGCCATCTGATGTGAAGGGGCCCATTCCAGTCCATTTCAGTTCGCTGACCCCCAGAATGTCTATCTTTAGTCTTGACATCTCACCAATAACAACATCCAATTTGCCCTGGCTCATAGATCTTACATTCCAGGTTCCTATGGTGTGTTGATCTTTAGAGCATCGGATTCGTTGTTCACCTCCAGTACCGTCGGCCGCTAGCCTTCCTTTCGGCTTTGAGCTAGCTGCGTCATCACACCTGGGGCTAGTTGAACTTATCCTCTGCTCCTCCCCAGTAGCATTTTGGCCATCTTCTGACCTGGGAGTCCCATCTTCCAATGGCATACCGACATATAATAGTAGTAGTGGCAATAATTTTATTTCTTACCCAAGGCGGGTCACAGCACATAAATGTTAGACCTTGACTCTCCTAAATGACAACTACTCAAAAGAATGATCTCATGACAACACTAAGGGTTCCCTCCCTAAGTGCACTCTGAAAGAGATAGTATCCCAAGCATTATTCATCTCCACTGCTAGCCTAGCAATTGACACTTAAGTACTGCATACTAGAGGCTCAGATTATTTTAGTCCCAGTCTGAACACAACCTTAAATCGGTTAGTTTCATAAGTTGGCAAAGCCCTGGATATCAAATCTACTGAAACATCAAAAAGAATGGTGGTATTGTGATGGGAAACTTTTTTCAGTTCATGTACTGGGGAAACAGGAATATTAATTAATTGGGGCAGTAAGCCAAGAGAAGCCCTTGGATCACAGCTTTATTCTGCAGTTCAATTGTTTGAAGTACCAAATGATGGAATGGAGGGGTCAAGGTGAGAGCTCTTCTAAGCAAGGACAGACTTGTCTTGTCCTATCTTTTGAAAACAATCCCACAGGCAATTTGTCAGATAAGGGGTATCTGCATCCCTGCACACACACACACACCAAACACACACTCTTTCACAGAGAAATCATAAGCAACTGCTGAAGACAACTGAGATAAGGAAAAAGCCAACATCTTGCACTATGAACAATGTTGAGTGAGACAGCTTTAGGAAGCTCCCTTTAACCCAGTGCCAAAGCTGTCTGAACTTCATGCAATGAATAAAAGCATGGGTGGGCTTGGGTTTAAGTGTTTGAATGTGAATGCTGCATCCTTTTGATAGTTCAACTACAATACTTGCTTAGGATGATTATCACTATGGTTCCAACACTGCCCACCACCACTGGATTAACTGTAAAGAGTCTGAATGTGTTTAGGAATCGAGAAATATATATATCCTCTTCTCCCAAAAACAAGACCTAACTGGGAAATAAGCCCTAGCATGATTTTTCAGGATGCTTGTAACATAAGCCAGAAATCAGCCTCAGTTAAGATTGTCAGCCAGGCAGTTGCATTTGGTACATCAGTTGCAATGGATGATGGGCATACTGAATTATAAAATAATATTAATGTAATAAAATATAAATTAATAATATTATTACTTGTTTTATTTGCTTGTTTTATGAGTTTTTAATGAGTTTATTTATTGTTGTAATTGTTATGCTGTTGTTTTATTGATGTGTTGGGCCTCGGCCTCTTGTAAGCCGCACCGAGTCCTTCGGGAGATGTTAGCGGGGTATAAATAAAGGTTTATTATTATTATTATTATTATTATTATTACTGACATTAACACTTAAAATAAATAATATTGTAAATTATAATTAAGTGTTTATAAATACCCATGGGGTGCCATAATAATAATAATAAATGTATTTTTATACCCTGCCTTCATCTACCCCAGGGGTCCTCAAACTTTTTAAACAGGGGACCAGGTCACAGTCCCTCGAACTGTTAGAGGGCCGGATTATAATTTGAAAAAAGCATGAATGAATTCCTATGCACACGGCACATATCTTATTTGTAGTGCAAAAGACACTTAAAAACAATACAATAATTAAAAGAAGAACAATTTAAACAAATATAAACTTATTAGTATTTCACTGGGAAGTGTGGGCCTGCTTTTGGCTGATGAGATAGGATTGTTGTTATTGTTGTGTGCTTTCAAGTCCTTTCAGACTTAGGTTGATCCTGAACAAGGGCCGGGTAAATGACCTTGGGGGGCCGTATCCAGCCCCCGGGCCATAGTTTGAGGACCCCTGATCTACCCAAAGGGACTCGGGCGGCTTACATGGGGCCAAGTCCAACAATTAAAACATAACACATTAAAATGCATATCAACAACATAATAACAAAGCAATATAACAAAATAAAAGCAACAACATTAAGCAGCATATAAAGCGAACATTCAAACCAACAACCAATTGCAAAGTTCAATGTCTTGTAATGGGGTGGGTGGGCTGGTGTCACAATATTAAATAAATAGTTTTAAATAATAAATAAATAAATATTAGAGGATAGAGCTAGTGAGTACGGTGCAAATAGCATATAGCAGCGATAAAGATAAGGACGATTTATCATTTAAAGATTTGGATGAGAGATTTTTGTACATTAATAAATGGAGATTTTTGTACATTAAAAAAATAAAGACGTCCCCTAAAAATAATGCATCTTTTGGAGCAAAAATGAATATAAGACCCAGCCTTATTTTCACGGAAGAGGCACGGAAGCTGGCAGGATTGGTTCATCTGGGAGAACTATATATATAATACTAATATAATGCTCAAAGGACATTTAATCAACTACCAAACTCACACATTTTGTATTTTCTCTGTTTGCTTTGTTCTGTTAGAAATGCCCTGACACGAGAATAAATAAAATAAAATATAATGCTATGGTAATAATATAATATATTATATATACATATACTATTGATAATATTATACAATAATAGAATATAAGACTAATAATAATACAGTACAACAATATATAATAATACTGTCATATAACAATACCAATATATTAAATGCAACACTACTGATAATATATATAATGATAATACTGTGTTATGGTTGCAATGTTATTGATTGGGAACCGCTTTAAGCCTCCGTAGGGAGAGATAAAGCAGAATATAAATAAATAAATAAATAAGCAAATAAATAAATAAATAAATACATCATCAGATCCATAACATGGAATTTAACACAGGGTTAACACAGGGCTGTTAAAAACCTAAACAAGGGCCTTGAAAAGCTCGAAACCAGGAGTGAGGCCTAGCGCGCGGCTGAAGCCTCGGTCTCCGTTAGCGAGTTACCTCTTCGCGCCGAAGGGAGGGACGCGCTGAGGAGCCGCGCCGCCGCCGCGCAGGAACCGCAGGCCGCCATCTTGGCGCCGTCGTTCTTCCCACCTCAGAAGCCCGAGACCCGGATGTAGCGTCACAGCCCCCTTGAAGAACGGCGGGGGGACCACAACTCCCGGCAGTCACCGCGCCGAAAAGGCCGCGCTGTTCAACCTCGAAGCGGGCGATTTGCCTTCTGGGAAGGAGAGGCCAACGCACGAGAGGCGTGTGCGCAGGCGCAACTCACCATCTAGGAAGTCAGAGCGCTTCTTACGCGTTTCCCCTCTAGGTGCCGTCCATCCCCTGTTCTATCGATATTCTATCTTCCTCTCTATTTCATAAAATGGATTAGATGGCTTGGGGCCCCTTCCAACTCTAGGAATCTATCTTCCTGCTTTATCTATTTGATTATTTATCTATTCTATCCATTTTCCCATCTTATCTATCGACTATTATAGGATGGACTGGAGTGTCTTCCAACTCTAGGAATCTAGAGTTGTGCTATGCTAATAATAAAATATATATAGATATAGATGTAAACTTTTGGCTTTTTGAAAGCCAAAACCAAGATTACAACAACATCTGTTATAGAACTCCGGTATGCTGATGACTATGTCGTCTGTGCACATTCAGAAGAAGTTCTACAAGCCACTCTAAACACCTTCATAGAAGCATATGAGAAGCTCGGCCTCTCATTGAACATCGAGAAAACCAAAGTGCCCTTCCAGAACTCACCATCCAATCAGTCTCCAATGCCAGAAATACAGCTTAATTTATTTATTATTTATTTTATTTATTATTTTATTTACTACGCTTATATACCGCAATTCTCAGCCTACTGGCGACTCATTGCGGTGTACAACATAGAAAAACAGGTGCAAAATACAACATAAAATAAAATAATCCACAGTACATAATTATCAAAACATCTCATCAAAAACATCAACTTTACTACAAGACCATTCCGAGTCGTCTCATCATCAAGTTCACAATCCGATACCAATTCCGTTGTTCCATTCCTATGGTCAAGTTACCAGTCATTGCACTTCTATTCAAAAGCCTTCTTAAACAACCAGGTCTTTAGCTTCCTGCAGAAAATCAACAGGGAGGGGGCTAGCCTGATGTCTACGGGAAGGGTGTTCCACAGCCGAGGAGCCACCACCGAGAAGACCCTATCTCTCGTCCCCGCCAGCCGTGCCTGTGACGCAGGCGGGATCGAGAGCAGGGCCTCCCCGGAAGATCTCAAAGTCCTTGTGGGCTCATAGGCCGAGAGGCGGTTAGTTAGGTATCTTGGGCCGGAACCGTTTAGGGCTTTATAGGCCAGTGCCAGCACCTTGAATTGAGCCAGGTAGCAGATCGGCAGCCAGTGGAGCTGGTACAGCAAGGGGGTTGTATGCTCCCTGCGCCCCGCTCCTGTTAGTATCATGGTTGCCGCACGTTGGACCAGTTGGAGCTTCCGGGCCATCTTCAAGGGCAACCCCACGTAGAGAGCGTTGCAGTAGTCTAAACGGGATGTAACCAGAGCGTGGACTACCGTGGCCAAGTCAGACTTCCCAAGGTACGGGCGCAGCTGGCGCACGAGCCTAAGCTGTGCAAATGCTCCCCTGGTCACCACCGAGACCTGGGGCTCCAGGCTCAGAAAAGAATCCAGGATCACACCCAAGCTGCGAACCTGCGCCTTCAAGGGGAGTGCGACCCCGTCCAGCACAGGCTGTAACCCTATACCCTGTTCGGCCTTGCGACTGACCAGGAGTACCTCTGTCTTGTCTGGATTAAATTTCAATTTGTTCGCCCTCATCCAGACCGTTACAGCGGCCAGGCACCGGTTCAGGTGTAACATTAGAAAATGGTGACCATTTCCGCTCCCTTGGCAGCCACCTCTCCACCAAAGTCAACATCGGTACCGAAATACAACACCGCCTGAGCTCTGCGAGTGCAGCATTTTTCCGAATGAAGCAGAGAGTGTTTGAGGACCTGGACATCCGTAGGGATACCAAAGTGCTTGTTTATAAAGCTATTGTCCTCCCAATCCTGCTATACGCCTGCGAAACGTGGACTGTCTACAGACGTCACATGCAACTCCTTGAACGATTCCATCAGCACTGCCTCCAAAAAATCCTGCAAATCTTGGGAAGACAGATGGACAAATGTCAGCGTGCTGGAAGAAGCAAAGACCACCAGCGTTGAAGCGATGGTCCTTCGCCATCAACTCTGCTGGACCAGCCACGTTGTGCGGATGCCCGACCACCGTCTCCCAAAGCAGTTGCTGTACTCTGAACTCAAGAATGGAAAACGGAATGTTGGTGGACAGGAAAAGAGATTTTAAGATGGGCTCAAAGCCAACCTTAAAAACTCTGGCATAGAGACTGAGAACTGGGAAGCCCTGGCCCTTGACCGCTCCAGCTGGAGGTCAGCGGTGACCAGCAGTGCTGCAGAATTTGAAGAGGCATGAATGGAGGGTGAAAGAGAGAAACGTGCCAAGAGGAAGGCGTGTCAAGCCAACCCTGACCGAGACCACCTTCCACCTGGAAACCAATGCTCTCACTGTGGGAGAAGATGCAGATGAAGAATACGGCTCCAGAGTCACCTACGGACCCACCAGAACACTGATCCTGGAAGACTATCCTATTCGGCTAATGAGGGATCGCCTAAGTATGATATAAACTTGATAATAATATTTATTTATATTATTTATTATATCAGGAGCGAACTATGGGTACAGTTGCAATACATTTAAAAAACAAGAGGTTTTTTTTTTTTAAACTTGGCATTATATTAAATGTTCTTTGACCAGTAGCTGGCCATTTGGAGTGCCTCTGATGTTCCTGAAAGAAAGTTCTCCATTGTGTATGTGGCAGGGTTTCTGTGGTTTGCTCTTCTCTACACTCGCATGTCGTGGACTCCACTTTGTGGCCCCATTTCTTAAGGTTGGCCCTGCATCTCATGGTGCCAGAGTGCAGTCTGTTCAACGACTTTCAGCTCGGTTGTTGTAGGTTTTTTCCAGCTATATGGCCATGTTCTAGAGGCATTCTCTCTTGACGTTTCGCCTGCGTCTATGGCAAGCATCCTCACCTCACTACCTCTGATGATGCTTGCCCTAGACGCAGGCGAAACGTCAGGAGAGAATGCCTCTAGAACAGTGGTTCTCAACCTGAGGTCCCCAGATGTTTTTGGCCTACAACTCCCAGAAATCCTAACAGCTGGTAAACTTACTGGGATTTCTGGGAGTTGTAGGCCAAAAACATCTGGGGACCCCAGGTTGAGAACCACTGCTCTAGAACATGGCCATATAGCCCAAAAAAACCTACAACAACCCAGTGATTCCGGTCATGAAAGCCTTCGACAATAGACTCTCAGCTCGTCCACTCTTCTGTGTGCCCAGGGGGGGAGTTTCCTCATTTGGTATCAGCCATGGATTGAGGTTCCAGGCTTTAGCCTGCCACTTTTGGACTCTCACTTACTGAGGTGTTTCTGTGAGTATCTCTGTACTATTTCTTGATTTAAGACGTTGGAGTGCTGGACTGGGGATGTCACTGCGTCAGGAGAGAATGTTTCTGGAACATGGCCAGACAGTCCAGAAAAATCACAACAACCCAGCTTCTGCTGGTGGTGAAATCCCCTTTAGACTTCAAGGCTTTGTGCGCATGCGTGGCTGGAGCCTCCACGTGATTCTTCCCTGCGTCCCCTTCCCGCCCCTTTATGGGGAGCCCCGTCCACTCGGCTTTGTGACGTGCGCTGATTGGCTGGCGCCGCACACCTTTCGTCTCCGCCTACTTGGAGAGACCAGGAAGTAGAGGCTGGAAGATACCATTCGAGCGGGAAAAGGGGAGGGACGGTGTGTTTGTTAAGGTGGTTTCGTCCACCCGCCCGTCTCGAAACGGAGGAAAACCTGGTAAGGATTGAAAAAGAGAGGAAGGGAGTGCCTTTGTTGAGGTTTTTAGGCAGTGGGTAAGCGAGAGACCCCAAATCATGCCTTTGGGGGAGCCTAAAGAAGAATGGTAGATCCCAGCTTGCCTCCCTTAGAGGAATGGCATGCCCCTGATAGGGAAGCTGGGCTGAGTCAGGTGCCTTGTTTGTTTGTTTGTCTGTCTGTCCCTGATCTTCACCTTCTTCCTGTTGGTTGTCATTATTTGCATTATGCATTTCATAAAATACATCATGTGTATATATTTTCTGTAGGTTGTATGGATTTTTGCATATATTTTTATTGATCTTGAGTTATATGAAACCTGGAACTTAGGTATATTTCAGTGATGCTAATGATTTATATAGTATTTTAATGGTGTATTTCCCTTTGCATTTTATAATCTGCTCTCTATGTACTTTTATGTATTATATATTATACAATATAGTACAATATATTATATCATAATATAATATAATAATTGTATATTACATATTGCATGTAATATTACTAATAAGGTTGTACAATTATTGGTAATATTACAATATAATAATATACTGTACTAATATTGTGGTATGCTAATCCTCACTTTGAGACACTTTGAGAGTGTTTGAGGACCGGGACATCCGTAGGGATACCAAGGTGTTTGTTTATAAAGCTATTGTCCTCCCAACTCTGCTATACGCCTGCGAGACGTGGACTGTCTACAGACGTCACACGCAACTCCTAGAATGATTCAACCAGCATTGCCTCCAAAAAATCCTGCAAATCTCTTGGGAAGACAAGCGGACAAATGTCAGCGTGCTGGAAGAAGCAAAGACCACCAGCATTGAAGCGATGGTCCTCCACCATTAACTCTGCTGGACTGGCCACATTGTCCGGATGCCCGATCACCGTCTCCCAAAGCAGTTGCTCTACTCTGATCTCAAGAACGGAAAATGAAATGTTGGAAGACAGGAAAAGAGATTTAAAGATGGGCTCAAAGCCAACCTTAAAAACTCTGGCATAGACACTGAGAACTGGGAAGCCCTGACCCTTGAGCCCTCCAGCTGGAGGTCAGCTGTGACCAGCAGTGATGTAGAATTTGAAGAGACACGAATGGAGGGTGAAAGAGAGAAACGTGCCAAGAGGAAGGCGTGTCAAGCCAACCCCAACCAGGACCACCTTCCACCTGGAAATCAATGCCCTCACTGTGGGAGAAGATGCAGGTCAAGAATGGGGCTCCACAGTCACCTACGGACCCACCGCCAGGACACCGATCTTGGAAGACAATCCTACTCTGATGACAAGGGATCGCCTAAGTTAGTAAGTAAGTATGCTAATAATGCTTAATGGTGTAACATTAGAAACTGTTGACCATTTCTGCTCCCTTGGCAGCCACCTCTCCATAAAAGTCATTATTGACACTGCAATACAACACCACCTAAGCTCTGTGAGTACAGCATTCTTCCAAATGAAGCAGGTGCTTGTTTATAAAGCTATACACCTTCAAAATGTGGACTGTTTACAGACACCACATTTACTTAGGCAATCCCTTGTAGTCCGAGGATGATTGTCCTCCAAGTGTAGTGTCTTGCCGGTGAGTCCGTAGGTGGCTGTTGAGCCCTATTCATGATCCGCATGTTTTCCCATAGTGAGGACATCGGTTTCTGTGTGGAAGGCTGTCCTGGTCAAGGGCCGCCTCTTGGCACACTTCTCCCTTTCATCCTTCATTCCTGCCTCTTCGAATTCTGCAGCACTGCTGGTCGCAGCTGACCTACAGTTAAGAGTGCTCAAGGACCAGGGCTTCCCAGTTCTCAGTGTCTATGCCACAGTTTATAAGGTTGTCTTTAAGCCCATCTTTCAATCTCTTTTCCTGTCCACCAACATTCTGTTTCTGTTCTTGAGTTCGGAGTAGAGCAACTGCTTTGGGAGACAATGATTGGGCATTCGGACAACATGGCATTCAGCCAGTGGTGTTGATGGCATAGGAGCATCCCTTCAGTGCTGGTGGTCTTTGCTTCTTCCAGCATGCTGATATTTGTCCACCTGTCTTCCCAAGAGATTTGGAGGCAACACTGATGGAATCGTTCCAGGAGTAGAAAGTGACACTTGTAGACAGTCCATGTTTTGTAGGCATATAGCAGCGTTGGGAGGACAATAGCTTTATAAAGAAGCCCCTTGGTCTCCCTACAGATGCCTCAGTCCTCAAACACTCTCTGCTTCATTCAAAAAAAAAATGCTGCACTCTCAGAGTTCAGGCAGTGTTGCATTTTGGTGTTGATGTTGACTTTTGTATAGAGGTGGCTGCCAAGGAAGTGGAAATTGTCAACATTTTCTAATGTCACACCATTAAGCTGTATTTCTAGCATTGCAGAAGGATTGGTTGGTGCCTGCTGGAAGAGCACTTTGCTTTTCTCAATGTCCAATGAGAGGCCGAGCTTCTCGTATCCTTCTGCAAAGGTGTGTAGAGTGGCTTGTAGGTATTTTGGGTGCGCATAGACTACATTATCATCGGCATATTGGAGTTCTATAACAGATGGTGTGACCTTGGTTTTGGCTTTCAGTCTTCTGATGTTAAATAGCTTGCCATCTGTCCAATAGACGATTTCCACTCTGGTGGGAAGCCTCCCATCAACAAGACGAAGTATCATAGTGATGAAGATAAGGTTGGGGCAATAACACATCTTCCACATTTTGTTGTATAGTGTTATTGCAAATGGAAAGAGACCATGAGACTCTTACCGCTTTGGTGGTGAGATATACAGTTTTCTTGGGGACTTTGCAAAGAATCCCTTCTGTAAATAATGTCCCATAATCCTGAAGTGGAGCCTTTGGGCTGGATTGTCAAGGATCCAAATCCTTTACTTTGTCTCCCATTTTGTGCGCAGCTTTCTTCAAGCGGAATTGTACAAGGCGCACAGCCGCAGTTTACATTATATATAATGTAATGCATGGCTGGTTTCATAGGAATTGTTTGCCCTGCCAGTGTATTTATTTATTTCTGTTCTTCCTGCCACTTTGTCTATAACAGACCCAGACGCCGTGTTTTCAAAATCACTTCCCTTTTCTAAACATTTTTCTCAAACTGAGCCGAAGGAGCACAGTTCGAAAGAGAAGATTAATCCACTGCTCAGAGCGGCGAGCAAGCTTTGCCTTGAATGAATCCATTGTATGTCTGAGTGCCTTTTGTGTTTTTAGCTGAAACGCGTGTTCTTTTAGACAGAAACGTCTCCCTTTATCTTTCAGGTGTTCCTCACTGCAGGCTCGCAACCATCATGGGAGAGATTAAAATCTCTCCGGACTATAACTGGTTCAGAAGTACGGTTCCTCTCAAAAAGGTAAGTTCAACCTCTAAATATAGGCTGCATCAGGTCAATAGATGCAAGGAAGTTTCTGGCTGGGTGGAGTGGCCATCTAGTTGGGTGGAGTGACCCAGGTCAAGAAATAAAATGCCCCTGGGCACCAGAACAGAGGACACTTTGAGTCCTATTTGGGGAGATAAAGCAGAGTATAATAATAATAATAATAATAATAATAATAATAATAATAATAATAATAATAATTGTTATTATTATTATTATGACATCTCAGACTTGGCAATGTTTACACGGCCTAATGAAGTGGAGCTTCTAGGATTTTTAGTATAATGGTTTTAGGGATAACCTCAGTGGCTTGAGGCCCAGGGAATTTTAATGTTACATTAAATATAATATAATATAATATAAATATAATATTTATGATATTATAATATAATGCAATATAATAATTATTTATTTATTTATTTATTTATTTACTGCATTTATTGACCGCCGCTCTCAGCCCTAGGGTGACTCGCGGCGGTGCACAACATATAAAAACAGTTTACAAAAAGGGCAAAACAGGGAATCAATACAACAATAATACACTATAATCTGGTTACACTAAATAATCCGCTCCGTCACATCATAGAATCATAACCAATATCGTAATCCGTATTCCGTTCCAGTTGTCAATTACCAGTTGCCGTAGCGCTCAGTTGAATGCCTTCTCAAATAGCCAGGTCTTCAGGCTCTTATATATTTATATTACATGTAATCTATATAAATAAAAATGTAATGTTCGTTTGTGGGATTAACAGAACTCAAAAACTACTGGACGAATTGACACCAAATTTGGACACAAGACACCTAACAACCCAATGTATGTCCTTCACTCAAAAATTGATTTTGTCAGTTGTAGTTGTTGGGATTTATAGTTCACCTACAATCAAAGAGCAATCTGAACCTCACTAACAATGGAATTGAACCAAACTTGGCACACAATTTTCCCATGACCAATGGAAAATACTGGAAGGGTGTCCTTTAGGTTTTGGAGTTGTAGTTCACCTACATCCAGAGCACTGTGGACTCAAACAATGATGGATCTGGACCAAACTCTACACGAATACTCAATATGACCAAATGTGAACACTGGTGGAGTTTGGGGAAAATAGAATCTTGACATTTGGGAGTTGTAGTTGCTGGGATTTATAGTTCACCTACAATCACAGAGCATTCTGAACCCCACCAAGGATAGAATTGGCCCAAACTTCCCACACAGAACCCCCATGTGGGCCACAGCAACGCGTGGCAGGGGACGGCTAGTATTACTAATAATATGACGATGTAGTGGTATGGTGCAATATAGCAATGTTTAATGCTGATATTGTACTATGCTAATAATATAATATATTGTATGTAATATAAACCTAGTAAGCCGCTCTGAGTCTCCTTCGGGGTGAGAAGGGCGGAATATAAATGTCATAAATAAATAAATACATGTCATATTTATTATTGTTACGCTTGTATATGGTGTGCTTTTTGTGTCATGTAATTCTGTTGTTTTAACCATTGTTGGCCGCTTTGAATACCATGTATGGAAGAGAAGCGGAATATAAATAAATAAATTTATCATGTCAGAAGCAGATTGAGTGTACAGTTATAATGTATTTAAAAAGACACAAAGTTTAAAAACTTGGCATTATGCTAGATTTCCTTTGTCCAGAAGCTGGCCACTTGGAATGCCTTTGGTGTTGCTGTAAGAAGGTCCTCCATTGTGCATGTGACAGGGCTCCGGCTGCATTGTAGTCGGTGGTCTGTGGTTTGTTCTCCTCCACACTTGCATGTCGTGGACTCCACTTTGTGACCCCATTTCTTAAGGTTGGCTCTGCATCTCGTGGTGCCAGAGCGCAGTCTGTTCAGTGCCTTTCAGGTCGTCCACTATTCTGTGTGCCCAGGGGGGTTTCTCATCTGGTCTCAGCCACTGATTGGGGTTTCAGGTTTCACCCTGCTACTTTTGGACTCTCGCTTGCTGAGGTGTTCTTGCGAGTATCTCTGTGGATCTTAGGAAACTATTTTTTGATTTGAGACATTGGCGTGCTGGCTGATATCTGTACAGAGGATACGCTGGAGATGTCACTGCCTTGGTCCTTTCATTATTGGCTGCTACTTCTGACTAATGTCAGGTGGTGCAATACTGGCTAAACTGTATCATTTTTTCAGTGTTGTGGGGTGTAGACATACTGTGATAATACGGCATGTCTCTTTAAGAGCCACATCCATTGTTTTAACGTGGTGAGATGTATTCCACACTGAGTATGTGTATTCAGCAGCAGAGTAGCCAAGCGCAAGGGCAGATGTCTTCACTGTGTCTGGTTGTGATCCCCAGGTGGTTCCTGACAGCTATGTATGATATTATTTCTAGCACCTATCATGCTGCAAGTTGCTTCTGGTGCAAGATAATCAGCCATCTACAAAGACGTTGCCCAGGGGAGACCCGGATGTGTTACTATCCTGCAGGGAGGCTTCTCACATGTCTCCAAACTTATTTAATGATGTTAGATCTGAGGTTTCATGGAACTGTGACCTGGCTGGGCAGGTGTCCCTTGTGGGTATGGAGATCTTGCTGTATGTCCTTCCGACAATCAGTTCTCTCTGTGTATCTTGGTTTATGTATTTTAATTGTGTTTTATCTCTGTGTTTTAAGGATGTTGTATCCCGCCTTGAGCCGCATGGTATTAAATAATAATAATAATGGTATTATTTATTTATTTATTTATTTATGCTTGTATACCGCCCCTCTCAGCCCAGAGGTGACTCGAGGCAGTTTACATTTGGCAATCAATGCCCCGCAAGATAAAATACAGTCAAAAACAATTACATATAGTATAAACCGTATAAAAACAATAACAATAAACAATTAAAATCATAAAATACAGTTCTCAGCATCTCATCATTAAAATCATTTTCCATTGCATCATCCTGTCATTCCATGAATCTCAAATAATCAGTTATACTGCGTCTGCAAATGCCTGCTCGAACAGCCAGGTCTATATATGTATATGACCTTTTATGTATGTATATGACCTTACCGTTACTATATGTATATGTATATTACTATACGTATATGTAGACATATAGTAAAGTTAAGGTCATATACATATATATGTATGTATACGACCTTACCTTTACTATATGTGTGTGTGTGTGTGTATGTATATATAATGAATATATAACAATAACAATATAATAATAATAGTCTGTTTCACCCATCTGTCCCATGTAAGTATAATTATGGCACGATCACATGTCTCACAAAGGCTTTAAGAGCTTCACTTCCGTGGATGGGAGTCTTAAGATTCCCATAAAAAGGGGTAGGACTCCTTTGCAAAGCAACAACCCATCACAGTGTGACTTAAGCAACTGTCTTTCAACACATTCTGGCACTTGGAGAAGAGAGAAAAAAAGGAAAGTGGCACAAAAGGCACGTGCAGACTTGTCTGTTGTGTGCTGCGTGAAGGAAAGTAAACTTCCAGGCTGCTATTGCTCCTGGGAAAAGGATCACAATAATGTGCCATGTTGTTTGCATCTTTAAATGGGCCATGTTTTGTCGTTGTAAATTATTGTGTCGTTTTGGACTTATAATGACCCTAAGGTGAATCAACAGCAGGGTTTTTGTTCACATGGGTTTGCCACTGCCTTCCTCTGAGGCTGAGAGAGTGCAAGCCTTTTCCAGCCATCCAGGGGTTTTCGATGAAAAAACAGGGATTTGAACCAGAGTCTCCTGGAATCCTTACCCAATGCTCAAATAATTCGGCCACTTTGGTTCTAACTGATGTGCTTGTAATTGTTTGTTTTACATTCTGTTTGTAGTTTTAGATTCTGTTTATAGTTTAATGTTATTGTACATTTGTTTACATTTAGTTGTATCGTAAGTTTTGCAAATACATTGAGTCCCAGGTTTGAAGAGGAAGTTAAAAAGGAAGGGAAGGAAAGAAGAGAACGAGAGAGAGAGAGAGAAAGAAAAAAAACAAAAAGGAAAGAAAGCGAAGAAAGTAATGGAAGGAAGGGAAAGAGAAAGGTGAAGAGGAAGGAAGGAAGAAAGAAAGAAACAGAAAGAGGAAAAGAGAAAGGTAGAAAGAAAAGGAAGGAGGAAGAAAGGATGGAAGGAACAGAGAAAGAGAAAGGTAGAAAGAAAAGGAAGTGTGAGGAAGGAAGGAAGGAAGGAAGGAAGGAAGGTAGGAAGAAGGAAAGAAAGAAAGAAAGAAAGAGAAAGATAGAAAAGGAAAGGGGAGGAAAGAGAGGAAGGATGGAAGGAAGAAAAAGGTAGAAAGAAGAGGAAGGAAGGAAGGAAGGAAGAGAAAGGGAAAGGTAGAAAGAAAAGAGAGGGAGGGAAGAAGGAAGTAAGGAAGGAAAGAGAAAGAATGAGAACTGTAGAAAGAAGAAGGAAGGAAGGAAGAAACAGAAATAGGGAAAGAGAAAGGTAGAAAGAAAAGGAAGGGGGAAGAAGGAAGAAAGGAAAGAAGAAAGAAAAAAACAGAAACGTAGAAAGAAAAGGAAGTGTGAGGAAAGAAGAAAGGTAGAAAGAAAGAAAAAGATAGAAAAGGAAGGAAGGGTGGTAGGAAGATGAAGGTAGAAAGAAGAGGAAGGAAGGAAGAGAAAGGGAAAGGGAAAGGTAGAAAGAAAAGAGAGGGAGGGAAGAAGGAAGTAAGGAAGGAAAGAGAAAGAAAGAGAACTGTAGAAAGAGGAAGGAAGGAAGAAACAGAAATAGGGAAAGAGAAAGGTAGAAACAAAAGGAAGGGGGAAGAAGGAAGAAAGGAAAGAAGAAAGAAAGAAACAGAAAGGTAGAAAGAAAAGGAAGTGCAAGGAAGGAAGGTAGAAAGAAAAGAAAGAAAGAAAGAAAAGGAAGGGAGAGGAAAGAAGGAAGGAAGGATGGAAGGAAGAGAAAGGTAGAAAGAAGAAGGAAGGAAAGAAGAGAAAGGGAAAAGTAGAAAGAAAAGAGAGGGAGGGAAGAAGGAAGTAAGGAAGGAAAGAGAAAGAAA